GTGACTCAAAGGCCCAGTCATTCCCATCTGATAAGGAGGTCTCTCCTGACGATCTCCCTTCCACAAACAAGGATAATTTTCCTGCAAGTATGGGATCAACAAACCTTGATGCTTCGACTGCTAAAGATTGTTCAAATGTGGGCGAGAGATCAATTACCAATGAAGTACAACCTTCCGAGGAAGTAATTGCTATGGAAAAGTGCCAGGGTGGAGACAGCTGTGGTAAGTTGTTCTGTAAGCATACCACAGAATAGATCCTAATGAGCGGAAAGTATTGGAAAACAGTGCATCTTTATCCACCGAACCGGCGAAAAGAGTCATTAGAAACATTCCCATCCGCGCGCAAGTAAACCTTCATTCCCGACTGTTGCTAGTACTTTGATTGCTCTTAACCAAATAGATTTAATTGGTTCAATATCAACTTCATCAGAATGTGTATATATTCGCCTGCTCTTTTCATTATTTAAACACATGTATTTTCTGAAATCTTCTTTAGCTTCCATCGTAAGCAGTCAGTTCCCAGAGTTGGCCATTTATGTGGAGACAGAGATTAAGGTTGTCGAACACGAGTTGCTTTCATTGCACAAGGTGATGGTTAAATTGGAATTACAGATGAAAGAAGCAATAGACACTGAAGGTTAGTTTTCTATTTTTTTACCTTTGCATGAGTCAAAATATAAAACCTAACATACCTGCTTCAAACGTGCATAACAGTGATTTTCGAGAGCCACTATCCTGAATCCCTAGCTTCGAACCTTTCCAACTGTTCACTTTCGTCAAATAGCAGCCGAACTATCCTGCTAGTTGACAGGAATCTTTCGGGATTCGAAGTGCTTATTTTCCCTCACGCAACGCTAAAGGAAAACAGTTTCTTTCCTAGGAAGAGGTAAAGTCTGGAAACAATTATTCGGGTATACCGTCGCGCCAAATAGAGGGTGATGCACGTGTAACTAACTAAACACAAATTAAATGCAGCCTTCTTTAATTTACCCCTTTCAGATTGTGAGGCCGAGTTTGAAAGCTTATCACTTGACTGGTTAGCGCTAAATAAGTTCCGTTCTGAACTTGACGAAAGGAAACAAGACCTTCTTACTCTGTAAGTACATCTTCTCCTTATAAAGCTGTTTTAAACCTTGCTCGATAGTTGGGAACAAGTCAATATGCCTAATTATGAGATGGTAATACATATTCAATAACCAAAGCGAAGGATTTAAATTAAGTGTATGTAAGCACTCCTTTTTTTCATTAAGTATTTTGATTCCTTGCATTGTATTTCCATTTGAAAGTTTATCATATTGAAGCCTTATCTTTCGTCTCTGTTGTTTTTAGTTCCAGACAAGAAAACCGGAAGGAGTGTTTGAAATTCTTACGTCAGGACCTTAAATGCCTGTTTGAAGTCAAAGGTGGGAATCAGTTTCTAAGTTATTTCCTCAGTGTGATAGTACTAAATTTTCTTTTTTATGATGTTAAACAAGTGGTCTGTTACCCACGCCTGGGTCTTTTTATGCAATCTTTTATTTTTTTGTTATCGTATGGTGAGTGATGTTTTATTCGTTTTCTGCTGCAGGTTGGAAGAAAACCGAAGAACACAAAGATCAGGAAAAGAATGTCCTGGATCTTATTCTCAACTTGACCAACATGGCCTGAATAACAAACTGCATTAAAAGTAAGAATCTTGCATTTTAATTAAGTTGAAATGCCTTTGGTTCTCTTCTTGTAATCTTACTCTACATTCTATGATGAGTTTGCCACGGATCATTTGGATTATGTTGATTTTAACAGACTTCATTATGAATAACAACGGCTAATCCTGCTTTTCGCTTTCCTTTCCTTTTGCAGTTTCGATTTCACAACTATTTCCTTATTTCTGGTCAGACTTGTATAATAGCATGTTTTATAACAACAAGAGATTACAATCTCTTGCTTAAAATCCTTTGTAAATCTATAAATTTTGGGCAGTTTCATTTTTCAATGTAAAGTCCTTTCTCCAAGAAAATCATTCAGATATTATCCTCGAATCATGAGATTACTTTATTTGTCATACAATTTTCATGTACATAACTGCTATGAATTCAAATAATTTTTATTGTTGTAAAATGTTCATTTTTTAACATAAGTAACTATCTTTATCTTTTCTCTTATTTTTTTAATTGAACAGAACTATTTCATGAGTATAAATACCTATTTTGTGAATGTAATATCTTAAGTTCAGGGTCACGGACAAAAAAGTAGAACTGACAAGGTTCTTTTCATTACGACCCTGTTATCTTTTATTTTGATTACGTTTTATTTCTAAGGTGAAGGTAGATAGATCTAAGGTGAAGTCATAGTTTACGTATTTCAATCCAATGGCTTTGTTTTCTTCCAATCAGATGCGCTGATATAGAATCATTTGTAATGAAAGTGACGTAAGCGGCCACAAAATCACTGCACGTAACTGAATACTTCGCCTTTGGCACTGCATCCTTTTTTTCCTGTCTGCTCTTCTCTTTCTTTTTCTGTTTTCTTTTCTCGCTTTTTTATTCGATTTTTGGTAGGTAGCTTATTTGTAGGTAATTCGTATTTTTAATTTAAACTTAGGGTTTTTTAGGTATTTTGTAATTTGGGTTTAGAATCTTTTTGGGGAATTTTCCTTTTTTTTTTGCTTTTTTCTCTCCTTTACTACTTTGGGTTGTTTTTGTTTCCTTTTATCTTCTTAAAATTGCCTTTTTCCACAACCTGTATTAACAGCGATTCAAACGCTGTGGGTTATGTTGGGTGGTTTTCTGGCTGCATGCGTCACTTTTCTTTGCGATCAATCCATATCAGTGCTGATGATTAACCGAATGCAAAGACGTGGAGACTGGGACTCATCAAGTATAACATCACGCCATTATTTCACACCAGGGAAAGGAGTAACGTAATCGCTTCAGTTTTCTTCAGTCAAATTTCCATCAGATCATTATTAAAAATTGTGAACTCGTAGAGTTGCCCATTTGTTGGTGTGATTTTTCGCGCTATTTCCTTTATCTTACTTTGATTTGTTATAACAATTATTGTGAATAAATTTTAATGAAAAAGAAACAAGATTTTGCATCAATATATTTTAAAGTCCATCTTCTTACCCTTTTGCTCTCGATTTGCAGATAATGGGCGATTTACATGTTTCATTATTCCCATTAGTCACCATTCTCTCACCTCGGTTTGGATTGTTACTCCCAGGGGCATTTCAGAATTGAACGATTAATGACCTTGTTTACGGTTTTGATGAAAATTTTAGACATTTTTTTTCCAGTTGTGACCGGTTTATAAGGTCAACTGGCCTCAGTTCGAGAAGAACTCAGCTGAGACGGTGGGGCGATTATTGACGAAACCAAACTGTTGAACTGGCAAAGAAGTAAACGAAAAGAAGCACCTATTAAGCAACGAAACATACCAGACACTCCATGAAACCACAAGCTTCGGAAGGGGAAAGGGTTACCATGCCACCGATTTGGGATACATTAAAAACCAGGGAGGTTGATGGTGCAGAATGCAGAAATAATTATTTAACATAGAAACTGTTCAATTACCCAGGAACTCGCCTAAGATACAAAGTAGTGACTTTTGTCAACCGGGAGGAAAGTTTTTTTGACCTCTGTCGTTTGTGCAGAACTTTAATTTTGACTTTTTAAACCCGCCAACTTGCCAAAGTTTTGAGACGATCACCATTATTATCAGCAGTATTATTATCATTATTTTTTACCTTCGATGAATTATAGTGATTTCTGATCGCAAATTTCTTCACTTAATACAAAGCAAGCGCTATTTTCATTCAGCCATTAAACAAGGGCGTCACTTAAGTAAATCCAAATTACTGTTGCATTTATGTTTTCGTTCAGTGCTATATTGATACAATACCATTAAAGGATTATTTTTTATTTACAACAGAGCACTCAAAACCCAGCGAATTTAAGATAATCCATACTAAGAGACCACGCCCTTTTTCAGATTTCTTAAATTAACAAATGTTTTTTCTTAAGAAGGTACTTGCAAAAATGTTAAGAGCTGGTGGAGTTGGCTCTAAAGCACCTTATACTGAATTTTACCTTCATGTTGTCTCTTATCTGGTGTAGAAGACACAGTTGCCGTAAAATAATTGAGAAAAAAAAGACAAAAGAACGGGGAAAGCAATGAAAACGATGTAATAATAAAGCGGTGTTCTTCTGTCCTGTGTCTCCAACACTAAGGAGCCTATATGTTTCAGCTAAACATCCACACGAATTATGATAAATTATAAAGGTTCTAATGGTTTTATTGAAAATATTGATTTACAAACGTAGAATTTGAAAATATTCCTATTGGATTACATGCTAACTGAATTTTTAAACCTATTCCAGATGGTTTTCTTTTAACACCAAAGGTAGTGTTTCAGTCGTTTTCTCAACTGATACGACTAACGACGCACTTATCTTAGTATTACCGTTAATAATTCATCAATACTTTTCCGTTCCAGTACAAAGTTGAAAGGCGTCACTTGACAGAATATGTCCTAGCTTACAGTGAGGAATATCCAGCATTAGTATCTACAAAAACAGTGGATAGCGTTGAAGGGGTTCTCTGATTGGCTACTCAACTCCGAATACCCTTTGCTATTCAGCTCCAAGCAACTAGCACGGGATTTATAATCATTACAGGAATAAATGAGTTAAAATAATCCTTTTTGTGCTATATTATCTCACTGTTTTAGTAAATACTAAAAGAACTATCACCTCACTTTCTGTGGCTAGCGGTGGATATTTACCACTTATATCTCCACTTGGTGAATAGTTGGTAATTATAATCCATCTAAGATTTTTGCTCGCCCGCATTGGTCTAAACACGGTGATATTCCCCAGTTTTCAACGCTTACGTCTTATAGGATAAAAGTCTACGTTTATACCTTATTTATGATTGGGGGGGCGATCTTTGGTATTTTCAAAAGAAGGAATAACTATATTTGTTTGTTCAAAGGATTCAAATAATACGAGTGATATTAAAATAGTACGGCCCATTCACGAGAGAATTGTTTTCAAATACATTGTTTTGGGTGAAATGTTGAATGTTAAACACCTGTGTCACTTGAACAATACCTTAGTATTAACATAGTACAGATTGACGAAATTTTATATGATAAATGCGGTTTGTTGTAAAACCGTGTACACTTGCACATTTACATTGAAAAATTACTTCATCCGATCAGTTTTGATATTCTCATTGATCTTTGTTTTGGTCTTTAGTTATCATTTTTTTTGTGTGTGTATTGCGTAGACCACAGAATCTGCTTCACTCATTTGGTATTCAATGGCGTACGACGCGAGCCACAAAAAAAATGCTTCCAGCACATCGTGATGAATTTAAGATGCATTGGGGAAGATCACAAGAAAAATACTCTTAAACTACGAACTTAATTTAAATGAAAGTTTTTTACGAAGTCCTGTCGCACAAAGAACAATATTTCGGAACAGGAACAGTTTAAAAGAAAAGAAAAGCCTAGGAAAAATAGTAAACCACGGGAAAAAAATCATTCTCTCATCTTTTTTGTCATGAAGAAAATTTACCACTGAACCTCAACTTCATGTACTCGACCCGGCTTTCCTAGCTTCCGTCAAGACATATCCGTTGCTAATCAATTACGTCCATCATGTGTTTATAAGAGCGTCAGAGACATAAACCAACTGCGGGCTAATCTGAATCTCGGAGACAAACTACCGTACGTACGTGCCTTGGTTAAAGGCATTTTCAGGAGAACCTCACGTCACGTCTTCTAGAAGAACTGTGTAGCATCTGTCACAAACTCGTCGAGGGATGCGATCTCCTGGCAGATTGAGAACAGAAGTTCGTTTTGAAGTGCATGAAGCGCAAAAAATGCCTCCACACTTGCGGCAGTGATGCTGTAGATTAATAAAAAATAAGAAAACACCCATAAGAAACCATACAAAAAATGTCTTGGTCGAACCTATTTTGCTTGCCCAATATGTTCCGTCCTACTTGCGACAGCTACAAAGTTTTCTTTCTTTTATTTTTCTTTCCTCTTCTGGAGAGACTGGTAAAATTTCAAGACAAAACCTTCAAACCAACGGGCCTTTCTTTTCTCAAAATCCTATTGCTAAATAAAGTATTGACGTTGTAAGGAGAAGGAACCAGTTGCACAATTGTGTACCTTCCTGTTCACCAATGAAAACTTTGTCTTGCACGCCATGCAGTTCTTAACCAAATCCTCTGAGACCCAAGCCCTAGTGACAAGGCATGCTGTGTGTGTATTACCGCATTCCACATGACGGACTCGCTTGCCATCCATGTCTAGTTCACAAGGCACTGGTCTGTAGGAAATCAAGAATGAACAAATTATTCTAACAAAGTTTGCCAATTATCTTCAGCGGAAGGAAAGAAATAACCCCTGAACTATTTTTCCGTATCTGTTCCATTATTTTCTTAAATTCGAAATTAATCTGTTGTTTTATAGGACTGAAATCATCCAACCTAGTTCCCAAGGTCTCTCTTCCTATCGCTTGACCTCATCTCCAAGAAAGTTGAGCGCCACCAAGCCCTCATTTGGGGGAACAACCTGTCGGTTTGGGTATCTTAACATTTAGCCTACATCTGTCCAGTTCATCTTCAAATCATGTTTTAGGAGTCTCCTTCAAGTTGAAACGCGGGGTTGCTTTTAATATCTCGAAACAGAATTCCTTTCCACAAATTTAAAAATGTCAGAACAATGTCGGGGAGCATGACTATTTAGTCCTCACCTGTCTCTTGTATCACCGTGACCTAAGCGACCTGCTTTTCCCTTTCCCCACGTAAATATTTCTCCTGATTCTGAAAAAAGAGGATTGTGAAGAACCACACTTGATTAACTGTCTCCAGTGTACACACCGTACTTCAAAGGTTAACATACCCGAATTTTAACATAGATCCCCCCCTCCCCCAGTTTCATCTTCCCCCTCGCCTCCGCACAAAATTTAAGTTTCAACTGTAGCCAGGATGGAGCGCTTCTTGATCGGGTGTCGTAGAATCAAAACCAAGCTTATCTCAAGGGAAAGTCAGAACTGGGGACGAGAACACAAACAGCCAAGAAATGAGGACTTTAAATAAAAAACAGTCAACTGTGTGAAGGGCGGAACAACGCCTGTGACTGACGGGATTGGTTTTAGTAATACAGCTGATTGGTTAAGAAGGGTGCTCGAATTTCCAGACCAATAAGGGGAAGTGAATGAAACCCTGGGCAATCTCGGATTACTTTGGAAATTCAACTGAAAAAATTGCTCTGGTAGGATGATCTCGTCTTACTGACCTGTAACAGCGGCTGTATGAGAAGCTCCGCATGAAAGTTGTATTGCTTTGGAAGCTCTGAAGTGAGCGGATAGTTGAATGCGGGTGGGTACATTTACCCTTAAGATTGTCTCTCCGGACTTGTTTCTTTGGTTCATTCCGAGTTGGTTTTCTGAGTTATCGCCCATTCCAAACAGCTTTCCTTTTTCTAAAACAACAACAACAAAAATAAAACAAAAAAAAAACCAAAACGAAATAAAAACAAAAACAACATGTTAAATAAATCTAGCAGGGTTCTATCACAGATGCTGCAAACTGATTGGTTGCTCTACTCGCTATCTATTTCGCGATATCTAGTGAGTATAAAGGTAGAGTGTAGGACACACGCTCCTTATGAAAGAGTTTATACTCGGGGGAAGGGGGACAGGAGGATGGAAGAAGGGGGTCGGGAGAGTGGGGAAAATCGAACATATGAAATTACTCACTTGATAAGAACACTGTGTGCTTGTCTCCACAACTTACATCAATTATCACTTGATTCCTACAGAGAGAAAAAGAGCGGACTTAAAGGAGAAAAGACTTTGAATCTCTTGTAAATTTTCTACATTTTTTCTAGCTCACGTTTTTTAAGTGACTTTAAACTTAAAGTGACGCATAAGCTCCAATTCTGTTACACAAAGGAGTTTGTTTCTTGGTAATTTCCAGCCTAAAAACTCGTACATATTAGGCAGAGTTTAAGATTTTTCCAATTCTGCTCCCTTCATTCTGTTTGGTTACGTATTTAGAGTCTCTATTTGTGATTGCAACTCACACAAAGGAGCCAGATGCATCAACATTTCTTACTGTTACTTTTGACTCGAAGCCTGGTAAGTTCATTGGGGCAGATATATGTCATTCATTTCGGTACCTCTCACAAATTCAACGCTCATGCCATGTGACGCTCATAAAACAAATCAGTACTTTCAAACTCCGGTTAATTTCTACATGCTCTTAACGTTTAACCATAGTGTACCAAGCGAACGAATCCGAAAGTTTACATCTCCTATAAGTTACCTTAATTCTGCCAACGTTGACAAAGTGATCGGATTGCACGAGAGGCTCAGATTTTCCACTCCTAGTTGACCAGACCTGTTATCACCCCACGTCCACAGACATCCAGTATCTAAAACAAGAAATGACGTATAGACAAGGAAGCAAATCACCGTTATGGCCTCTAAATAAATTGAAAAAAAAGAAAAAGACAATATTTTCCCCACGTTTACCACTTGCAATCCATTTCAATCTCTTTCATCCTTTACCATCCTCTTTCTTTCATACTTCATTCTCGCACCTTTTTTGTATCTCTATCTTACCAAACTAATATTTAGTAATCTCCTTTAAGTTAACGATGGTTTTCACGTGCCCAAAAATGACTCAAAATATCGCAGGTAAGAAAACTTCATCACTTTCAGGGTCTCTTGATAGACGCACAATGAATAGGGCTGGCTTGATTTCTGAAATCTCTCCTCATCACTCCTCGGCAATTTCGATATATTCATAGTGAGATGGCGAGTTTGGATGGTTACCAAAATGTTGATTATTGTAACCAAGATCTCATTATCCGAAAAGAACTTCTTCTTCATCCTGGATGAACCCTCCAGCCGGGTTACCCGGATAGAAATTAAAGTTTGCACTTTGTTCATCTCGGTTACCGACCTGACATTTCATACAACTCATAAACATACAAAAATTGTAGGAAAATTCGTAGCAATAATGTCGTCAAGAGGCCCGTTTCTCAAAGTACCTGTAAATAGCGGCCCCAAAAAGCTATCCGTTTTGCGTTTTTTTTTTTTGTCCAAAATACCAGATCTACATGAATTCGAATTTCCCACAATAAAAATACTAGGAAAATGACACAGAGTGGACGAGTTTTCTATCTAAAGGAGTACTTCTGTTTCTTAGATTTAAATTTCTAGCTAAGGTCTCAAGAACCCATCTCTCTAACTCCTTGCAGTTACCGCTCCTGGAATGCTGTACTCTGTTTCCGTGTTTACATTTAGGATCAACAATGATATCGAGAAAGGAAAAATAATGAACTGCGTTTGAGCGAACACCTTAATTACTTTTAAGATATCATTAGTAATTCTTCTTACTGTCTGTCATACAATTCTTATGATGTTAGTGTTGAGAATTTGGTATTAGATCAACTAATAATCCCCAACTGATATTTTTCTTTACTCCCATCACTTGTCTGCTTGATATTGTATTGATATTGTAAGGAGAAATTCTGCTTTGGTCACTCGAGGGAGTTAAGGGTTCACCAAGAGTTCTTGACTCACCGGATAACACTGCACTGTGACGCGCTCCACAAGCCACGTACAAGATGTGATGACTCTCCAGCTCGTGTGCTCTCAATGGCTCATAACTCATGTTGAGTCCTTTGATTCCGAGCTGGCCAAACTCGTTGTCACCAAAAGCAAGACACTGTCCGTTCTTGGTGCACACTGTGGATTTTAAAATGTACACCTGTTTAATTACTCTCGTCGCGGTTTGCTCTCCTTCAAACATTTAGGAATCTGTCATTATTTATCGTCTGGAATGGGGATCGGGAGACTTTTTGTAGGGGGGGAGGTCACATGGTTTTCAGGGGGAACAGTTGTCTGTAACAGAGTTTGAATGACAAAAAGGGGGGGAAGGAGATTAGGAGAAAACTAAAGAGCCTTACGGGGGAATCAGGTAAATTTATGGGGACAAAACCAAAATCCCCCTCGTCGATTAATAATGACCGTTCCCATAGCAACAATTCTCCAGGTTGGCCATTTGAAATCCATTACAAATCGTTTTGGTTCCTTTTTCATTCATCCTCTCCATTTCGTGCTTTTCTTTTTCAGCGAATTTAAAAATTTTACTTAACTTCACTTGAGAAATCATTTTATTGAAAACGAAGAACACAGCTTTGATTTCAGTCGTTGGCGAATTAAACCTTAAAATTGGGAAAGGTTTAAAGAAACAATTTTTTTACAGAAACAAATTCTGTTCACGGCATGCTGCAAAGTGAAGCCCCCGAAACCTATATAATAACGCAAATCTTCTAAAATAATGACGATGTTGTTCAAATTTCGTTGATGTTTAACAAAATAAATTTCTATAAAACTAGTAAAGTTGCCAGCTTCCTCTATTCAAGTAAGCTCCTGATAGGTGCAGACGTACTTTAGTCCTGTGCGTGATGGAAAACGTGATATAGATAGATATTTATCCCACAAGTTTACCTAGAGTATGGGCTTGTCCACAAGCCACGTGTGAAACTCGGTGTTCTTCAAGTCCTTCCACCAATCTTGGTAGTATTTCTTTTCTTGTAGCGCTCTCATATCCAAGCCTTGGACCTCCTTTGCCCCATGTGTATAATTCTCCTGTAGCTGTCAACATCAATGGAAAGTCATGTGAGCTGATCGACTGAATATTACAAAATTAACAAACCAAACAGAAACAATCACGACAGCCAATCACAACAAAGGTACGCTACGATACGAGAACTCAGACTCATTCCAGTCTATTCTCTCCTAATAGGAAGACTGCCCACTGGAAGGCTATAAGCGCGGGAAAAATCGAGTGACCAAGTTAAGATCGGTTTTAGTTCGACATGTGATTGGTTGAGAGGATGGTCCGAATTTTTTTGGTCAATCACAAAGAGAAGTAGAGCAAACCCCGATAACTTTCACTCTTTTAATACTCAGTTGGAAATTGCGTTAAGCTCAGGCCCTTCTTTTTTGTTTTTGTTGTTATTTTTAATTTTTCGTAAGATAAGGCACAAAAACAAATTAAAACTATTCCAGAAACATTTCGGCTTTCATTTGGGAACTGTTTGTTTGGTTGGTTTTATGTGCCTAGACAAAGGCACAGATATATCTAACGCAGGTCCGGACAATTCTCAACAATCAAGAAGAAATTGCTCTGGGCTAGAGTCGCTTTGTCTTTTTTTCCCTTGGTTTTGGTAGTCTGGACGTTTGCGCCTAAGCTTGTGTTCTTTGAGTCCCCACGTCGCCACAGGGATATGACGCGTCATTATCTTACCACAAACTGCTGCTGTGTGGAATTCGTGACACGCAATTGTCGTTATTTTCATGTCTTTCAATGCAGCAACTCTGAGCGGGGTCGATCTGTCTCTAAGATGTCCTTGTCCAAGCTTGCCACCATACCCTAAACCCCAAGAAAACACTTCTCCTTCGTCTAAAGAAAAACAAACAAAAGCGAAACAAAAGTTTATTTAAGCTCCATTGAGTATAAAAACTGACTATTGCTCTCCCTACCTACCAGCTCCGAGAAGGAGGTAGCCTGCAGTGCAGGCGTCTTCTCAGGGCGTGTTAACGTTACGAGCCCGCGATCGTTTGGTTGGCACTTCACTGTTCATGCAGTGCGACTTACTTGTTAACACAACAGTGTGAGTGGTTCCACAGGCTATTTTCATCACATCCTTTGATTGCAATGCCTCTACAACTTTGGGAACATTCTCCTCGGCATTTTCACCATGCCCCAACATTCCTGTGGAGCCATTACCCCACGTGTACAGGTCACAGGCATCTGTATATAAAAATAAAGCACAATCACTCTCTTTTAATCTCTGATCACTGCTAGTAAGTGTCGTGGGATTTCTTGGTTTTGCTTCTACACGACCTGCTCTTCTTAACATCAGAAAACTTGTTCTACCACTGACCCAACCTGATACAAACTAAAAGCACCTCTGCCATTCGTGTTTAACTCTGAGTTCTCACTGGTCATGGTAATACAGTGTTCTCCTTTTCAGGCAGTAACCGATAACATTTACCGCCTGAAGTACCCCTTATCACCGTTTAAAGTTGCTTGGAATTCTTGAAAATTCAACAGATAGAAGGATCCCTTTACCGGTTTGAAAATTTATTTTAGCTGTCACGCTTAAAATAGGGGAGAACACTGTAATACATGATTGTAATTCTTGTAATTACCAAATGGTTTCTGTTTAACAACGCTTGAGTGGAAACACTCTATAATTTACACTTGTAGGATTCCATGACTAAATTTTGAATATGTTTCCTTACATATTTATCACAAATCATAATGACAAAATAGTAAAGATTGTAACTTATAACCCCCAAAATTCCAGCTTTAAGAATCTTGTACAAATAACTTTACAATACACAGGTGCAGTGCACATTGCATTAAGTAAATTTGACAAGTTAGAAGCTGTTTATTCAAAAGGATCTGACTTTGTATTTCTGTCTTCAAAAAACCAAAGCTGCAAAGCATATACCAATATCATAAAGATACCTTCATTACGCTGTTGTCCATTTGCAGTCATGGGTTGCAAAGGGATCTAAAGAAAAGGAAATCATTTGCACACTGGTAAATGAGTGGGTCAAGTCAACCACTGTTATCTTTTTCTCCAACATGCTAAAATTATAATGTTTGAAATGAAATTTAACAAGTTGATGTCTACACTACATATGACAATGATGATAATGGGGACATGTAAGTTGCAGTGGTGACAATGACAAAAAAAAATTGAATGATTAATTCCATATGATCATGAGTTATAATTGTATCTTTAACCCTTTAACTCCCAGGATGTAATTGTTTTTCTCCCCTCTAGCTGTTGCACATTTTCTTGTAAACCAGTTAGGAGAATTTGGCATAAGATCAAGATAATAACCTCTATGTGATAAGTTTGAGTATTCTTAATAGCCTTTTACTGGATGATGCATGAATATTATAGGGAGAAGTTACACATTTATCACTTCTGGGAGTTAAAGGGTTCAAGATTTCATGTGAAGGGAAATTACAAACACTGTATTTCATGACCTACCAATCAGAGAAAGTTAGGTTGTCAGGCAGTTTTGAAGTACTGTAGCATGCAGCTAACTTGTAGCGTTACTCCCATGGGAAACAAAAAGTGGTTAGAGTTAGAAGGGTTTGTTAACAGGATTGGTGTTGAATTTCAATTACCATGTTAATGATTAATTAGGAACTGTGTTTTTACCACGATTCTTGCACAATCAACAGTCATTTCTGTGTTATTTAGTTTGTTTTATGAGAGTTTTTTAGAAAAGAATGTTTAGTTTGACAATCATTTTCTGTATTCTTTTTACTTAAATGTTTGATTCAGCAGTGATGATGTATGAAGAAATTGGATGCTGAACTCTCTTAGTGGTCAAAAGGTTACCTGAGTTCAAGTTAGATGATAGTAGATGACGAAAAAAAAAGTAGCCCAATCCAAATCCAAACCCAGTGGAAATAGCCTTTGTTCAAGTTAGCAGAATTCTACACATACATGTTCTTTGCTATTATAAAAGGCCATTGTGCCATCTTTCACTCACTAACTTTAGCAAAATTCACTTATTTCGTAAATGCTGGGCTTTCTCTTTGTATTCTTTTCTTTGTATGTGAAGTGGCCTTTCTGGCCTTATCAACATGTGTAAAAGAATTATAACTGAGGACAGACTGTAACTAACAAATTACCACACAATCTACCCACATCATCCGTTGGTGGTACACGATGGTTATCTATCTCATCTCCATTCTTTCCACTTTTATACAGTTCATCAATGACCTTTCTGTCATTAAAACCACTCACCAAGGCCTGTCAGATTAAACAAGTGTATAGTTTGAGTACTGAACAATCAAACTGTATTCTCCAATTAAACCCATAGCCACATCCCCCTTAAGACTAGAAAATAAAAGGAATGAAGTGTAAAGTCTACATACCATGAAAGTAATATTGAAGAAGAAAACAAAACTATTTAAAAAAATGGGCTAATTTGGTATGATCACCTTAGATGATGATGCAAGTTAGCAGCCATAAAAAGTTTTTAAAGCTGATGTTTTCATTGTTAGCTGTATAATATCAGAGTGAATAGATGGGATAAAGGGGGTAACTTTCTAAAGAAACTGTGGTGCTGTGTCAGTGGAAGAGTATAACAGGTAATTTCATGTTAACAACTGATTGAAAATGTAAATGTAAATTGGTCATCATAAAAGAGTTGGAAGGCTGAAGTTCCTTCACTCCGACAAAGGGCTAACACTCATAATGCCAGCCTTTCAACTCTTACAGTGGCCAATTTACATTTTCAACTCAGTTGTTAACACTAAATTATCTGAATAGATGGAAGTCTGCTGCTATTCCCTTGACATCTAAGCTGTCCAGAAAGCTTCAAACCTCTAGAATAAAAATGAATCACTTTTTATGCAACTACTTCATTCTCTTTTATTCTTGTTACCATCTTCTCACCAATAGTACAGCTCCACTTTCTGCATTTTAAAAATACTCAATTCACAATCCCTCTGTTTGCTCTGAGGAAGGGCTAACATTCAGAATATCAGCTTTAGAGACTCTTTACAGTGGCCAATTTACATTATATAATTTACATTGATAACACTACATTATCTTCCTATACAAACCTGATGTAGCACCACAGATTCTTTAGAAACGTACCCCCTTTATCTTAAAATATGGTTGCACAATGCTTTAATTTACAAAACTTTAAATTTTATTAAACAATTATTTTACAACAAAACATACCTGCAAACCTGATGTCCATGTATCACACTGCTGTTTGTCAAAACAAACAACATCTATTGTCTGCAAACTTTTACCAATCTTGTAAACCACAGAGAAAGACATGGACTGAAAAAGAAGAGGAAATTTTTACCTCAGACCGATTTCCAATTAAGCAGCCCAGGAAGGGCCTGATTCTCATATTTAAAATTTAACCTTTACAGGTTCATTAATTTGAAATCAAATCTTCAACTAAACAAAAAACAAATCTAAATTTTAAAACAAGAACACAGACAAACTAAAACCAAACAAACAAAAATTGAATCAGAATTGAAAATGTCACTTATGTTAAGTAAAAATAACACTTGTGCATGTAATAAAAAAAATCACAGATCTCTGAACAGAAATAACTTCATCTTTCTTTGTTGACCTTCCCACTTCCCACCATGTTGTTATCAATAGACCCCAACACTGAAATGGTCTACAGAAATAAATAGATACATATCTACAGTAAAGCTTGACTGAGAAAGGCTGGCCAAGGTGCTGTTCAACTCCATCAAATTAAAATGCTCAACATTTATCAAAACATTTTATCTCTCCCATAAAGAACTTGTAGAATTACTAAAAAGTACATGTTGGTATAGCTATGACAAAAAATTGAGATCAGTTCAATTATTTAAATAATCTATCATGAACAATCCACTTTAACTACTACAAGAACTGGAAATTTGAACCTACAATGTATCATGAACACATGAGGCAATGTAATGTAACAGAATTCATAACAAAAATTCTTTTTCTTTACCTCTCTCTGTGGAATAGGGCAGTTCTGAAATACTTTGGTCTTTTGTCCTTTTAAAAGCTCAGTCATTTGTGAAGTCGATACTATAGAGGTTACAAAATTACACTCAGGTTGAATAGCAACAGCAATTATTGCAGTGAACGTAAATTAAAATAAATCCAAGTTGAGTTTAGTTACAAATATCAGAGAAGATTCTTTATGCACAGGACTGTTCTGTAAAAAAAACCAAGTTCAAAACTTGGGGTCAGTTCCGTCACACTTTGCTGTCAGAACCATAAAGTACAACTTTTTCACATACAGGCTTTAGGGACTAATTGGAAAGAGAATAGAAACACTATAATAAGGCTATCAAATTTCTCATTTGCTTTTTACATACTTTTTATATGCTTTTCACATGCGTTTACATGCAAAGATTGTGTGCAGATCATTGACCTGTTGTTTACAATAAGCATTAATGAGTTTGAAGCTTGTGCAAGATAGAGCAAATCTCATTAACTTGTATATGTAAAGAGAAGCAAACTAATTACCAGATTTTTCTCCTTTATTTTTTGGAGTTCCCCATTGTAAATGAGCAAGATCTGCAATAATAGATATTCATTAACAAGAGAAACTTTTGGAAAAGTATTTCAGTCTTTTAATGGTAAAAATGGATGGAGTTCTGTAATTCCCAGACTAATTGCTCAGTTAGTACCCATCTATAAGTTAAAGCTGGTAATCAAATAAGGCTACCTTAGAGGTATTCAACTGACAAAGTTAGCATATTGTGGAAAATTCTGCAATTCTGCCATCACAAAGCAAAGCAGAAGTGATTAACATGTAACTTCTCCCTAAAATATCCGCTACATTATCAAGCAAACAGGTAAAGAGAATACTCAAACTTATCAGGTAGAATTTTTTTATTATGATCAAACACCATATTCTCATAACTAGTTTACAAGGAAATGAGTAGCAGCTGGAGGGGAGATTTAATGATCAGATCTTAAGAGTTTTAAGGTTAAAACCAAGGTGTTGAAAGAAGCAAAGACATCTAATTCACAAAGAAAAGTCTGTTGAGAGAAATTTTTGTACATCAATTTATCACACTGTACCTCTTGATAATACAAACTTCTTGATCTGAGGAGTTCCCTGACAAAATAAAACAAAATTAAAAGATTATTTTAAGTAATGTAGCAAAATTAATCAATACCTTTTTCAGTCCTGTAGAATTATTTCACTTCTCCCCATTAATATTTCAGACGAGAGAGATTACAAATAAATTTGGAAAAAGTTTGCTATTCACCCCTGCCTGCCAATTCATTAGATGTCATATTTCCTCAAACAAGCACCCACGCTCGAATAAAAGTCCTCCCTCCCCCCCGAATAAGTACCCACCCCCCTTCCCCCTCCTCCCTCACTTTCTTAAATAGTACAAGCAAAAACCTGTTTCTATGACATGACACTTTACCTATAACTTTTTAAGCTTCAACTACAACGAAATCAGTACAGGTTGAAATTTTTTTATGAGCGCTCCCCTCGATTGAGCGCCCTCCTTCCGGTAAGCGCCCCTCCTTTGAGCCGAAACTATAAATAATCGCCTGGGCGCTAGCTTATTCGAGGAAATACGACTATAACATGATATCGTCTATCGCCCCATCTCAGTGACATGCGTTATCTTAAACCTAGGTAACTATGACGGGAAATACTTACATGCCGCTTGACCTTGAGCATGGCAGAACCCTTTGTCATTTTGAACAACGACAGTACTGGGGATTCCACAGAATCAGCTGAATCTGGGTTACAGCTCGCCATTTTCAGATCCAATGACCAGTTACACAATGGTTAAAAGAAACACCATCAACCTCAAATCATTTATACAACGCTTCATGTTCTATGAAACTCAATCAAAGTCTTTTTCTGGTGAATAACGGCGACAAGGGTGTACTTTTCCGGAAAATTCTTCGTTTGATTTTCCGCCATCTTGGATTCTTCAGAACATACAATGCAGTCTGGGAAGAGAATAAAATATTAGTACCCAGTCTTTTCGCATTTCATGCGCGTGTAATGTCTGCCCAACATAAACATGGCGAACTTTGAACAACTTTTCATGGATTGAGAAAGCCTTTGTTTGGAGAAAAATCCAGACGATCCATTGGAGAATGATGGAGGCATTTATTATTGATCCAGCTAGACTAATAACTGACATAGTGGGTGGGTATTTTTTTAGACAATAGTCAATAAATTAGGAAATTCAGCCTATCTTTGCGTGGTTAAAACCCAATTCACACAGCAAATGAAATTTTTATAAGCGATTTTCACACATTTTCTCCTAATGTTCTTGTGTGGCAAAGATTCAGCGCTGATATAAAGCCGCAAATTTACAATTATAATGTAATATTCTTGATGTTGTCACAGGCCATGCATGGGCGCGATATTTAATTCTTCCTATAAATTTTGTTAAACTCGTGATCAGCTCGCTTCGGTCAGACAGATTTCACACTTATCATATGCTTTACGTAATTTTAGTTCGAGCATGTAATTGCATGTGGAATGGCTCAATATTTTCCTTGTTTTAGATTTATTTTCGAAATCCTAAGATATGATCATGTGTTTCTGTCCCGTACTGTGTCCTTGATGTAAACTAGGTCAAAGTATGAAGCTTGAGCTGATCGATGAATCCATAGTTTTATATGCACTTTTTGCTTTATTTTTTGGCTACAAACAATTGCTTCCATGATCATCTAAATGATGAGTCATTTAATGGGGGCTTTATGACGGAGGCAGAGAACGTGTTTCCCTGGGTAATTTCTATTTTCTTGCATGGGTATTGAACAAAAATCTACTATCATCTTTAATTAAAATTGTGGGGTGTTTTGGATTTTTAGGTTGCATATCAGAATTAAGAAATGTACACCAGTCATCACAACTACCTGTGACTGATGATGAGACAATTCTTCATAAGTTTTGTGTCAAGCTTGAAACAGTTCTAAGACACGAACAGAAGGGTATGTGTCTAAAAGTACTAGATGCTGATCTATATTTTTGTTGTCTCCTTTGTTTTGTTTTTAAATTTTTAATTAATAAGTTGAGTTTCAAATCAAGCTAGAGCTCCAAAAATTTGGCTTCATTCTGGCTTGGTTCTGACATTCGCAAAAGTGCTTGATCTCCACCTCTTGTGATAGATGTCCTTCAATAGTCTAGCCCTGTTATGTCTTGGAGTGGCCAAGACAGAATTTCACCCTACAATAGCTACTACAATATCTAGCAGACAAAAACTATCAATTAGGGGATCATTTGCCAATTGAATGCTTAATTGTCAGAACTAATGTCAAAAGAATTGTGTGGCCAACATTAATAAGAATCACTAATGAGATCTTGGTGGTGAAAATGGTTAACTATCGTTTTTTTAACCCTTTAACTCTTAAGATCTGATTGTTAATTCTCCTTTCTAGCTGTTACACTTTTCCTAGTAAATTAGTGATGAGAATTTGGTGTTAGATCAAGATGACAACTTTGAAATGATAAGTCCAAGCATTCTTGTTACCTGTTTGCTGGATATTGTATATATGTTTTAAGGAGAAGTTGCATGTTAATCACTTTTGGGAGTCAAAGGGTAAACTTACAGAGGGTTTTGCTGGTTGGATATTATTGGAGTAATGAATACAATAAAAAAATGTGCTATAAATGCGCATATATAGTATCACTGATTGTCATTTTTTTTCCCTCAACCCAGATAAGTACTCTCTTCTTGGAGTTAGAAAGGATTACTGGAATTTTATTAGTGAATGCATTCCTAAAGATGATGGGGTACGACTTGTTCATGCCATCCCGCAGGTATTGTACACATGTATATTCAAGATAAGCTAAGTACAGGTGTTTTTTGTTGTTATCAGTTTCCATTTATTGTTGCTATATTGTAAAACAATTGGCTTTTTATGAGTCAGATTATTAGTCAGATGCATTTACATATTTACTACTATGTTCTGTGTCTCAAAAACAAAGTTTGAACAGAAAATAGCCAGTTTAAAGACAGTTTAACCACAAAAGACAAAGGCAGTTCCTCCTTTCAGTAGTCACAGCATCTTCAATTGGTGAACATTTCCTTTATTATTATCAACCCTGAATGTTTCATTCAGTGGTGAAAATGTAAAAAAAAATAAGATGCTTGTTACCCTTGGGATTCAAGGGTGAAAATTTATTAAAATGTAATTAATTTGTAAAGGAAAATAATTATTCTGAAGGGTTAAGTTCATAATTTAATTTGTAGGAGTGTATATGATAAGCTAAATTATGCATATGGTTTGATTGGTTCTTACCAATGATCTATTGGAGAACAGAAGCAAAGATGAGGTCACCATTTGCTACACTCACTATTTAAAATGAATAGCTTCCATGTTGCTGTAGGTGTGTTAAGTAAAAGATCACAACTAAGAAACTTCTAAATGTAGCAAGAAATTCAGTGACACACTCAGCTGCGCCTAAGGCTTGTGTGCCACTTCTTTTTTGTAACCACATTTCGACATCATCTGCACAGCAACATGGAGTTTATTTGTAAAATATTTGACACTGTTTCATTTGAAGGTCAAGACACCTCAGGGCAAAGGACGAGCTTTTATTCGATACTCTCTGACAAAAAAGTCATTGGCTGATGCAATTCAAAGGTGCTTGGTTAAACGAAAACAACTGAGGTAGAGAATTTGAAAATCTGATTATTTGCTAATTCTGTACATATATATATATATATATATATCTTTGATTCCATGTGTTATAGATTATGAGCATTCCCTGCTTTTTGGTGAAGTCCATTGTATGGGTAAAAAAAGCAAATAAAAATGATTGATGTCTGCTCACAGCTTAGAACTCCCCCAAATCTGCCAATATTTGTGCTTTCCCATCTAATAAGAATGCTGCTTTGTAAGTTAGGGTTGCATTGACATTTTTTACATTGCTTTGATTAAAAAAAAAAAAAAAAAAAGTTTTTGTAATTGTTTAGTTAAATATGTCACTTTATATGAAGGTTGACCAAGTATGGCAGTACTTATTTTGCTGTTAACACTTTCATTTCAGTGCATACTTTGGCCCTGAGGCAATTCTCTGCCACCCATCTTTGTCAACTGCTCTGGTTAACAAGTTGTATGACTTGAATGATCTTGAGTTTGATCTTCCTGTTGCTGGACATGAGCTCGATATTTCATGGCCAGCTTTCACAAGGTATAGTTAGTTGGTAATTATGCATGGATCAATTTGAAGTTTTAACATCCTCCCCCCTTCAGCAACCCATGGTCATAAGACTGTCCTCTGTGGCTGAGGGGTTGGGGAATTTTGAAACTTGCCTGGCTGTGGTGGGGAATTTGAACCAGAAGTGTCAAGTCCTTTCAGTGGAAAAAAAAATTCATCTTTTAATATGAAGTTTTTAAAGGTAACAAATTTACTTTTGCAAGGGAATGACATAAAAGAAAAGGTGTACAAGGTCTAGGTTTAAAGCTTGGTCAATGAGTAGAAAGTCATCGTTTCTGATTTTGCCTTTTACAAAAAAAATTGACCTATCAAATCTGTCACTTGGGTAAGGCATTTAAACAAAATTTTGGCCCCAGGGACGGAAATTTGAACAATCAGATCTTCAAAAATTCAAATACCCAGGGGGTTGCCATTGTCGTAGTGGATTTGAAATGATTGACACATTACCTATCAGAACAGGTTATAGAGGTTATACTCGTGGACAGGAATATCATCCAGCCTAACTGTTTTGTTTTGTTGTTGTAGGAGACCCTTAGGAGATCGTCAAGGCTCAGTGTCTGGTCGAAGAAGCAGTATAAGCAGTGTAACTAGTGTCGATTTAAGGGTGAGCAGCGATCCTAAATTTTTTCTAGGTTTTATTTCCGCAGTTCAAGTTTACGATATCCATATATTCACAGTTGTTCATCCATCACTACACGGTTTTATTACCTGAACTAACTTGATAACCAGCTCCTAGTTGGCTTGTTAGCTCAGTTGGTAGAACACTGTACCGGTATCACGGAGGTCATGAGTTTAAATCCCGTTCAGGCCTGAATTTTTTTCAGGCTTTGTTTTCACTACTGCTTAGCAGTGTTCAGTATGCAATGATCACTCTCATCTTCATTTATTAATCTGCAGCACGAATATATGATATTCATATATTCACAGTCGTTAATACTTTATCATGCTCCTTCTTTAGATTAGAAAAAATATATATTAATTCGTTTCCACAAGAAGGTTTTCCGAAAAAAGATGTTTCAACATTTGTCACCGTGGAAGAGCCCTCGTGAGGTTCGAACCTTAGACTTCGGAGTAACACATTCTTTCCTCCTTCGATTGGTTGTTGTGGTTACTTAGGTTTTGATTCCAAAATGCCTAAATGAAATCCCTGTAAATCTGTAAGCCTGATCTTTAAAATGATTGTTTCTTGTGTTAGCTCAGAATGATATCTAGGGCAAGATAACGCAGGATTTTGGGGACATGACTTAAAATCTCGAGCGACATAACTCAAGTTTTGGGCGAGATGACATTCGGTCGACTGACCGGTTACTGTTCTTTCGCCCGTCAGATTATTTTTCCAGACAAATTAAACGCAAGAAATGTATTCGTGTTCTTTTATCATTAATTATTTGTTTCGTATTCTCCGTTTAGAATGAGAGGCCCGATCCTCTGATTGGTCTAGCATCAGAAATCACCGCATTAACAACAATTTTAGGGGATGAAAATTCTCTTGGAAAGACAGAGCGAAGTGAAGCTGGTTTCGATAATGTCAGCATTGGCGATTCAGCGGTCGATACCCCCAACATTACTGATATGACGTTGGAAATTTCTCATCTTCACCAACGGATTCTAAAATGGAAGGGTGATCTGGAATCTCAGTTGTCTAAAGCTTGTCATGATGCGAAGAAAGCGCACGACGAACGAATATTTGCTAACCAAGAACACGAGCTTAAAGTCAAACAACTGAACGAACGATACACCAATTTGACGAAAGGTGTGTCGGAAGAGATGAACACTAAATTCAAAGAATTGTCTGGGAAGTTAACAACAGCTGAAAGGGCCCTGAGTGAAAGAGAAGCCGAAATTGAAAAGCTTAAAGATGAAGTGAAGGTGTCTGTGAGTGCGTCTCACGAAGCACAAAGATCCGCGATAGAACTTGAAAGGAAGATCACGGGTTCTGAGAGAAAAAATAGCGAACTGTCTTACGAATGCGAGCAATTAAAAGAGCGATTTAAACGGAAGGATGAGATGGCTAGTGAGCTGGAAGCAAAACTTTCGGAACTTAGAGAAAAATGTAACAAACTTGAACTATCCGAAGCGGAATCGAACAAGAGAATCGCGGAGCTACAAGGAGAAATAAAAGCTAAAGAGGTCGTGTTAGAGAGAGTTCAAGAATCGTATGAAAAGCTAAACGGGATGGTGTTTGGGTCCTTTGAAGAACTAGAATCCGAGCTGAAAAGTAGGTTAGTGGATAGAGAGAGAGGATTACAAAATCAAAGCGCTGAGAACAGACGTCTGGAGACAAGCATTGTGGAAATCAAGCAACAAAATAGAGACCTTAGTAATAAACTTGAGGAAGCTAATGCAAAAATCGCCGACCTGGAAAACGCCAGCATTGAGACTGACACTGTTATTCGAGATTTGAAAAATCAGCTGAACTCTGCAGAACAGAACCAAGACACGTTTATGTTGGAATTAAAAGATACTCTTCAGCCAGTGGAAGGTGTGGATGTCCCGGATGGTAACCATGTGATGAAGGATTTTAGAAAAATGATTTTAAAGGTATAAAGTTTGTTTTCGGCAATACTAACAGTATGACACTTCCTACAATTAGATACTGCAATTGTTGGAACATTCAACCTCGGTCCCAAAATGTACGAGGACTCAGGCGACGTTCGTAGGGACACATTTCAAAATTCTTGTGTTCAGGTACTCCATGGAACCAAGCTAACCAGTAGGAACTTTACGCTCCGATCAGGGACGAATTTTAAGCCGGCACTGTAAGAAATATGACCCTCGTCGTGAATGGCGTGATCGTTCAAAGTTTGTTCTTAAAAGGCGAAATTGCTTGAATGCGTGGTAGCTAAGCTTAAAGCTTGAATTTGGCTAAGTTTTACCCATAGGCAGATGGTTAAACCGCCACAAAAAGTCATAACTTAATCGATTGGTCATTTCCTTGAGAACTTAAGGCTCGGTTTGATTTTTTAAAACGGTCAAAATAATATTTACCTCATGAATGAACGCAGCCCCGGAGGTTTTCTTTGTCCCTCTGTGTTTCACGAGAAAATTTAAATTGTTAAAATTCTTCCTGACGGAAGTTACTTGTTATTTTAGCAAGCCAAGAATCTTGTAGCTGAAATGTCCATCCTCCATCGTCAGTTGGACGAGAGAAGTACGCAGAAGGAAAAACTAGAGGAGCATGTGGCTGAGCTGCAGGATAACATTGAAAAGAAGAAGAAACAAATCATAGAGTAGGTGTCATGGTGTTCAACACATAGGTGTTGCATGCCGGGTGTGGTAAATGGATCAAAATGATGTTTTATTGTTTATGTGCTTTCTAAAAAGGTATCATGAGTTGTTTACTATGAAAACTGACGCGTCTCAAAGTATTTAACTATTTAACTCCCATGAGTGATTAAGACAGAATTTCTCCTTACCACAATCAATAAGCAGAAAAGTGATGAGAATAAAGAAACATATCAATTAGGGGATTATTGGTTGATCCAATGCAAAATTCTCCAAACTAACGTCGTAAGAATTGTATGACAGACATTGGGGAGAATTACTAAGGATCTTGAGAGTGAGAGGGTTAACAATTTATGCCGCATATATTGGAAAACTCGGTGTAAATTTATGTGCGCCTGGTACTAACTTACCATCAGGGAAGGGAATGGGGGCGGGGAAAGGAACGGGGGCGGGGAAGGGAATGGGGGCGGGGGGGGCAGAATGGGGTAAATCACTGTGTACTTTATTCCAGGACCGACTAGACAGTAACAGTGTTATTTCATTTTAGTTTACACGAAGAAGTGGACACCTCTCGCAGGAGAATTACGTTTATTGATGAAGAAAAAGACATCCTTGAAAAGGTATGAATTTTCTTGATCACGTTCTTTTTCTAAGGAAATTATCGCAATATGACCAGGTGATTATCGCGTTAATTGCGAGGTCATTAAAAATTGTCAAACACTTATGAAAAAAATACATCGAGGCTGGTATGACGCGTTGTGTTGTCTCTTCCAAGACACATTTCAGATTCTTTTTGGAAATTTCAAGCAAACACGTTCAGCATTGCGCTCTAAGTCCCGTTCGCGAATTCATGATGTTAGCCGTCTGGCTCTTTATCGCAGAAGGATTCTCAACTGCACGTTCACGAGTTACAATTTATGCCAAAAAAAGTTGCGATGTCCTCTTGTCTTTGAGCTTCCAGCCTAACAGGAAGCACTGCATTCTCTCTCTCCAGGAAAAACTTAAGGCAGATAACAGACTGGCAGAGCTGGAGGAGTCCGAGGAGACTCTGCAGTCCAATATCTCTTTCCTTGCAGAAGAAAAATGCAAAGTCCTCGATGAATTGACACAACTGAAGGGAATTAGAGAAGAAGAGGAAAAACTCAGATCGGAGGCGCATGACGAACTCGAGTCCCTGAAAGCCCAGCTTGGAGACACGGCGCAGTCCAAACAGAAGCTAGAAAACGAACTGGCAACTATCACAGACTCTCTTCAAACTATGGATGCCGAGAAGAAAGATCTGGATGGCCAACTGAGATCGCTGGAAGAGAAAATGTCTTCTGTACACGACGAGAGAATCGGCCTTGAGCACGAGTTAGATGTTGCCAAGGAACAATTGGAGGCAGCCAATGAGGCGAGAATTCGAGCTGAGCAGAGTCAGGTCAGGTCGCAGGAGCAACTGGAGAGCCTGCAGTGCATGATGGATCAGGAGATCGCAGCGCTTAAATTTCAACTCAGCTCGGAGACTATGAAGTATGAAACAGAGCTTAAGGTAAGTTCTATACTTTTCCATTAAACGATCGATGAAAAATGCCAGAAGGAGAGAGAGAGAGTGTTTAGAACGTTCACAAAATACGGTTCACACCACTCATTTTCAAGGATTTGTGGTGAACATAATCTGTTTAGGGGGTACACGGTAGATAGCTGGACACTGAAAGCGGCTAATTTGTTATCATTTGAAGCAGGACATGAAGCTCCAGTAGCTCCTGTACACAGATCATTAACGGTATAGGAATATACGATTTATTGGGACCTTGCCAAGGAAAAACTCAACCACTTTAGTCAATTTCTATCCTTTTGCGTGTCAGACATTTTTTTCCAACTTTGCTTCCTAACGAGGTGAACAACATCCACCTTTAACCTAAGAAACACTCGATACAAATTTGAAATTACAATGGAAAGTGCACAAACATTTGTAAGGATAGTTGTGTTTTTTGTTCCCAGATGCTAGTTCCTCTCTTCAAGGGGTATACTGTAGATTCGGGAATCGCCAAATACTGTGGCGTGGAAAATCCGACAAAACTTCCGCAGGTCACCTGCTGTGAACTCGCGTTTTGTCTTTAGCGGAGAGGTAGCAATAGTCTTGGCTCGTTCAGTCCGGGCAGGCTGCTTTACTCTGAGTAAGCTATTACTAAGTCAAGTTCTGCATTTTAGACTTTGTCGCAACAAATCCAAGAGTATAACGGCGTGAAAGAACGTTTATCAGAACAGGGCGAAATGATCACAGACCTGGAGAACCGCTTAAAAGAACGAAATGATACCCTGCAACACGACAAGCATAAATACGTGACGGAAATAAAACATCTACGAAGCGAGGTAGGTGGGCTTGACTGAAACTGGGATAAGCGCGTACAACGGCCAACCACAAGGTATTCGAGGCTCAAAAGTTATGTTCCATCAGTTAGTTTCAGTGTGTGTCGAAAAGACTGAGCGAACACAATGATGATTAATTGCGAGAAAGTTACGTAATTGTTTTTGTTCGTGGCTTTCGCTTTTTGCTTAGCTAAGCTTTCGCGTCCTCTTAACCTTTTTTTTACCTTCGTTAACCCTTTAACTCCCATGAGTGACCAAGACAGAATTTCTCCTTACAATATCAATACAATATCAACCGGATTAGTGATGAGAATTAAAAAATCAATTTGGGGATAATTAGTTGATCCAATACTAAATTCTCTGAATTAACGTTATATGAATTGTATGGTTGGCTGTAAGGAGAATTACAAATTTGATCTTTGGTCATATATTGTGAGCAAGACTTTTACCTGATCCGATGAAGTATTGGTAGTAGTGTTGGACACTGGGCCCAAACGTAGTTGAGTTTTGATTGACACTGCACGTGACTGCAGTCACACATGTTGCTTTGAGGTAGTGTTTTTTCTTAGAGAAAAAGGTGTGAGAGAAAAAAACTGTAGTGTTTATAGCAAGAAAACCTGTGATTATGACTAAACTTCTTTTGCCACGGAGGTATTCCCGAAAGCAGCGTTAAATTGCGTTCTGAAGGATCTCTTAGTTTAGCTTTTGGTGTATCGCCCGACCAGTGTGGGAACCGTGGCGACCTAATGGATAGTGCAATGGGCTCTGAGAGGTCTGGGTTTGAGACCTGACCTGGTCAATATGTTGTGTTCTTGGGCAAAACACTTGACTGTCGTAGTGCCTCTCTCCACCCAGGGGTATGGAGAATTATAAGGGAAGCCCGGTGAAATGCTGGGGTAGGGGTTAAACCCCCCTCCCCCAGGGGGTTACCCCGAGGGGAATAGTGATACTCCCAGCAGTTCCATGCTAAGGAAACCGGAATGAGCTCCGCCTGGGTTAACCATTTAGCTCGAGTTTGTCCTTAACCTATTTAATTTCGATGTTTTTATCCTGCTTTCCGCTTAAGGTGCAACAATATAAAAATGGATTTGACGAAAACAAGCTTAGAATGCGCGCATTGGAAAATGAGCTTCTCCTGGCTGCCAAACAGTTAGAGGAGGAACGCTCCAGACAAAGAGAACTGAAGAAAAAGGTGGAAGAATACGAAGAAGAAAAAGGTGTACACAGTCTTCGATACGAAAAAAAGATTTCCCAGTTCAAAGAAGACATGGATGAGTTGAAAAAAAGGCTGGTAGAATTAACAAGGTATAGCGATTGAAAAGATTCTTTTTGGCTAATAGATATTTGTCTTGAGAGTAGAAGTGTTGGTTTACCAGTGAGCGCGTTGGACTTAGCATTTTAAGGTCCGGGTTCGAGGCCGCGCTGAGTCATTGTTTGGTGTTCCATACCGTGCTATGGAAATATACATACAATGCATTTCTGTACCAAGACTGTATAACTGTGCAGGTGGGGAGGGGGGGGGGCGTTTAGTAAACTTACATAATTCCGCGCGGATAACCTTTTGGTGTTCCAGGGATCTAGAAAATTAACGTTTTCTGTGGAGATAGTATGTCAATCTGTAAACGTTATCGGGAAGAAATGAATGGCAGCAAGTATTTAATCAAATAAGTAATTGGTAGTAAATTGAAACAAAAGCAACATATGTGAATATGAAAGTGATCTTCGCAGTAACAAACACTACTTAAGCAGTAGTGAAAATAAGGCCTGAAAAAAATTCAGGCCTGTACGGGATTTGAACCCATGACCTCTGCGATACCGGTGCAGTGCTCTACCAACTGAGCTAACAAGCCAACTGAGAGCTGGTCATTATGTTGGTTCCAAATAAACCCGTGAAGTGGTGAATAAACGACTGTGAATATATGAAAGATATATATTTGAACTGCGGATAAAGCAGTTAAAATGTATCTAATTAACGGTTATTTCTTGGCATTTTCCTTGTAGCTGCCATATATTTCCTTATATCCAGGATAATTGCTTTGAGTTATGTTAAGATGATACCCACTGCAATGATTCGGCAAGAAGAAGGTACACGTTAATCACTTTTGATTTTCTTTAGAGAAAAAGCGGAGTTATGGAAGAAAGCGGATGACATGGAGCACGAGATCAAGGTGAAAGCGGACGACAGATGGATGGACGATAGTGAAGTTTCTCACTGCCTCAGTTGTAAAGCTGAGTTTTCGTTCCTCTTGAGAAAGGTGTGCTCGTGAACGTAAATTTTATTGAACTGAAAAATAGAAAAATCGACTTCATCCTGACCGGGTCACTGGATACTCGTTTCTGAAGCGCGACACTTTTAATCAGACGAAATAGTTGAATGCATGTCTTGATCTGAAGTAAAGTCTAATCTTAGCCTTCTGGTGAAAACTGCTCTGCCACAGACTTGAAGGTAGACTAAGCTTTTCCTGAATCATTATCCTGGAACAATCCAATTCGACAACAAAAACGACCGCAATTTTATGTAGTAATCCACTTCTGCAAGTGCTGTAATATTTCAGGAATACGATCATTGATTTGCGATAAAATTAAAACAATGATGATGGTACATTTTGAGAAGTTAGATAAAGACTTAAAAATCCAAAAAAATTCTCTCTTTATCAAAGAAAGAGTGCAAGCCTTCCTTTCCCGTTCGAAAAATAGTCACGAAGAAAGACGCCTTTTAGGGGGAAGGTGGGAAGCTGCTTTTTTATTAATGTTTATTTCTGTTCTTTTCAGCATCATTGTAGAGTGTGTGGTCGTATTTTTTGTCACAACTGCTCCAACAATTGGGTTCAAACTCCTCACAGCAGGTATGTCCGGTTTGTTACTTGTACAGCGCTAGAGTCTGAAAGGCAAAACCAAATTAATTACAACTGTCAATCTGCGCAAATGTAAACGTTAGAAAAGAGCTAATAAGAACTGGAGGCAAATTGACGCTAACTTCCTCAAGCAAACGTGAGTGACCAGTACGAGATTAGTTGAAGTTTAATATTTGGTTGTTTGAGGAAGTGGTTCGCAATTTCCTCACCAGTTGCAGAGTAGACTAACACAGGAGTTATGAATTGCGAGCTTTAAAGACTATTCAAAATCAGAAAACCGTGAGCTGGTACATAAAAGTTCCGTTTTTTAGCCTGTAACCTTGTTTGGCTCCAACTTCCAGTGTTAATGTTAGGAAGCCGGGTTATGCTCCGGCCGACGTAGTTATCGCAATGTAATTTCTTTTTTCTGATTTAGAAAACTCCGTCGTGTTTGTGAAGATTGTTCAAAATCCGATAAACGGCTTAATGCTCAACTTGTGGGAAAACCTTCAGACGTGGACGACGATCCGACATCAGACGTCAGTGATTTGCAGTCAAATCGGAGGGAAAGCCTGCTGAGTTTCCAGGATGACGAAGGGGGCCTGGGCGCTGATGACGACCCTCAGCCTGGTGCGTGACACAATTCGCTTAGTGTAGCGCCTATTGGTTTTTTTTTTTGGTCGCACATCAGTAGATTAGCGTAGCAAGTAAATTATCAGTGTTTCGTAACAAAGAGAGACCAGGAAATTGATTTTTAGAAAGACGTGAAAATTTTCCCAACTCGTTACTACATATTCTGTTGGGTATAGGTCCAAAGAATGAGGCAGTTTAAGGAGGATATTTCTTCTCTTTGGTGCACTTGAGGAATATGGCTGTGATGACAAATCTCTATATTTATAAGCACCTGGCTTATTTTTGAGCGCGATTGATAAACGCTTTGCCTTAGCCTACATACCTACCTTTCTCTTCTTGTTCTAATTTATTCTGTAATTTCCATGGTAACTTATTAGGTCCCAGTACTTCTGGTGTAGTTCTCCCGGGTTGTCCCCAGTCCACCTCCACTCCTAAAAAATCCGACAGAAAAGGAAGCAGCGATAAAGAGCGCAGCCAAAGTGTGACAAGTGGTGAGAATCACAAATACACCACCTTGAAAAGTGCCAAGAAGTCCGCAGCCAAAGAAGCAGCCAAAAAATCTGTGGAAGAAAAACCTGAGCCTGACCATTCATCAAAGGAGGAAGAAGAAGAAGAAGAAGAATATGAGTTTTTGGAGGAAGGAGACGAACAAGCGTTTGAACAGCCGCAAGCTCAAGTGGTTATCTGTGAAAGTGACGTTAGAGAAGACTTGGCGGTACCAGCGTTGAACGAGGAGCCGGGACCGTTTTGGCACGTAACTGTACCCCCAGGAAAACGTCATTTGATTCCAGTACTGGTCGGAACTCAGGGAACGTCGCTATCGTGGAAGTTTTCGACCGAAAAAAGGGTGAATTAATCTATGTAGCGCTGTTACGCCTTTAAAATTCAAAGGAATCGAGCTGAGAGAATGGGGCTGGTTTCAGGGGGGAACAAAGATTATCTTTGGGGTATGAAGGACATAAGATTTAAGGGAGGGATGCAGGCTGACAATAATGGTGGATGGGTTTGAATACTTTTGAACTAAACGTTGTCATTACGTTATAGAGCATACGCTTTGGAGTTGCCTTCAAACTCTCGGAGACAAAGAAGGACAGTGAGTGCGAGGTAGGAGATCGTGTCATTTCATCGGTGTTACTTACTTGCATCCATCGCGACGGGTAAGGTAACGAATTCGATCCTAACGACGCGTCGGTCAACGTCTTGACCGACACGTCGGCCGACACACTATCGAAGCCGAGTGGGATGGAATAAAATACCATAAACACCGGCATATCACCGGGTTTTGAAACTCAAATTTTGGGGGGAAAAAGTTTCTCAGAAAAATTGTTTTAAAGCAGTAGAAAGTTAACTCAAAAGTTTCGCTGTAGTGTTTTGTAAAGTCATCGATCCATCGTTTGACTCTTTATAGTTGAAAAAAAGTAAAACTGTATACCGCCCTGGACATATGAGAAATGTTTTCTTTGATACTTTTGACGAGTGCATTTTCATTTTTTAAGCGTTCTTTTGGTCGCTAACAAGCAATAACCAACATGCTTACTATTATGAAACTTACCAACTTGGCGATAGAGGAAGGACCTGACACAAGAATTGTGTGATTGATTTGTGGGACTGGGTCGAGAAAGAACAGAAAAGATGGCGTCATATTACCGTTTTAACTTTAAGAAGTTTATCGGCAACAAAAGCACACTAACTAGGTAACAAAAGCATACTAATTCTAGATGAGTGAGAAGTTTAAGGAAAAAGAGAAGCACTGTAGCTTGATCCTCCTTCAAAACCTTTAATTGGATTTTAAAAAATGTCGCCGACGCACCGCCGGCACATCACCGACACACAACAGACGTTTCTCATTAATTCAAAAGGAAACTAATTGGTAATGCGTCGGCCGACGCGTTGAACAATGCATCGAATGATGTGTTGTCTGGATCGGAGTCATCATCCTACCCCATTAAAACAAGGTAATCCTTTTAAACGATGAAACAATAGCATGAGCGTATTCTTGCTCCGCAAAACGTGGCGATTCTCATACTCATTCATCTATTAATTTCCCAATCTTCTTTTTACTTTCATATGTCTGTGTTAATTTCCTTTTTTGATTTGGGGAGACGTGGTAGTTCAAGCGTTGTGTTCCATTTCGCACTACCGCGCTTCTCTCCTATATTTCTGTTTCTGACGTCAGATATGCTTACCTCTCTCCAACAGACCGTAGTGCCTTTATCTCAGTGTAATTCTCAGCAAATTTCCATCAAGGGTGAAATAACAGACGTTTCTCCTGGAGTATATGTGCTTGTATTCGATAACACCTTCTCCAGGTTAGTTCTTTTGCCATGCATTTAATTTCAAGTTTCTTTGCTTCCGACAAAGCACGCCATGACGTGCATGCCATGCGTATTTTTAGGCCGTTTGGGTGGTTAACCCTTCAACTCCGCAAGATCTGATGGTTAATTCTCCTCTCTAGCTGCTACACATTTCCTTGTACATTAGTAACGAAAATTTGGTGTTAGATCAAGAGAACAACTTCTGCCTGATAAGTATTCTCATTATCTATATGTTGGAAAGCGTACGGATATTACAGGGAGAAATAACATGTTAATCACTTTTGGGAGTTAAATGATTAAGAACTGATTATCTCTATGCTATTTTTGAGCAGCTTTATTTGATTGGCAAAGCTAAAGAAGTCAGAGTGATTTCAGAAAAGGGAAGACTTAAAGCGCGAATATAGGCTTAGCAGAAAAGTGCTTGCTCTGCAACTTCAACATATAACCTTGGACTCGTCCATTCTTTCTCTCCCACACTAGACAAGATAGCTTGTCAAGGATACTTGTTATAGTAAATTTCAGGAGTTTCATTTCTCCTTTTCCCTTTGCAATTTCCCGGACAAGTGTTCTTGTCAAGTCACCTTAACTAGTAAGATTTGAAAGGGGTAAAATGCCAGAGAAACTGTGGTGCAGCGTCGTTGTGGGGTATTACACAATTATTTGGTTTTATCAACAGAGTTGACGAAGAGCTTGGGGCTCTAAACGTCAGTTTTAGAACGGTGGCCAATTTACATCATCAACTTAGTTAACAAAGCCAAATTATCTATCAATGAAATATCAGTCCTTGATTAGAATTTCGTCAGAAAAGTGTCCTTATTCAAAGGCTGGCCTTTCGACCTTTGTCTAGACACTAATTTGTTTGTTTTCATTGAAGATTTACGTCCAAGCGTTTATTTTGCCTTTCGATCTTTGTCTAGAGACTAATTTGTTTGTTTGTTTGTTTGTTTTTTTCATTCAAGATTTACGTCCAAGCGTTTATTTTGCATGGTGCAAGTTGAACAAAAGGATAATGAACACGACTCTCTCACGTAGAAAAAGGAAACAGATATAATGTATTATTATATTAGTGATGATGTTTTAAATTCTTAGATGTTTTAATAGAACTATTTCTAAACAATTTTAGCGCCATTTCTTTTAGCTAGTGATGGAAAAAGTTGGTGTTTTTAGAAAATGGATTTTAGGATATCTCTTAAAGAGTAAACTTTTTAAATGACCCAAGTTTTTACTACTAATAAAAGCTGTAAGTTTTTATTCTTAATTTTAAATCTAGCGTAAGTTAAACCCTTAAAAAAATTCTTCAATATACTGTGGTAATGAACATTATTACCACAGTACATTGAAGAAATGTTTTTTAAGGTTTAAGTTACCTTAAGTAATAGTAATAATACTTTTTACAGCGGTAATATTATAAGTCAAGTGAGATATATTTGGCAAAAGAGCCTTACATTCAAAAACTACTGAACTAAAAAACTTGAAATGTGTCTGTCCATACGCACATTTGTTCAAGCTTTACGATCTTCCTTAAAACACTATGATTCGGTTCAGATACTGATCTTTTCATTTGTTGAATAGATATTAATCCATTTTACCGTATTTTGACGGTAGTCTCTTTTTTGCTTCAACATGAAAGAAAACTTTTTTTTGATTTTGGACGATGTGAATCCGACTTGTGCAAAGTTTAGTGCCTGAACCGGGCCAAGTCCTTTTTTTTTTTTTTTTTTTTTTTTCAGCCATCTGTCGTACTTAGCTACAATGAGTGGCAAAAAGCCTAGCACGCTCTAACTCTTTTTGAATTTTTTTTTTCTATAACAGTTATCTCTCCCTCTGCCCCATAACAGTGTCGCCTGGTATTGTTAACAAAATAGTCACTAATTTATTGCAACATTGTTTAGGGTGCAAGGTTGGGACTTTCAAGAAACATGAAACAATTTGTTTTTACTATTTTGAGTGGAAATTTTCAACCACCTACTGGCGGGAAATTAAACGGAGTGATGAAACCTTTTTGTTCTCGACTGTAAATGCATGAAAATCATATACGCGAACTGCGGTTGAAGAAACGAATATGGAAGCGATCCTCGCAGTTATGAGCATTACTTAAGAAGTAGTGAAAGTATGGCCTTAAAATAGTTCAGGCCCTTATGGGATTTGAACCCATGACCTCTGCGTTACCGGTGCAGCGCTCTACTAGTTCCCAGCTCCCAGTTGGCTTGTTAGCTCAGTTAGTAGAGCGCTGCACCGGTATCGCAAAGGTCATGGGTTCAAATCCCGTACGGGCCTGATTTTTTTTCAGGCCTTATTTTCACTACTACTTAAGTAGTGCGTTCATAACTGAAAGCATCGCTTCCATATTCATTTTTCTTCTCGTCTTATTCAGTTATAGTATACTCTTGCAGGAGCATAGTACTTAATGAGCTCCTGAATTTGGTGAGACATAACAGGTAGTTGGGTAAATTATTCAACCGTGAACACCAGTGAAATTGATCGGTGTTCACTTTATTCATAGTAAAGTGTTGCTACCAGAGGGAAATATTTTTATGCAGTGTTGTTACGTCTTCTGTGGGTTTTTTTGAAGTAAAAGACTATTTGTTGTTAAATTCATCTTCTAGCCCTTTTCTGTAGTACTTATCTGGGTGAATGTCTCTAATTTAATGATTCTATCCTTCATTGGCGTTTTGATTTCCACTAAGACGTTCAGTATTTAGAACGAGAGATATATAAAACGGCTCGAAAATTGCAGGAGCAAATAAGCGGGAGAGCACTAGTTCGGGTCGCGTAATGAACGCCGTTGTCCACGCGACGCGACGCGACCCAGACCTCCTCCGCTACTATCGTGCCGTTTATTTCGCGCGAATTTTGCACCGGTTTGCTTGCTGAACGCTTGGAACAGTCTAATCCTTTGTAAGTTACTTCCTTCCTTACATCCTTCTTTCTTGATCTCACTCTCATACCTTTTATCCCTTCGCTTCTCTACATCTTTTTATCTCTCCCGCTTATCTTGGAAAATCTGACTGAACTTACGCTCCCTTACCTATTACTCATTCCCTTTTTAATTTTGTTTTGTTTGATTTTGTCATTAGTTCTTCTTGCGTACGATTATTTGCTACTGTCCAACAATCATTTTTCATGGTCAGCGGGTTCACTGAAGGGACTGCACGCCGAGATTTTGCTTCACATTTTTATAATGTCTCGAAATAGTCGCATAAATATTTGCCTCTGAAAGGTGTTGGGCAAAGGTTTGAGAGTAAACTATTATGGCTATATTGGTGTCGAGTGGAAGATCAGGATTTCTCATTCTCTGTATTGCCTTTGACTTGACTACTATCTCCCTTGCTGTAGCAGAACCTTACATGGGTCACGCCAATCTTCTTCCGTTGCTTTTCGGTGTGTGGATGCTTCATTCCAAATCGAAGAAAACATAACAGTATCCTTGCGCACTAAACATTGCCTAAACTCAGAGCCCTCGATTCGTTGCACCGGCTATAAGATTTCATAATTTTTCTACGCTTTGCGGGCCTATAATTCATGATGTCTGAGCTCAATTTCAATTCGAGAATCGCACACTTGCCACTCTATTCTTTTTAATTTTTTGGTTTTCTTTTCTTTTTTTACGCGTGCTTGGAACTGATTCGAAATTTTCAATAGCGTTTAAATATCATTTGTTTCACGACTTAAATTAGTCTGCTCCAGTAAAGGCGAAGGCGCTCGATGGCGCGAACTGACCATGACCGCGGGACTACATCCGGGACTCGCACACACGTTGTCCAAGATGGCGGAAACAGGTGATCATACTTGGCTCGCTGCTTTCTTCTTTTTATTCGATCTTGTTTTCATTTATCTCGATTTTGTGTCTTTTCGACCGGATAATACAACGTTTATTGTAGCTCTTTTGTAATACTACCCGTTTCTTGCCACAGCTAAAAAAGCTAAAAAGAAAAAGGGGAAGACTTTGGCCCTGACCGAGTTCTTGGCAAAAGATGGCGAAAACGGATCGTCGACTGTTACTCATGCGGCTATATACTCAGCTAGATCGACGAGCTGGGCGGACGAAAGTGAGAGCCTAAGCACTGAAGGTATTTAAAGTTCTTTTTGAGCGTTTCTTGGGCTGATTAAGGCAAAATAGTATCACAGGGGCTTCCAAAGATCTCGCTACGCTACTTATTTAAACCGATAAGTTGAACAATGATTCAATTTAACTTCAACCCAGTGTAGGGCTATCTTAAATAATGTTACAAATTTTTCATTATTTCGAAGAAACCACAATTGATTGTTCTTTTCTGTCGGACCCTTATTGGATCTTTGCAACGCTTGTGCAACTTCACGGTGAAAAATAAAACACGACATGCTAGCAGGTCATTCATAAAAGATAGTTAAGTTACGTGAGATTGTGAAATCTTGAATTATTTTAAGAGAAATAAAATTTTTTGTGGTAGCAGAATGAAATTTAAATGAATGAGTGATTTCAAGCATCTATGTTTGGCTCCCAAAGCCTTGTAATGTTATGGTAATTACCTCGAAAAAACCTTCATATCGATCTCTAGAAATAATTCATATTCAAAGAGACACGACCGACAAATAGATTCTCTATTTTTGCCCCATGTCTGCCACTAACTTGTTATGGTTACATTTTTCAAAACAATATTTTGAAATGTAAAATTAAAGACTCTCAAGAGACGTGTAGACAAAATAAAGCCATCACCAAGTACAAATTAGCTACGAAGAAGTATTTTAGATAATGTTACCTCGTGTATGTTCGCTAACAAGATGACGTGTCTTACAACTGCTTTGATTTTAACTAATAATTTAAATAATGTTTTAACAACGCTAACCTCTGCAGAAAAATATCAGAAAAAATAGAGATTCTGATATTTATTTGTCATTTATTGAGAAATAGAGATTTTGCTTTTTCTAAAAAACTAAACAATATTAGTTTCATGACTGGATTTTTTTGTTGCGCAATGAAGGACCTTTCTTTATTCACCATTATAAACCCCAGTTTGAGATAATGACAAAAAAATTAAAGGGGTTTGGTGACATATACCAAACATTTTGTAAAATAATTTTGAGTTTAAAAGAACTCACCCTTAGCAAGTCTTCTTTATATATTTCTTTTGTTTGTGTTCTAAATTTTGTTCTGAGGAGAAAAAAAAGAGATTTTGCTCAAGCTTTTAAGGGAAAAATTATTTCATGGAAAGTCTGAACTGAAAAAGCCTACACAACTCTGCTTTATCCCAAGGAATATGTTATTTTTTTAAGAGTAAATGTAGATTAAAGGTGATATGGAATCCTGACGCAAGGAAACCTAGTATGATGAAAATAATGTTACATGTAAAATGAAAAAGCAAATTCTTCAGACCCAAAGTAAGTACAATTATAAAAAATGGGATATGTACTCTGACCATGAGAAAATCTTAGCATCACAAAATTTGGATACGGTCAAGTTAAATTGAGAAATTCAGAGTTTGGTTTTGTTCAAATGTCTTCCATAACACAATACATAATATGCAGTACCCACACTGTTACAGACTGAGCTGGTCTTCTCAAAATTACTTGGGGTATATCTACAACCAATTTGTCAAAGATCATTTCCTTACAATTTGTGAATTTTCCCAAAAAGTTTACTGGTAACCATCCATACTCCTGGTCCTGGTTGTTCAAAGGGTGGATAACACTATCCACTGGATAAATCACTATCTGGTGGATAGCGCAGTATGGGTGTTATGTGTTGGAATATGGGTGTTATTCAAAAAGAGAGGGAAGGGGATTTTGATTTAAAATTTTTCCAGTGACAACTCTTTTTTTGGGTTAAATATCTTAACTTAAACTTAATAACTTAAAGCAGGGTTTTTGATGACTTGTTTTTGTAACTGATAGAAGTTCAATGCTTAGAGTCTTTATATTTAATGGTGACTTTTCCATATTTCATAATTAACCCCTTTGTTTAATTGTATGTTCAGGTAAAGCCATGTAAACAGGCTATTTTCACAGACAATGTGTGCTGAACAGAAAGCAGCACTGTACTTTCCTTATGACTACAACATCTGTAACTTTCTTCAACTTAAAAAGATTTTTTTTTGTCTTGACTTCTCATGAGTTCTACTCCAATTATCCTTTGTTTAGGTCTGAATGAATTCATCTATTTTCTTTTCCTATTTGTTGTGTGAGTAGAGACTGCTGGTCTCCTAACTAGTTTATTCCTCAAAGGGAAGAGTTAAGAGAATAAATTACTATTTCCAGTACCTTAAGGCAGTAATGCAGTTTCATTATTGGTTCATATGTCAGTGTGCGTTCATTGAGATATGAAGCATGGGGGAAGTTTGCAGAGCATGAAAGATGCGCAAGAGTTGCTCGAGGTGTAGCCGAGAGCAACTCTAGCTTCTTGAGTGCTCTCCAAAACTTTCCAAGTGCTTCATATCTCAATGAACGCATGGCTGACATATGAACCAATTGCTTTATGACATTTTCAACACAAAGGAAAATTTTTTTCTCAAGGGATTTGTTTGCTGACGTCATGAGCGTGCACAATAGGAATATGAAGCACACTCGCGCAATTGAATTTGATTAGACAAATTTACTAGCTATGTTATAAAAATGCCTAGACCATGATCCATACACATGAAATTTTGATTTTTTTTTTTTGTCTTTTTTTTATAGTGGACACTACATGGCCTGAAGAGGCTTATGGGGGAATCTCTACAGGCAATAAACTGCGTGCAGCAATGGATAGGGCCTCTCTTCCAACTGCACCAAGGGCATCCAGAGGCCCTGACATAGATGTTACCAAAGTTCCTGATGATCCCCCTTACACAGCATTTCTTGGAAACCTTTCATACGATGTTGACAGGGATGACATCTTTGAGTTCTTTGCCGGCAAAAAGGTATGAAGTGTTCAGGTGTACACTGCAATTTGTTACCTAGCAATATCTGTTTACAGAAATGATGTTAAAGAGCTATTTGGTAACATAAAGACAGTTTTTTCTTAGCAAAAAAACTTAAAAAACCACAACACACCCATAGCATACCATATTCTCTTTACAGGGAAGGGTCCTAATAGCTGGGTAAGTTTATGAAGGAGTTTTTCTTGGTGGAAAACTTTATGAATTAATTGATATCCTTCTCAAGTGTACAAAGCCTGTGTAATTATCATAAAAACTATTTAATTATCACCAGTTGGCTACCTTTTGAATACGATTTTTTATTTGGCAAAAGTTTAATCCACCCATCCCGGTCCTGTCACATGCTTTCAACCACTTCTCAGTAAAACGACATGCTTGACATTCCATTGGCAAGACTCAGAGACAACTGAGTACGATAACTTGGTAACTCAGGGTGCTCTTCATAACAACAGTATTTTTTCAGGGTTATTTCAGTATTCAAATTTTGTCTAACTTTTATTTCACTTGCATAATATACTTGCATATACTTGCCTGACATTAGTGGCAAGCCAGGGGAAAAACCATTTTTGGGAAAACTGGGGTTTTGATAGGAGTTTAAAATTTAATTTTGCTACAATCCTCATTTGTATTATTGGAAACTGTATCCAAGAGGTTCTAGTTTTCAAAATTAGTTGTGGAGCTTCATTGAAAACCCAAATCACATCATGTATCTTTTAAAATTGACTCAGATTTTGATATCTGTGAGCCATGTCTCTCACAGTAGGGTTTTTTTGTCATACAGATCACTGAAGTGAGGCTCCCCCAAGACAGTAATGGGCGACTTAAAGGGTTTGGCTATGCAGAGTTTGTGGATAAGGAGTCTCTTGTGGCTGCTTTAACTCTAAACAATGAGGTAATTTTTTTTAACTTCTTTGCAAAGATCTACCCAACATGGAAGTTTTAGAAATTGGAGCCCAAAAACTCATGTTCAGTTTGACACTGAGAAAAATTTACTAACATTGGGTTGTGTGGAGCAAGTACATGTACATGTAGCTTTTGCACTTGCTTGCTGGACATAGCAGCACAGTTTGGCTCCACTTGCATCAATCCCTTATGGAAAATTGGATTGTATATTTCTCACTAGAGGAGAGGTTTGATTAATCAAGTGCAGAAATATTTGTTACAATGTTATTAATAAAGAATGATATTTGTGAGGTAAAATAAGAATAAAGAATGAGGTATTATTGTAAATATTTTTTTTATGTTAATAGAAAAAAGATTGTACACTATACCACAATTGAATTCTGAATAACCTTTGAACAATTGACAACTCTGACAATACAAAATCCCAGTAGTGTTATGATATACTTTTACATTTGAGGGATATACTCTTGTTTTTTAGAAAGCTGAACATGGTTGTGCAATTGCCAAAGACAAATTCTTTTATAGCAATATTAGCACACTTTTTTCATGTGTTCTTTTCAATGTGCTTCCAAAAAATACATTATTATTTTAATGTTTTTTTTAATAGTTGTTTGTATAATTTTGGACATTTTTTGGCATTGCAGCAACACTGAAGCATCTCAGAAACACCCCACACTTAAATGACTTTTGTGACTGTTGCTCTTTATTATGGATCTGTAGTAAGCTCTGCAAGAACTGCCTTTCTGCTAAGTTTGAAAAACGTTAAATAAGAAAATTGAGGTACATTTCTTAAATTTGTGGTCAAATGAAAATAAATCAGCTTTGATTTATCTTGTAGATGAGAGAGTCAATGTGTTTTAGAGCACCAGAACTTCATCAAATATCATTCTTTGGTGTTATAGTTAGCACCTTAAAAACGGTTTGTGGTCTTTGAAGAAGCCCAAGCTTTATTACGGTTGCATTTTGATTTGTCACCTTTTTTCCTCTCTCTTATATATGTAGCATCTGAAGAACAGAAGAATACGAGTCGACGTTGCTGGACAACAACAACAGCAAGGTAAAGGGCGATATATGCTTACTGAAAATCTAAGCTCTGATAAGCCACCCACCTTTCTTATGAGGCTCCCACTTATAGAAATTTAATTCTCTACCTAGCACACCCTCCCCCTTCTCCTGCCTCTGTTTGATCGACAGCTCAAAAATAGTACTTTAAATCTATTTTTCCAACGAATGTCGAAAGGTAGCTGCAATCTTCCCTATGGATTGGGATTGGTCCAAAATATTCGCGCCATTTTCACAATGAGTCAGTGCAAAACTGAAACCAATCGCGAGTGCGTCACCCGCATTCTCTCGTTTTTTTTTTTTTTCTTTTTTTTTTTTTTCACTTTGAGTTCCCATCTCCTCCCTCTGATATTTTCTTTTGCTCTGATTTGCTATTGTGATTACTTTGGTCAGTTCGGATTAATGATACTCGATCAAAAAACACTCTTGTTATCAGTTTGGTTTGATTTGCCTTTCAGTACAAAATACACTTGCACTTGAAAGCTTGTATTAGTTTACGTTTTGGATGTTTGTGAGGTTTTGATAAAAGAAACGCATTCTGTATACGGTGTTCGTGATATTAAGATGAAGAAAGATAAAGAAGAAAAGTGATGAATCGTATTTAGACCCCTAAATATGAGCTAGTTTTTGATAAGACTCCTTCAAGTGACACTGCACAGTAATGTCCTACTTTTCCAGTCAGATATGAGAAGTATACATCCTCTCTGAAATCATCTAACATATATTTTGAGTCTAAATATGGCCGAAAAATAAAGAAACGATTTATCGTTGGAATCATGTCGAGAAATACCCCTTAACAGTTCCTGTTAATTTGTTGCCCTAAGGATGTCTTCTACACAACCCTTTTTACCTGTAACATTAAAAAATGTATGGCAGGTAATTCTTTTTTTTGTTTCTTTGTTTATTTATAGAACGCGAGCGCGGTGACCGGGATCGGAGTAATGAACCTGATCGCACAGATAGTGATTGGCGAAGCAAACCCGAACCTCCCCCAACCCAGAATGGTAACAACGACAGATATAACGACGATGGTGGATCCCGTGATCGTTGGGGTCCTCGAGGATACGACGGTGGACCTCGGGATAGATCGGGTTACCGAGGATATGACGATGGACCTTCTTGGGACAGATCAGGTGGAAGGGACCGAGGGTACGATGACGGACCTCGGGGCAGAGACCAGGGATACCAGGACCGCCGAGGAGACGATCGGTACGGGGACCGTGACAGGGGAAAGGGATTTGGCAGCAACTGGGATTATGGAGACAGAGACAGGTATGAAATGGTTTTAATGTACTAAATGCCGTGTTGCATGAAAATTCGCTTATTTACATCCTCCTGCCAGTAAATTTTTGGTGAATCCGTGTTCAGTCTCTCAGTAGGCTTTTGTTTCAACAACCTCTTGTTCTTCCTCGTAAAGCCCATTGCTTTTAAATCCAACATAGGCGAGACGACAGAGGTCAAGACCGTTACGATGGTGGCCGAGATCGCCCCGATGATCGACGATATGGAGATCGTTACGGTGGCGATCGGGGAGGCGGATATGGCCGAGACCGTTACGACGATCGCCGAGGTGGTGATCGTTATGGGGGTGATCGAGATCGCTACGGCGGATATGGCCGAGAACGCTACGATGATCGCCGAGGGGGTGATCGCTACGATGATCGCCGAGGGGGGGATCGTTACGATGATCGCCGAGGGGGTGATCGATACGATGATCGCCGTGGTGGCGACCGTTACGACGATCGTCGAGGTGGAGATCGGTATGGTGACAGAGATCGAAGGCGTGACAACGATGACCGCGAGAGAAGCTCATGGCGTGACTTAGACCGTGGTCGCGATTCAAGGAGCGACTTTGATAGGGACGAGAGAGAGCCTGGTAAGAGAGAAACCTTGATCTCTTTTGTTACAAATGTTACAGTGTTTTGTCGCAGCAAAACTTTGATGAAGTTTGTATTTATGAAAACAATAAATAGGGAAATGACAATGTCTTTCTCAGTTACACAAAATTAGCGAAAACTATACGGTCTCGCTCGCCCTTCTGACACTTGTATTTGAATTACAGTCAGAGAGAGGCCAAGGCTTCAGCTCCAGCCTCGCACTAAACCGGTGGAAGAAAACAAAGACGAAACTGTAACAGACAGTTCTGTGTTTGGCGGCGCCAAACCTGTCGACACGGCCGCGAAAGAGCGAGAAATCGAAGAGAAACTGGCCCGACAAAAACTTGAAGACGAAGCAAAATTGAAGGAAGAGAAAGAGAGACAGAGAGAACGACGAGAGCGTGACGAATGGCCACGAGGCTCCAGTGGTCGAGCGCGGCGGGACAGCAATCGGTCGAGCGACGGAGAAAGGGGAGGGAAAGATCGACGAGACAACCCGGACTTTCGCAGCCGGCGTGACAGCGCGAGGTCCAGTGACGAGGGTTTTCCAAGCAAGGCAGTCGAGCCCGCTTCTCGGGATAACTCTCGGGGAGGTGGAAAAGAGGCCAAGGCGGCACCGAAGGAGGCACCTAAGGATGCTCCACCTCCTGCTGTGAATGTGTGGACGCAGCGGATGGAGCAACAGAAAGCGGCATCGACGGGAACGGCTGAGCCAAAGAGTCCCACCGAGGAGCATAGAGTGGAGATCAACGTTGACAGTAGCACCATGACAGTGACGTCTCCCACCTCTCCCACCTCTCCCACCTCTCCCACTTCCTCAGAGAGAAAGAGTTTCCCCAGCAAACGGTCTGGCCCTCGAAAGGAGTTCAGAGAAGGCGGGGGTCCGCCAAAAGGCAGAGGCAGAGGGATACGCCCTGAGCGAGGAGAACGAAGCGAGAGAATTGACAGAGGCGACAGGGCAAGCGTGAATGGTCCGGACGGAGGTGGTAGAGGAGTGAAGAAGGAGAAGAGGGAACGGAGACCTGCAGAGCCTAAGAAATACGAGGAGACCCAACAACCGGCAAGTGATCAGATTATAAATTACTCTTGACCTTCCTTTGAATCAAATCGGAAAGGCTAAGGTGCAAGTCCTCACGGACGACAAATAGTATTCTTCGTTCAGCTCTGTTGCAAATGCTTTCCAAACGAGTTTTAAAATTTCCTTTTGTTACAGGAACTAAGTTTTCTCAAGGATCGCTTACAAGAAAGTTAAAAGTTATCTTAACAAGTATCACATTTCTTACCAACAGGTCTTCCACACAAAGAGCAAATTTGCTGCTCTCTTGGATGATGAAGAGCCATCCGAACAGGACACACAAGAACAGTTAGACGCCGAAGACGAGACGTGATGACATCTCTCTGTTCCTTTTTTTTAATATTATTACAAGTTGAACAAATGAATTGCAAGCCCCAGATAAAAAACATTGGTGTAAATCGTTAGGTCACCCTTCTGCTTTACCAGGGCGCATGCTAATTGATGGAAACCGCTGGCGTTTGTTACGACGTGACCGACTTGATTTGGTTGTAAGCACGGACACATTAGGTAGACCAGTGCAAGCCGCATTTCATAAATTTGAACTTTAATATATTTTGGTGAGATTCTATGAATGAGAGGGTTCGACTTTGCATTTTTCTTTCCTTCGGTCTTAGTAGCTTTGATGATATTTTAAACTACTGGTTTCACTAATTATTTTGGACAACTTCGCTGCTACTAAGTTGTTTCTTTCCGTGAAAATGTTGTTTTTTCGATTTTTTTTCTATTGAAGGTGAGATGGATTTAACCCTATTTTCTTATCTTGACTCGTTATGCGATCGCGTAGATTTGGATGAAATTACTTTTTGTGTTGGAAGACGCCTGTTTAAGTGAAGCTTTGTAAGTCTAAAGAGTTTACTTTCGTGATGTTAGTCTTAAGAGTAGGTTCATAATCGATGATTGCTGCTATTATATAAGATAAAATGTGCACTTTGGTGCAGTTTTATTTTATTTTCTACCACAAAAGTGGTAATTGTGGAAACGGTTAAACGAGGGTTGAAAATCCGTCCAGTCCTCATGAAGTGTTTTTCTGGTCGTGGGGGAGGGTAGAGGAACCCTCTCAAACTCAGTGATCAAAGACTTCTTGTCGTTCGAAACCTCTTTTTTTCTTTTCTTTTTTTTTTTTTCGTATCACTGAAGTCCATACCAACTTATTTAAATACGATTACCTTCCCCAGTGAGAAGTTAAATTTATTGGCTCGGAGCAGTAATGAATGCACTTAACGATGGTGCAGTGATTTTAATAAAAAGTTATAGTCTTGTTCACCTTGACTTTCTGATGGTTTTGAACCTGTGCTAAAATTAGAAACTATCAATTATTCGCCACAGAGACACAGCGTAGCATCACGTTTCCCGTTGATTTTTTGGCAAAGTAAGCCAGTTTGATTTACATGTGGATGACAGCTGTGTCATGTTGAAACTAATAACACGAGTGACAGGCTGATCAATGTTCATTTCCGGGTTTAAAAAAAAAGAGGGAATCTCTCGACTGGGTACGTCTCGTTGGCGAGGTCGGCGTCTATGAATCTATCGTTATCTCAGGTTTCTGGCGAACAGGAACGGGTGCGGTCATGTAGACCGTCAAATAAGAAACAGCTCAAACAAAGCGAAATTCTTGGAATTATTTAACAGTTATCCTAACCGAAAAGGCAAGGTCACTTTCAAACACAAAATCTGAAGGCCACTCTCAACAAGCCCTCCCATAAATAGCTTTTGATGTTGATTCGTGTCACTGCTAATGCCAAGGTCACGTAAGACGAAATAAATTAAATTCCTTCCCGCACACTTAGAAAGAGCTTATGGAACTCTCAGTTCACATTCTTGGCGCTCAAGCACGATTTTAGAAGTGTTATTTGTAAGTAAAGGGGGCCACGAAACGGTATGTACATCCTAAGAAATTTAAGCCGAATTTCCCAAGTGCGCCCGTTTGTCGTCCATTCTATCGTTGTTTGTCAAGTTCTGCCAAATTAGACACTCGTGTTACATAATGTTCTTCAAGTGGAAGGTGGCTTTGTAGGAGTGCGCAACTAAAAAGTTTCGTGACTCACCTCCTTAGAAGTTTCTGATGACATTAATTATTGAATTGATTGATAAATTAGCTAAATTATTTCCTTATTGAAAAGTTTAGTTCTCCGACCCCAGAGTGATCGGGCTCTGCACGCATTCAATAATTGTTTTTTTTTCTTCTCGCTTAGCGGCTAAGTCTGTAAATGGCCGTTAGTTTACCAATAGTAAAGATTTTCCAGCGCCTTAAAAGATTGAGCTGTGGTTAGTTCAGAACTTCAATTAGTTTCATTTTAGCTCAGCTTTAAAGCAACAATTTACAATCGCTAATATTAAGCTACACACAGGGGCACTGTCTGCACCTATTAAAATTGCATTTGTTTCTTTGGAAAGTTTCCATGCGGAGCCTTATCGTACGTGGATGCATGGTTACAGATGTGCGTATTTATTTCTGCGTATTTTTCCTACCGACAAACAGAGGAAGCACTCTTTCTTGTTTCAGTCAGAGAAAGTGCGGATTCCTGTGGCTAACTGACTCACACTAGCTCGAGGAAATTTTGTTATCCTATGACAAATCTTGTCTAAATTCGTAATTCCCGAGACAGCCCATGCAGTATGAATTAAAAGAGCTGAGTTAAATGAGCAATCAACACGGGCGACAATCCACCATTGTCTCTCGTATAAATATTTAGAAATCCATTTTAGTGCTTATGACCTGTCCATTCGAATTCAACACATCGAGTTTTACTTTCTAAAAAAAAATGCATGCGACATTGATATGGTTGTTGATGTTATTTTCTTTTTGATTTGTTTTTTTTTTTTTTTAGGTTGTTTTGTTGTTGTTTTTTTTTTTCACAGCCCTTACTTTTTCATAATAGTGCTTTCAATTTTTGTTGTTAGTTTTTTTTTTCTATCTTTAATTGATTGATCACAGAATCGTGAAAGGATCAGATCTAAGTCACCGTTTTCAATTTCATAATTATCCTGGTTTTCTGTCTTACTCAGCACACCCAAGGGAAGGAGAGATCAGTTTACAAATGCCCTGGGCCTCAGTGCATGGAACGCGTGCTCTTGCTTTGTACTGTTGCAACAAAATTCAGGTATTTAAATTCCGTCGATGGATCGTGTGGCATCTGAACCTTCGGTGGAGCGTGAGGCTGAGGTGAGTCATATTTTGAAATATTGAATTAAGTTTGTGTGAAGTGTTTACGATTATTATTTTAAAACTTAATCGATTCAAGGAAGATCGATGGTGGATTACTTCTCAGTATTACGTCATGTAGCTGATAGGGTCTTTTTCTTTACTCTTGCTTGGCAAGTGTCTAAGTTGATATACTTCAGACCTTCGAATTGAAGATCAATCTATTTGATTTTCACTAGTTGGCCTTCCATTTAAACCCAAAAGTGCGTGAACAAGCCACACATGACGGCGCCTAAGACCTTCGCGCATTAGAGCGGCGTAACATAATTAATTTATTAATATCTCAGAGAACATAAAGGTTGTAAGACTGTTGTTAGAGTTCATAGTCCATTTCAAACAATTAAGTCTTATAACTGGCTTTCAAAGGAGTATCATATCATGGAAATCAACTTTAAAAACATACTAACCAACATTTGCGGGGAACGTCATTCACTTAACCATTCGACGAGTTGTAGATGCTAACTACAGCACGTCACACCACAGTGATAATCTGATGAGCTTAAATTTTGGTTTTCGAAATCAGTTCGTGAAACGTTCATATCGTGATTCAGGAATTTAAAGAGCGGTACGCTTTCATGCTTTCAATGCGTTTCGATCATCAGATGATTCGTAGATGCAACTTTGTACGGAGAGGATTCCATTCGCTCGATCGACTTCAGAAGCGTGCAAGTATTGCGTCTCTTTGCAAAGAGTAACGAGCACGTCGCTCAGTCTTCGGTCGGTTGTGTAACATGCAGCCTTAAACGGATTTCGTCATCGATGTATTTGCTTAACTGACCTGCATAAGCATCTTATTCATTTTCCTAACGGTAATGCTGTTCTGTAGATAGTTCCGGGTAGGTAGTTGGCATAAAAAGTTTGTTTGTTTTGTTGTTCGAATTGTAAATTCAAGGATTGAGGCTATCGTTCCCTTTTTTATACACTGAAATACATCACCAATGAATTTTAGTAGTAAGACCAACCTGTTTACACTGCGAAATAAACAAAGCAACCTTTCTTTAGAGTATTTCTTTTGTGATGAGATACAGTAATCATAAACGAATATTTAGTGGTCAAATCGAAGACAGAAGAACAACCAATAAGCCTGGTTTAATCTAAACAACGAAACTAATTTCGACGATATTTCTAGTCATGCAGAAAATGATCTTCGAGGTTGGATTGGATGTTATTGGACAGAAAGATTATCGAACTAGAATTTAAGACGAGTAAATACAGGAAAATCTGAGTTTGTACTTCAAGAAGAGAATAAATTTCTCGTTGAGAGCAGTTAAATAAAATTATGATAAACAATGCAGCAACTACCTTATGGACACTGAATTTTGATGTATTTTTTTAAGGATTTAAGGAAATCGATGGACGACTTGAAATTTTTTTTCTGGATCGGTTGCAGTTTCGTTTCAACTTTGAGTATAATAATCCCAGAAGTACTTTCCGAGGAGGCTTCCCGAAAGCACCCGCTTGTTCCATTACGTGGCGCGCTTATTGAGTAAACTATCGATCCTTGTGTGGCTTTAAAAAATTATTTAAAATTGCAAGGGATTGACCTGATTCCGGCTCAGACAATCTGAGCTCGAGATCACCGCCGGCGCAAAACTTTTAGAGCGAGCGATGGAAATTGAACTTCATAGGCGAGCAAGGAAATACTTATCGGCTTTTGAGCTCACAGTGGGATAAACATAGGAAATGTAAAATTATATATATAATAGTACCTTTCTCTTAACAGTTCCCTTCGAGTTTGTCGAATTGAAATAGACTTTGTGCGAGGAGATGCAGATATTTTTGATGGGAAAAAAAATTGTTGATTCATCCAATTTAGCTGGCGAGGCTTTGGTCAGTACTTCATAGAGGCATGTTTTTTATCATTATAATCTTTATTTATTTGGTTTTTCATTTCTGGGTTGCAGCTGGAATAAGTTGAAGCGACTTTTATGTTCAATTTCCCAATGTATGTAAGTCTACGGGAAAATATTTTGAAGAAAATCGACTTTCTATTCAAGTGTCAAGGAAGTGATTCTCATTTTAATCAACGCATTAGTACTATCACACATGTTCAGCTATTTCTTGTTTATCCATCGTGCTTTCACATTCTAATTTGATTTTCTGTGCCCAGATTAATAGCTGGGTGACCAATAGTGCTTTAAACTTCATAATAGTGACGAGAAATGATCGAGGATAATAACCCTCTCTAAACAATATGGCACCCGACATCATGTTAAGTAGAGAATAGTTATCATCCTCGTAGTAAGAACAAGCAAAAGATGTTCCGAATTGAACTTGCCGCGATATTGGACACGTATGCAACAAAATCATCAGTGGAATGATTGTTTCAACTTCCGTATCTTAAGACGTGTGTGTATCAAAGGCGGTAGGGGAGGGGGGGGGGAACACGTGGACCATACTATCATGGTCTATGATTTGGAGTTGTTTGTTGGTTTGTTTTTGTTATTTTTTTTGCCTGTGTGTGTGTTTGTCACTATTTTTTCTGTTCTACTTCGGTTTTTGTTTAATCTGTTTTGTACTGTTTTGTGTTCTTGTAGTTGTTGTTTTTTGTTTCCAATTCGAAAGTGAAACAGGAAAAGACGAAAGGAAACGTTGTCACATCAGCAAATGAAATATTTATTTTGATTTTTAATTTGTTTGATCTGGTTTAACCTCGATAAAGTTTTTGTTTAGAATAGAAGTCTCATGTAAATATTCAGCCTTCATCAAATTTAAACTACTACTTCGCCAAGTTCGAGGAAATCTGTCGATGGATGAAATCATCCTAAATCATTTATCATATTACCTTGTGAAGCATTTCCCGTGCTGGTGTTGCCTACGTGACGGTCATTATGATCATTTTGATTTTTTTTTTCCACTCAGACTGAATATTTTGCAAACTGTTAATTATAATATATGATTAAAAGATTAGGGGAAACAACTCAAAATGATAACTTTTTTTTTTTCTTCACAAGATAAAAATTACCGTCTTATGTCACATTAAATGAAATTACGAATGATCGTATCAAAAGAACATAAGGCATTTGGTTTCGGATAGCTAAGACAACCTTCTCCAAGACAACTTTGCGGAGCGTTACTATCGCAGTTGCGAGGTGTAAAAGGTGTTCTATGTGGCACGCAAGCCTCTCTCAGGTCAAAGAAAAGGATCCGCAATAAATATTGTGTTTTTACGGCAATTTGACGGCAGTCAGGTATTGTCGATGGCGTTGATTTTGCAATTAAAGACGCTTTCTTCGAAAATCGAAGCCAAACGCTCCCAACTACATCTTAGTACTTCACCTTGTATCTTCTCAAGTCGATGGAACTAAATTAGCTTTCACTTCTGCACTCCTTTGCACGGTCTATCCGCGATTTGGCCTTGCCTTGGGTTCACAACCATTGTCCTCAAAGCGCCAGTTTTTTCCTTTTGGCGAGTTTGGTCTCCGCTGACCCAAAACACGCAGGCTCCGGAAACAATTCGAGCTATCTCTTTACGGGAAAGTTGTCTTTGGTGAAAATAAAGTGAATAAATGCCAAAAGAAATCCACTTACTTGGAAATTAAACTTCTAATGGTTTCAGTTGACGACAAAATTTACATACAAAATTGAATCATTTTTCCAGAATATGAACTTCCTGTGCGGATTTATATCCACCCCATTTCATATTTTCCTGTCCTATTTTTACTTCTGATGGTCGCATTTATTTATGTTTCAGCGTGATTAGTCAGACACAACAGTACACGTCACTGTCTTGGTAGAGTACATAGAGTCTTTGCAGAAACAGTAAAAAGAAAAAAAAAATTGCAGTCCATACTCCCCGGCGGGGAATCGAACCCCGGTCTCCCGCGTGACAGGCGGGGATACTCACCACTATACTACCGAGGACTACACTAATTGCCAAGGAAATTTATATGTAATTAAACTATATATTTACAAATAGTCGTTCTGCTGACCAATAATTTGCATATTCGTATCCGGAGTGCAAGTTTCAAATCTTTGCCATCTGGAAGGTCATCAGTAAAACCAGTTTATGCTGTACAGTTCCTTGATTTTATCAATTTTCTTTTCGTTGTATATTTCATGCTCTTTGCTTTTTCAACACTCTCTATTTCCTTTGAACCGACACGCAAAGGTAAATTCAAGTCGTTTTCCGGTCAAAACAAACATGGACGCGCGTAATCGCTCGTTTTAATCCCGTTCTTGATTTCAAGAAAGTTAAAAACGGCACTGGTGTTTTCACTGCTCACATTCATGGATTCATGACACACCTGGTATGTACGAAACTCGTGCTGTCTGACTAAATGATGTCTGGTGTTTTCTAATCAGATCGCCGGTAGTTTTCATCAACCGTACTTTAGTTATACTCTTCGCCGATTCACCTGCACTGCATGTTAACCACGTCGATTTTCCTGTTGTTTTCCAGTGTATTTGCGTTGACACGGCACATGTAGCTGTTTCACCAGCAGAAATTGTGAATCAAGCACCAAATCAGGTTTGTAAGGGCTAAAAACTTTACAAGACAATGATGTAAAAATTTATTGTAATTTGTAGTAGTCTAAGAGTAAATCTCAAACCCCAAAAATTATAACTGGGGTCTACGACTAACTTAATCCTACTTTGAACAAGGTGGTCTGTTGCCGTGCCTAATTGGATTTGTAACATACATTGATATGGGTGCCCTGCTGTCAGTTAGAATTTAATTTTCTGATTGTGATTTTTTTTGGTTATTGATTGATGCATTAAAAAACTTACTGTAGTTTGCTCGATGAGGTCACATTTTAATTAACTTTATACATACTGAGGTTAACACTGTGAAAGACTATCATGAATGTCTCTGAGTGATATATTTTCAAAGTTGTTTGCTTCCAATCTTTAAAATGTGTTAGTCAGAAAGAAAAAATCTCAGTTGGTATGAAATGAAAACATACCATGGAAAGTGCTTGAATGATTTTTTATCAACAATTTCACTCAATTGCTGTGATCACTCATTCCTTTTTTTATGCATGGCAGCTCATGAATAAAAGTCATTCCAGGACATTCCCAATTAAATAATTTCTAAATCTGTAAAAGAAAAGAGGCTTAGCTATGAATGCCTAGTAGGGTATACTCATGGTAATTTTTTTTTTCATCGCTAATAGCAAATATCTACAGATCAGGGAACAATGTCATTGGAAGTTTTGAACCTTTGCCAATCAAGAATGGTGTTTCTTCCAAATCCTCTGGAATATAAGCTTCTTAACTTCATTGGTAAAGTGATTTATGAAATGTGCATGTTTTGAACTGAGTGTGAATTGTATTCTATGCATACTCATGGTGTTCCTCTTCATGGACAAAGCTGGGCCACATTTATCAAAACTTTGTGTATTGATACTTAAAGATAATTGTGGATTAAGACTTCATGGAAAAAATAATGAGGCTACAATGATCCTGGTCTATTTTTTATTTTCCTGGCCTACAATCTGTCGCAAGCTATTCACTTGCATGAGGCTCTCAAGGTTGTAAATCCTAGCAGTATGCAGGATGCATATCAGCCCTTTAACTCCCAGCAGTGATTCACATGTAACTTCTCCCAACAATATCCATCCACTATCCAGCAAACAGATAATGAGAGTACTCAAATGTATCAGGTAGAAGTTGTTATCTTGATCTAACACCAATTCTTGCAACTAATTTACAAGGAAATGTGTAGCAGCTAGCAGGGAGAATTAACAATCAGATCTTGGGGGTTAAAGGGTTAGATTTGTGTGTATTATTGCCATATAGTCTCTATAGCTCAGGAGCGTGGGTATCCAGAGATTCTTCACAGGGACTCAGAATTTTTGTTTGTGCCATGTTTATGCTGAAAAAAAAAATTGCCTTCTTTTAACAATGGCTGATGATAAGTCAGCCTCCATAGTTCAGGTGTCAGCTCAGCAAATTTATAGCATACCTTAAAACTATCGATATGGTTCAATGAAAAAGAAATATCTTAGGTCAACTGAAAAGGTTCCTCTGCCATACTATTGTCTATTTATCATTCCCTCAAAGTAGCCAAGGAAAGGCTTCTTTGATCACTGCATACTGGTGGTGTATGGTGTTTTCATGCACTTAATATTGCATTGTGTACTTGATAACTTTTTTTTTTAATATATGGCTCATAATCATTTACTGTTTGTATGTTTGCATTTAGGTAAGGGATTTGATGAACTTTCCAAAGTGTATGTGGCCAGTCATTGTCCTTCAAAATCACTAGTTGTCGTGAAGCAGACTAATGTTGATGTTCAAAATCCTGCACAGCTGGAAGATTTAAAGGTCTGTATACAGAATTTCATCACTGTCATCACAGCCTTCACTGTAGGCAGAGTCTCCCTCCCCAGTGTCTCTCTGGTTTGTGCAGCTTTTTTTTTGTTAGTCACTGTGGTAGATCTGGAACTCCCTGATCAGTCCATAAGAGCAAAAGGTTATGCAGCTTGGGTTGAAATGATAAAGTAGTCAGGCTCTGAGGCCCAAAGCCATACTTTAAAATCAAAATTTAAAGAATAGAGAAGTAGGTTTTGGCACCCCAACCAGTCCATTTTGTTTTCTTTAGCTGATAGTTTTATTGTATAATCTTATGTAATTTGAAACCCCCATTTTGAATGAAATCGGAAAAGCTTCACAGACCAGTTTAAAGTTACTGGAAACTCTTAGAAAGGAGCCCTTTAGGGCACTTAATGGACAAACTATTTTTGGTGCTGTAGTTGTTTTTGTAGCTGTTCTTGTTTTGTAATGTTATCTTGGAGCTGCTAAAAAACTCCTGTCTGGTCATATGGGGCAAGCAGAGTTCTTTGCCAAAGACATTAACGACAGTAAAGACATTAATGACAAATATTGCAACCAGTCTCAAATAGGGTGCTCAGTTGTAGCTAATTTTCTAGCCTTGTAGTAGAAATAGCATTTTATTGTCCAGTGGTGTTCTTTCAGATACTTTCGCAAAACAATGGAGGTCTGAATCCCATGTGTACCTAAGAAAGTCTAAATACTCCCTTTTAGTAACATGTTTTCATGTTACCTCTGCTAAAGTTTTCAGTTGTTGTGCTTTTTACATTAAATCTGTCACAGAATGAAGTGCAAGTGATGCGGTCCCTCTGTCACCCAAATATTCTGCCCTTTTACTGTTCATTTGTGACCAGGCATGAGGTGTGGCATGTCCTCCCTCTAATGCAGTTAGGTGAGGGTGTCAATTACTTTGTATGTGCTTGTGATTGCATTCAACCTAAAAATTAACCCATGAGTCATCAGAGCTATTTTTGTTACCACTGACATCAAAATTACAAAAGACCAGGCCCTGGTTTTTCGAAGGTTGGATAACAATTTATCCACTGAATAAATCTCTATCTGGTGGACAGCGCAGTACATTTTGCATCACTTATCCACTGGATAGCGATTTATCTGTTGGATAGTACTATTTGCATGCTATATGACTGGGCCCTGATTCATATCGGAGTGTATTCATATTCTCATGATAATTATTATCTGAAACATCAATTTGACCCATTGCTTTTTGTAGTTTTGATCTAATCATAAAGCTAACCCAACCATGATCAATCTCCCACTTGCTTAAATCCTACACCAACCTTTGCATCTGCCACATGCAATTTATAGACAGTCCTTCAACAGCCCTCTATGGTCCAAATTTATGCAAGTTCTGTGTTGATGAAATGATTTCCTATAATTGGCAAAGGTAAATAATCATGGTCACACTTTTGTTCCCAGGATCATGTTCTGATATTTTGAAGACAAGGTTTCATGATGGTATGGGTGAAATTATTGTTGCTGCAATTCTCTATGAGGTCCTACAAGGTTTAGAGTATCTTCACAAGATGGGTATCATCCACAGGTATACTTAATTCTTTTAAGAAGAAAGTTTTGAGATCAGCTGAGTGTCAGAAGTATTCAGCAATTTCTTTGTTGCTACTTCTTTACCACTTGCTCAAGTAATCAAATTCAAACTAAAAACCAATTGGCACTTGGTGCCTTGAGTTCTCCCATGGTTCAGGAAGCTTGCTCATTTTTTCATTGAGTTCTCAGCCACTCAAAGCTATAATATATTCTTCTTTTTCTTTTGGTCTGTTGAGAAGGGTGAAACCCATTTAAAACGAAATTTGTCTGTGTGGTGGGTGTGACAAATCTGTCCATTTTATCTCTGTTAGGGCCATCAAAGGAAGTCACATTTTACTTGGTGCAGATGGAACAGTGTGCTTGTCAGGTTTGAGGAAATCTATCATGCTCCTCCAGGAAAGCAAAAGTTCTAGGATTGCTCATCATTTTCCAGCACATGCAGTTGCTGTTTTACCATGGATGGCACCAGAAATTTTGCAACAGGTACGCTATGTAGTCTAAATGGAACTATATTTTTGTTTATTGAAAAGGCTTCAAATACCCTGTGACTGAATGATTAGTTTCCAGGACCTGAATGGAAAGGGCCAGGTTCAATTTCTGGCCTGGGTCAGTATGTTTGTTCTTTGGTGGGACCTCCCCTCCTAGACCAACATCTAATTTCTCAGTAAGGTATCACTGTTGAATCAAACACAAGGCTCATGAGAAATAAGGAAGTGGTCACAACCTTGAAAAGCTTTTGATTTTTAACAAGATCCTCCCTGTCTGCACCCTGGGAAATGTATAAAGAACAATGTAGAGAATGCGCATGCTGATGTTAGGGTGTAAAGGGTTAATGGGTACCAGTGACATGTGAGGGAAAGGTGAGGAAATGCTGAAGGTAACCTATGATAGAACTCTCACATGTGAAGTAACAGCACAATGAGTTGCTCCACACTGGGGAAATTTTGACAAGCTGAGCACTGTGGGTCATTTTGCTTGTGGACAGACTAAACCCTTCTTACTACTATTTAAAGCTTGCTGCTAATTTTTTATTTGATAAACTAAAATTTTCTTACTGTTTTAATACCCTAACTGAGTGTTCATTACTTTGAGCTAGCAATGAATGAAAGTTTTGATGTGTCATCATTATCATCGCAGGATCTTCAAGGTTATGATTACAAGTCTGATATTTACAGTGTTGGCATAACTGCTATACAGTTGGCCAGAGGAACTGTTCCATACATTGGAATGCCACCCACCAAGGTACAACTGATATACATTCTGATTACACTCACACGAGACAATCAAAGTGAAAAGTTTATATAAAGGTTGAGTCAGTCATTCCTCTAATGTTCTCCTCCTGTGACGGGTCAGTCAGTATTCTTGTATACGCATCCTTATACGATCTTAACATGTGTACCCTGAAACAAAGGGTTCTAGAAAAAATACCTGTGCTATGCCAGATGCAAAAACCACTCAAATATCAGTCTGGCCAAAAATATGTGGGAACGTATTCCTCATCTAGTACAGCAACACAATACCCCGAGGAAAGGGTAAACTAACCTAGTTGCACTACTAATCATAAAGAAAAGTCAGTGATTGTAATGATATTTTGCAAGGAGTTGGAATGCCAAAATTACAACAAATATGAAAGAAAAAGTTGTCAAACATAAGACTGATCAACCTAGAATGACACAACAGTATTGTTTTCTTTTGAGATGTAGTTTAGGAAAAAATGAAACAAACGCTTGCAGATATATTTGCCGAATGTTCAAATGGAGGCGGTCTTTTTTTTTCAAGCATGTCATCTTCTCTCATCTATAATTTGGGTGCTATCAGTGTTTTTCGTTGTAAGATATTTTTGAGGTCCAGCGTTCGTTGGTTGGAGTAACTCCGACAATGAACAAATACATTTTACGCCCTGGCCACTGGAAGAAACTATCAGAAATTGCTTCAAAAGTTAGTGCTCACGCATCAACTCTCAACGGCAGCTATAACGGGTCTCAAATGCACTCGACATGTTAGGTCCAAAACTTCTGAGGGCATTTTCACGCAGTTTTAGTCCCTTCATTCATGGTTTTCAGTAAGTTTTAAAGTAAGCGGGAAAAGTATAAAGTAAGCGGCCATTATGGAAGTTCGATTTGTATTCTAATATTACTTGTGTCAGAGAAAAAAGGCGGCGATTTCGCTTGATATATATGGCAATTTTGCTGTTTGCCGACTTTTATTGCAAACCCCTGTTTGAAGATGAATAGTTTAACAAAGCTTGACCGTGTTTTATCGCAGGTATTGTTGGAGAAACTGAAAGGTAGCACTCCAAAGCTGTGTGACTCACTGGTAATGAATGACGTGGACACCTCGGCACAGTTGACTTCAGCTACCGACTCGGGTTTCGGCAGCGACCTCCCTTCCGCCGGTGAAGGAAAAGAGTCAAATCAAGTCACATTCCAGGGCCTGTTCTCCCTTGCTTTTCAGCAGGTGGGTGAAAGTAGACCGCTGCCATCAGTTAGAACTTGCAAGCTGGACGTTTTAGTCCATGAATAGTCAATTTTACAGTTGTGTGCTTGATTGCCAAGCCTTTGAACAGGTGTGAGGCTAAGGGTGACCTTGCTATGATACAAACCTTGCTGCTTTTCAAATGAAAATTACTTTGTTATCATGCTAACTAGATACTGGTCTCTATCACAACAAGGTCACCTTCAGCCTCACTCCAAATCAAAGGCTTGGCAACTAGGTGCACAACTGTAAAATGGCCTATTGGACAGGTCGGCTCTGAGCATTGACAGAGCGGGATCAGTCCGTTACATACTCTTGCGCGTGCTGCCTACGAATGGCACCGGTGTTTTTAGACGCTAAGGAGTACATACGAAGGTGCAAAATGATTTTCAATCCCAAGAGAGCACATCTCCCATGCCTTTAATCTAAAGAAATGGAATGTTAATTTCTATTTACACTGATACATAGTCAGACGTGATAAATGGAAAGCTCCCAGCACGTTCTGTATGCATGTTGAAATGTGTGATATTTCTATCTTGCATCGGCACACACAACATAACATTAGGGAGGTAGACACACAAACAGATTGCAGTGCAGTAAACTTTTTATGACGACTCTTCCTATGAAAAAAAAAGAAAGTTACTCCTCCCTGTCAACGGGCTTTTGACACTATGAATTTTAAATTCAAAAGCTTGTGGGTTGTGAATTTGAATTTCAAGGCGTGGTTCTGTCAGTGAAAAATGATTGAAATTCATTCCATGATCGTGACCTGAACAAAGCCTACAGTGCAGGCGTATGTTTTGAACTAAAGCATGAATGTGCGTTCATGAAGCATGCTACGTCTGACGAAGGACTCTTCACGGTGGCCAATTTACGTTATCAACGTAGTTGATAATCCTAAATAACCCTTTTATACTCCCCCATTGACGCAGCACCACAGCTTCTTTAGAAACTTACGCCCTTTACAATTTTTTGAGTCAAGTTTGTCGCTCTGCCTTCTTTTCACAGGTTGTTGACTCTTGTTTGCAAAGAGATCCTTCGTTAAGGTAAAATGGCACCTTTTAAGTTTTTGATACCTCTGGTTTGAAAGAAAAGGAAACCTTGCTTCCATTGGTAGGACACAAGAAAGATAAAAAAAGAAAGAGCAATCGATTCCTATCTCATTACTGAAAAGATCGCTTTCATATTCGATTCCTATTTCCTTAGCGAAACTGGTATTGATTTTGTTTTCCTCTGATATTAAACTAAGATATTTTGACGAATATTTCGCCGGCTTTTTAAATAGTTTTTTAGATATATGGGCACGAAACATGGCCAATCATAAAACAAAGTTGAGGAAATAATTAGAGCCCTTAGTTGTATCGATGAAAGCATGTGCACTTAACCGGCCCAAAGTGCGGGAAAATGTGAGTGCCGTAGTCACTATTGGTTGCAGCCGTACTTCTGATTGGTTGAAAGGGTGGTTCGTTGTTTGTCGACCAATCACAGAGCGTGACTTCTATTAGTGAAAAAGACCGCGGTTCTGTCTGTGAAAAATGATCGAAATAAAATCAATCTCAGAGCGTGATTGATGCAAAACAATTTCATCTCGCATCACTTTCCTTATTCGATTGAAAACTGTTTCTACGAAGAAATTCTCGGATAACCGATACTACAAGTTGATTTTGCACGCAGAAACAACTACAACTTTCCTCTTATTGACAGACCAACAGCTCCCGGCTTGGCATCCCATGTGTTCTTCAAGCAGGTAAACAAATTCATAGTGAATAGTAACGAAGAACTGCAACAGCTCAGAATTATTGCAACATTTTTTGTTAGTGGCCTTTGAAGGAAGATCATCTCGCGTTGTCGCGAGCTAAGGCTTAAAGACAATGCTGTTGGGCTGGGTTCAAAGTCGTTTCTTGGCACGTAGATCGCAGATACTAAATTCGCCTTGTTCTAAAGCCATGTCTTTTGGATGGAGATGGATACCTGATCAACCGAGACTTAAATCGTGCGCGTGGCACGTTCTGCCTATAGAGGAGAAAAGGTCTCTGTAAATTAACCAGACTAATGCTAAAATAAAGAAAGGTTTCTTAGGCATTTCAATTTTCTTTGTTTGCAGGTGAAGCGGAAAGCGAAGGAGCTTTTGCCTGATCTCCTGTCTTCCGTTCCATCGCTCGCAAACTGTGAGAGAGATAAACGCATTGGTAAGACGGATCATCTGTGCTCATTCTTGCCCAACTTTGCACTGAAATAGTTCCTTTAACTAACCATTCACACTCTAACATCAATATCCATACTCTCCATACTCTTTTCGATACGTTTCCTCAGGTACTGACGAGGAGAATTCGTCTACTAATGAAGAGCCTCTTTAGTTAGTGATCTGTTCATTTTTGATTTAGAGATGATATTGTAGGAGGAAATTAGATGCTAGTTTTTCTCAGGGTTTAAGGGGATAACATATGAAAGATCATGCATTACTTGGTGCTTAGAATAACCAAGGAAATAGGCGGAGTTAGGCGGTCATTGATGAAGTAGCCATTGATGTCGAAAAGCGTAACTCGACTTTGATTTTCCTTGCAGACCAAGAAAATGCCACTGCGGGTGCAAGTGAAGATTTAGGAGCCATCACAATTGATGAGTGGAAATTTTAAACTGCCACCGTTTAGAAGGTAACCTGGGGGATGACAGCTTTGGAGATGTAGAAAAGAATTGCTAAATTTCGTAAAGATCGACGTCCCTTTTGCGTCGTGTTTTCAAACTGGGTTGTGGAGGTTCATTCACTAAGAGATACAAGAGACTGAGTACCACACCGTTCACTCCTGGACGAGGAGATACTGGGCCTGAAGTCAAAGCACGAGGTTCCCTAGGTATGAAGCGCGGATGACTTTCATAAGGCGCGGAGATATTTCCGTTGTCGCGTGTTTGAAAGTTTTACCGTTCTGGAGATTACAGACAAAACTGAGCCTTAATTTGATGAATTGAATCAACAGAAAGGATGAATCCTTTCCTTTTGCTTGCAGTATCAGGCTGAAACTTTAAGTGCTTACATAGTACAAAGATTTTCAAGTTTGAAATAAAACACTGTTTCGAAGCTACACGTCTTACAAATGAAGTTTTTTTCTCTTTTAAATGCCTTAGGTGTTGGGATCTATCCTGTTATCCTCGGTGTTTGCTAAAATAGAGGAAAAGGGATAAAAGTGTAATGAATGTGTGGTGGTTTATGCAAGGAACTAGTCACGCTAGAGCCGAACATGCTTCAAACATATACGGAATAGCTCCAAGTCTCGCGGAGAAATACACATGAAGATTTATCAATATTGGCTATGGTTAGACACGGGCTGGCTAACTTATTTTTCATGAATTAAGTGAGAAACTGTGGTGCTGCGTCGGTGGGGGGTAGTATGAGATTATTTGGTTCTGTCATCCGAGTTGATGATGGAAAATGTTTCTGAAGCTCACGCATTAGCCCTTTGTTATTTTTATGATATTTCGGTGCAATCAATCATTGAGCAAACTTCATTATAAGCGACATTTTCTTGTTGAACTTTCTCCCATTCAAATATTGTGCTTGTTAATATAAGACAGTGTTTGGGGAAGGGAGGAGTGTGTAAATGACTGTAAAAGCGTTTCACCGCTTTTGTCGAACGAAGAATCTTTTCAGGCAGTTAAGAAAAAATCAAACAATCGAAACCAAAACAGAAATTAACAGAAATAAAATGGATGCTTCCTCTCCACACAAAATTAGTAATAAACAGCAGCGGCTAATTAGCCTAAAAGAAGTTCTTTCAGTTTTTATCTCTCTTTCAATTCCACGCTGATATCAGCGAATAACTTAAACCAATATTAGAATAATTAAAAGCAACGCAATACTGCCATATCAGATTTCATTCGGGTGAGATTTAAGCCTAAGACTTCGTGCTTAAGACTTCACAAAATCCTCAGATCTCCTCCCATTTATCAGAACCTTTTTCTTGCGGCGATGTCTTTACTTCGTCAAAAAGGAAAGAAATGGGAATTCAGCAAATGCATGGTTTGATTCAAGGTTGGTTGTCTTGGACAAGCCCAAACATTTGTCCGTGTAAATTCTACGCTAATATATAGAACTCGAACGATATAATTTTTCCTACATATTTTATGTTCTAAATTTGTGATGATTATCGTAAAAAAAAACAGATTAAACGATAAATTACGAATAAAAATTAAGCGCGATATAAAGGTGGTCTGAGCAGTATTTTTGGCTTAATTAATTCTAGTTCGAGCTCTAATATCATTATGCTAATGTATTTTATGCATAATAAGGCGGTGGTCTGTGAGAGAATGAAAGACGTGCTTGGCATAATGAACATAGGTACAATAAACTTACTGTTGTCTGAGTTATAGCGCGGAAAAATAAAATGCGCTTTAACTTGAGTCTTCAGGCTGTCTCTTAGCCTCTATATCCTTCCCATCTACCTAGTTTCCAGGTTCTTCCTGGCCGGAATGGAGAGACAGCCAGAGAACGAGGTTAGATGTTTACAATTGAAGTTGGCCAAAAAAGTTATTAAAAATAAAGACAGGTGCGATAACTTTCGCTGATAAATGATATGCACTGCTCGGAATCTAACTAGTAATCGAGGAACGAACGAAAACAATCAGGTGACCAAGTTATTTCCCAAATGATCGATTGCTTACAAATTTTGACCCAACTCATGTCCTCGAGGAAGCCGTCGATCACCCTCTTGGATAAAGGACTGGTATGAAAAGAATTTTTAAAAATACCAGACTTCATTCCTTGTACTTAAGAGAACGTTTCTTTATTCATTAAGGAAGCAGCAGACCGCTCTAAACAAGAGTCTTTTAAAGGCTGTTATGTAAAGAATTTTGATAGTCATAAGAAGCTTCAGCAATTGTACTCTAATGAACGACCATGGAATTTCTGTGTTAAATCAGTAACAAAAGTTCGCTTGATTTGAACATGGAGGACATGGAAGAATTTTTAGTATCTACATAGGCTAATTGATGTTAGATACCAATCTTCACCAGAGTTAGGGCTGAAGCAAGCATTATTATTTTCCTCTGCCATTAAGTATGGTTTTCTTGACGGTTATCATTCACTACTGAGAGGTTTTGACTCGCTATCATAACTGGCATCCTATTATTTATGACATTACGCCAAGGTTTCGAAAGGAAAAAAATGAGATGAAACGCTGTTGATATTTTTTGTAACTATAGCATGGATGTGGGTCTAGATTACAGAAAAAAAAACTAATATTCTACACCTTTGATTTCCGCTTCTATGAAACCGCAGAAGCAACATTTCCCAAGCTTTTGCCGAGTCATTCGATCAGGAAAAAAGTGTCCTATGACATAACATTTTGCGTGTATCAAATTATAAATATAAAGAACCAACTAAAAGAAAAGCTTAGAAAGTCGTCACGAACGAATGTGAGCTATTTACACAACATAATTTAGTAATTTCTTTCGAAAATAATTTAAACTCATTTTCTTCATCCCAACTCGCTTTCTTTTGCCGATGTTTTCTTGTTATATTTTTCCCTGTTTAAAATGAAGGTTAAGGTCGAAATGTTGTTACATTTTAAACAAATAAATATTCAATTCTCTCGTTAGGCTTTCCGAAAATATTTTAAAATCCAATTACTGATAATCCGTAATTTTAAATTGTTACGTTGCAATGAACTCCAGGAGAGACGAGGTAACAATTTTCCCCGCTGTGTGCGGAAAATATTTCTCGTTTTGAACTATCCTTTAAGTTCACAAATTCGATGTATTCTTGTCTGTTGGTGATCATGCTTCCTTAGAAATAAACCTACCATCCATTCTTGAAAATTTCCGCCTCCCAAAGTGAAAAGCCTCGTAGCCATAGCAAGGATATTCATTTCCACAATTGCAGTGGCGCCACTGTCGTACAGAACTCCATTCGGGTTAAACATTACGGGCTTGCTTAAAACTTCGCGCAGGTACGCCGATAGAGATCTGCGATACTTCGTGCCTGCGAAATTCATCAACGTGTCTGAGCCATAATCTGTTAAATCTGATGCTAAGTAGACCTTGTTAATGCTCAAAGCGTCCCGCAAGGTCTGCACGCGGTTTGCAAGTTTTTCCATGCACCGTTTTGTAACGTTCGCGCCTTTGCGAGCTATATGTCTCTCGGAACGAACATGCACGCCTATGAATCCTTCATTCAAATTCTCTCTCACGAATTTTTTCGCCAGCTCGACGAGGTCGGAGTTAAATTCTAGGTCGACCGGACGAAGAGGCTGCGTTATGGATGGGTCCAAAGGGAAGTGAACTCTTTCTGGACCATTCCCCCTCCACTGAACAATGCCAACGCATTTAGCTCCTTGAAGAACATTATCCTCTAAATCACTAGCGGTCCTTATGACTTCCGGATCAACGCAAATATAACGTCTTACTTTGAACTGTATCTGTTTGCTAAGGCGTGAGTGCTTTATAAAAGGACAATCCACCCAGCCACTACGTTCTCTAGCCTCTTTATAAGTGGTTGCAACCTTCTCTTCAGTTATCCTGTACCATAGAGCGGTTACTCTTTGGTAATTTTCATCGTGGAATAGAAAGTGTACCACGATATTGAATCTCTTATTGCAGTGGGATTCGAGGTCACGAAAGCTTCTCATAGTGCTGTATCCTCGAGACTCTAATTTGGAGTTTAAGTCGTCCAAATTGAAATACTCGCTTAGCAAAGAGTATGTAATGTGCGGAGGATTCTCAGGCTTGTGAAAATTATGACTTACTCCCGATGATAAACCGGACATGCGAGAATTATTTACATATGGAACGACCAAAACACGATTTTTGCTCTTCGCAAATGAGGCTAAATCCAAAAGGTTATTCGTCGCTCTGCCTAACTGCTCATAATAACGGAAAACAAACAAAAATTTTCGTCGTGAACCTGGCAGCCGCGGTGACAGGTTGCCTTCCATGTTTGTTAATTCAATGTGTTTTGTTTCGATGTCCGGTGAATTTTGCGACTCATCAGCTGTTACAAACTCATTTTTTTTCCATTCGTCGCCGTGAACCTCAAAAACTTGCTTCACACGCGTGACAGAGCCTGTTTGTGTTAGTCGAAGAAGATCGGTTGTTACGAGGGAATCATCCTTGCCAGAACTGATCTTGAGTTCATTATGATAATCGTGGATATGCAAGCAGATAAAACTGCCGACAACGTATAAAATGATAGAAGTTAGCAGTAAAAATAAACATTTCGTCCTCGTTCTTGCCATCAAAAATCTCGATATTAGATTTCTCCTCGATAAAGCCATGAATATTGAAGAGAGTTAGCAAACAGGAGAACTGCGAAATACATTTGCTTACACTTTTCATCGACGATTTTCTGTTTTGAATTGGTCACGGACTCGCTATGCTAATACAGACTCCCTGAACAAAACAGCATTCCAACTGACTTTCCCTTTCCATATAGAGCCAGAACATACTGGGAAACCACAGGCCTTTTACAGCGGGTGGACAAACCAAGTATGGAAGTCGCTGCATTGAAAAATATCAAACCTTGACGAGGTATATGAATCACAAAAAGTCGTAGACAAAGCTTTAGCACTTGACGTGAAGGCCCAATACTGATTGAATTTCCTTGACGCGGTCTTACGTGTTGAACGCCAAACAAATCTTCCAATAGTCTATTTTGGTTGGGTCATCTTGGTGCTACCCGTGGATTCTTCGTATAGTCCAATATCAATGAATTCTGCGGGAGATTTTAGTGTCGCTCAGCTGTCAAAGATGACACTGCTCGAATGCAGATTACTTCGTGCTTCGCTACGCTCAGTTGACGAGCACAAAAAAATCACGTGCTTAGAGATGAAGTACTAAAGAGTCTGAAATTTTACGCTCTTTCTTTTCGCTCTCTAAAACAACTTTGCGGTGGTAAGTTTCTTAAAATAATTTCCCAATATATCTTAAATAGATCTCATAAAGATTGCTTGTAGCGATAAAGGAAATGGTCAAATTTCTTGTTTGCTATGTAAACCGACAGACATTGGTTGCAGCTGCCACGAGAAATGAGTCACTTTGCATTTTAATTCGCTTCAGGCGAATCGTCCTCCTTCTGTCTCTTCTGAAGGCGGAGAAATCGAAATTCATACCGCTCTTTTAAATCGGATAATTATTCGACGACGGGAATGAAAAAGCAAAAGAATGGTTTCAAGGGCTTTCAATACCTTAAGGACCGCATGCGAGGAAAGATGGTTTTTACCTCAAGTGAGAGCTGTCAACACTAAATTATAAGGGACTGCTGCGTTGACAGTTTAAAGCGCCCAGCAATATTCGTTCAAAAACGTATTACAAAAATAAACAAATGTATTCTAAATAGCCCCGAAGCCATAATATTTAGAAGAAAGACGAACGAACTTAAATTAGACAACACCAATAAGTCGTTCGCGAGAAATTGCAACTCCGCGGAAATTATACACAGTCACTACGTAAAATTGATTCTGTTTTCATAAAGTTTCAGTAGTTTTGCAAAATGAAATTCTCGCTAATAATGACGAGCCGTAAAAGTGAAGTCTTTATCGAAAAATCTGAAAAACATTACCGAGTTACGTTGACAGCTTTCACTCATTCTTAAATAAGTCTCCTCAAAATGACATTTTCCTTGTTCTAAATTTAATTTTGTACACATTTAGTTTTTTTTCGTCTCAAACATTGCCTGTTGGAGTTGTAATTTGTCTTTCGCACGCAAACCATCTTCGTAAAAATTTTAAAAAATTATAAATCAATCAATGGTAGAGGTATTATTTAGTCTGAATCTTCGAGAACGAAGTAATAGTTCCGCTGTTTCCCTGTGCGTACTTTGACATTGAAGAATTTAATTTTCATAGATGAGGCATTTCTCGCTTTCACGCTACCAATTAGCAAAACCTCGCTTGAGTTACTTGCAACAGAACTAAAGTTTTAGCGGTAGATATCGCCAATTGTAATGAAGCAAAAAGTAGAAATTAAGCCGCCAAAGGTTATTGTTTGGCATCAGTTGTGGCGCTGTCGGGAAACACAAACACGAAATAAACAAAGGTAGACAAAGGAAAAATGAATTGGTCCAAGGGTTCTGTCCACAATAGACTTTATTCCTAATCACCCATTAGGTCAATAATGAATTATCACAAAATAACCAACCGTAAATCATTGGTCTGTGTAAAGAGGAAATTAAGTAGCTGAGTGCTGTTGCAAATTTTTAATGTCATTAAAAATACAGAACGAATATCAATTTGAGATTGCGGTCACTATACAGCGGATTAAAATCGAGAAGAAATTATCTAGTTGTGGAAACCTTTAGTCGAGAAATTACGAGAATCTCGCGCACGAAATTCAATAATCCGATAAAAATCGAAGGCGATGAATACCAATGATGGAGTGCGTGAGTGATGTAAATATTCGTTAATATTAACGTGCTTGATGATTTTAATACGGCAATATATTTTACTCTGCACAATAACAATATGGATGCGTAATCTTTACTGATTGTCAACTTTGAATGCATTTTATCCTCTTTTACTGGGAAAAAAAGTCACTTTAGACGCAAAAAGAGAATAGAAAAATTTATTGAAAGGAATCTAAGCTCTGAAGTCCAGAGTGCGTTCTCGACTTTCTTTCGTTATCGCTTGCTAATAAATCTTCTTTGTTAAAACTGATATTAATTCTCTTCATCCAATAAGACAACATAAAATATAGTATTGATGCATAGATTTCAATCGATACGTAGATTTAATGCTTTTTTACAATTATATCATTAGCTAATTGTTACCCAGACATTTGACGACTAAGAAAACGCCTTCAATCAAGGTTAGGGACCTTTATAATTCCCTGAGATTTTTTTTTTTTTTTAATTATGCATCGCCTTTGTTCTGATTGTCAACGAGGCCCCAACATCATTTTCATGCTGACTTCTTGAGTCCGCAAAGTTCACGCTGACCTTATGTAAAGCGGGCTGCTATCATTTCTGTCACTATTAAAACTAACTCAGTTACTTACAGTAAGTTAGTACCGTTAGCAACGGTTATGCCTCCGAAAAAGATGGTTGTGTAGCACCCCATACATCGTCAAAGTTTGATATTTTCAAAGCAGCGACTTTCATACTTTTCCGTGGAGGAAACCAATGGCATCCCGTCTTTTCATGTCCGTGGACCGTAGTGACGATCAAAACCCAGAATAACTCACGAAATAGCTTACGTCTGAGCATTTGAACAGATATCAGTAAAGGACTGTTGGTTTATACTTATGACCTTCCCAACTCTAACGAGACCAGACCCCACAATTTTGGTTTCAGGCCTTACATTCAGTAGTCGCGAGCTGGTCATTATGTTAGGTCCAAATAAACCATCCAAGTGATGAATAATGATTGAAGATATATTTTAGATTTTTAGTTAAAATACGTCTCGCCTTCTTCCCCTCTAAAATAAAAATTTACCTCTGCTAAGCACTGAACCGTTGGAATCTACTTCTCTCAAGCGTAACTAACTACTATTTTAGGCAAAGAATTCTCATTGAGCTAAACTTTCTCCAAAAGTAACAACTTTTTTCAGTTTTGATCCGTTTTGAATGATTGTCTCCAGGGAACTTTAAAGACAAGTACTATGGATGAATTAAGAAAATTTATTTTCGTTTAGCTAACCATAATTTCTGTCTCTCGCTACTAATTAAAGCAGTATATGTTACTTATCTTCTCGTCAAAAAAATTTAAGTTCTTAAATTGATTTAGAGTCTCGCATCTTCTCGTAAGCATAAGCAACATTCAGAACAGTGGCTTCGTCAAACTTTCTTCCCACAATCATCATACCAACTGGTAAGCCGTCACTGAAGCCGGCGTTGATTGACAGGGCTGGGTGTCCTGTGACATTGAAAGGACCAGTATTCTGACAGAAGTCAAACGCCGTTCCTAAAAGAATTAAGTGTGAAAAGAATGCGTAGGTAATCATATATGTGAATGATAAAATCGGACGCGTAGTGCAACCGTCGGCGAGTAACCGTCATGACTATTGACGTTTACAAAAAGGGTTTGAGGGCAACGTCCGATATCCAATTGATGAAAAGTATGGCATGAATTGGAAAAATAAAAGACTCGTGAGTTTTATGTATTCATAACTTGAGGCATAAGTCAAACAGTTTACTTTCTACGACAAAATGAACCTAATAGATTGTTGCCGTGTGTCTGTTCACTCAAAAAAAAAGAAGCGCACATGGTGTAACTGAGTGTGTCACTGATAATGCTGATGTTCTTAATTTATTTTAACGTCCTATGTGATCTACTATTCTACAGACCCACTGCGAGATAAAATCGATTTGTTTTGTATGAGAAAAAAAGTAAAATGCTGTTAGTGGTGACGTCATTTCATCACTCTGGCTGTGCTCAAATAGATCATATGTAAAAACCAATTAAACTGCGAGCGCAATTCAGCTCATTTCATAAAACGTGAACTGAACATCTTATGGATGTTAAGGTTTTTCTACAGAATAATCTTGGATAAAACTTGTTCAAATGTTTGCGTAATTCAGCTTTGGGTCCCAATGGGGCACTGAATTGTGATGTCCGTGTCCGCTAAAAAGTCTCGTTTTATGGTATATATGGGAAGGGAAAATGGCTGGTTTTCGCTTTTTACCTCTCAGTAATGTCTGCCCGCTAATATTTGTTTTGTTAGATGTAGGTTTCAGAATAAACAAATATATAGCGCTAAAAAATATATTTGGCCTAAAAATATCAATTAAACCTAAATTTCGTGTAACCTTAATGCAACTGGTATACTTACACGATGCCCAGCCTAAAACCCACCTGTGGATTAAACATGCGCAAGAAAAATCACCCTTTTAACACCAACGGTTAAGAATTGCTTTTCCCACAGGACTTACCAAAATTAAGTTGGCTTCTGTCTTGAACTTTGGGAGGCTTTGTAACTATCGTTGGTAAAACCAGAACATCGTAAGATTCCAAAGCTTTATCATATTCCTCGCACAACTTTCGTGATAAATTTATAGCCTTGCCGTGAAATACTCCTCGGAATTTTTCATGCACATAAGCACCAAGCATGACTGTTAACTTTCCGGCAGCACTCAGATCATTGGCATGAGATTGTAAACCACGGCCAATGGCCTTCTGAAGACTCGTGTCAACAAATCCTCTTGCGTCGGAATTATATCCTAAAACATACGAAAAAACACTTGGAAAATTCTGAATAGTCCCTTAGAATCTTGACTGCTTCCAACTGAATGGAAAATATGAGCATTTGTCAAAACATTTGATTAATGTTTTAGAAGCATTTGTCCGAGCTGAAAACTAACCATGTATCACCTCCTTCTATCCCCGGACAGGACGCTCGCAACATACCCACTGCTATTTGCATTATTGTGTAAGATGCATTGCACACGTAAATTGTTGCGTATGGCTTCGTTTCATTACTAAAGAGTTTGATTTTCTTTAACTCAGTTGGAAGAGCAGGTGGGCCTTCATATTTTTTTCAGATCCTACGCTTGTGACGACTTGACCCTAAGCAATATTCTCTATTTAGGGTATTAAACATTTTAAGCCCAAAAACTTAAAAAAGCAAGAATGCATAACTTTACCAAATGGAATTCTTGGTAACAAAAAAGCTGCTGTCTAGTAACAATCGAACATCTCTAAAATTAGTAATGATCATTAGCTTGTTACGTTTATGGACGAGTGAAACGGTATATCGGTATACTTACCACTGAGTAGTCTGTAACCGCCTTCTGAGCAAATTGCGTCGCATATAAGAATTCCTGTTGAGAAAGAGAGAAAAAAGATGAGTATAAAGCTCATTCACATGACACCGAAAATATGGCAAATGTTTAAGTGAATGATACTTAGGAGACACCTAATTGGTTGGTATTGACACAGTATTTTTTAAAGTCATTTTCACTGGGAAAATATGTCAACCTGAACTTTTAATACATTACCATCAAAATGCATTGGCACTGAAACGTTTTCAACAGTAGCCCCCAAAGTTGAAAACCGGCCAGCGGCCTCCCTCACAAATGACATAATTTCCGTGTCAGCTCCAGGCATCTCAAAACCTTCTTGAAGAACGCCGATCCGTAAGGTGGAAATATCTCCATTGAGCTATTATTCAGAGGATAAAGATATAGACGACAGATGTAAATAATAATAAAAAAAAACATCCTCGACTTCTCTCGGATATCGTTTTACTTTGTCTAAGTAAACAATTATTATAATATATATAACGCGAGATCAAAGCAGCGGTAATGCTCACGTGCAGATTACGGATTATAAAAATTAGGATGATCACAAAAGTTCACAAAAGTGTCGTGGCGACTCTGAGGGAGTCTTAAAGAGTAAATTCAATGATAAGCATTAGAAAATTTTGAAGAACAGCGAAGGTACAATTTAAAATTACCTTTAATTTGAGATTGTGCCGGAAAGCCCCAGGTAACCTCAATTTCACATCTAATTTACAATAAGGCAACACGGCAAGGCTTCAGTTTGAGGTTTCCCCGTAACGACCTCACTCTCGGTTACCAGGAAGTTGGTATACACAAAAACAGTGGACAGCGTTGAAGGCAAGCTCTGATTGGCCCCTCAGACTCAGATTATCTTTTAATATTCATATTCCAAGCAACTCGCGTGGGATTTTCGCCCGAAAATATTGTAATCGTTGCAGGAATGAATTGGTGAAAATCATCTTTTTGTGCGAAAGTATCTCACTGTTTTAGTATATACTCAAACAAGTATTCGCCTTAATGTTGGTGGTCAGCGGTGGATATTAACAAGGGCGCGAGGCGGCTTGGTAAACTCACCACCTTCCTTCGGTGAATAGCTGTTAACTATAACTAGTTATTATTTTGTTGATGCTATGCTCCTTAACACCGCTGTCATCTGGGTCAATTTTGCGCAAACTGTTATGAACAAAAATTTGTTACAAAGATAATGTAAAGTCAGTTCTGATCTTTTCTAAGACACGATGCACGCAAGTGTTCTTCGTTTACCTCATTGATGTAGGAATTTGGTTTACCAAGGTCACGTGGTTGTCTTGGATCCAGGTCTCCATCCAATCCTGCTATCACCTTCGTATAATTTTAAAATGAAACTTAAGTGCATTATATTTTAACTTAACAGAACTTCGTTCACTTTTATAATTTGGAAAAAGGACACGTGCGTTTTTTACCTCCAACGAACCCAAATTGGACAGACGAAGAACGGAACAATGGCCACATAATTTTTTTCGGGGAGGAACTTCAGCAGAAAAAAAATATTTTTATACATTTCAACGAAAGTGGTACATTAAGAAAATCGTCCCAACCGTAAAGATAAATGAGAAAGAGAGAGGGAGACCAACAAAGCTATGAAAGAAAGGGCGCATAGCGGACGTTTCCACAACGGCAGTCACAGAGGCTGGAATAAGGGTGCTGAATAGAGAGAGTTTCTAAAGGTTGGTCAAAGATCCAACGCCTGATGAGGAATAGAAGGAAAGAAGACCAAGATTTTACGAAGCAGTGCTTTAGAGAGAATTTCCAGGTAAAGGCAGGTTGCTAAGGCTTCCTAAAGAAATTTGGGTACAGGTTATTTTCTTGCCGTTAAAAAAAGGCACCTTTTTTTTTTAAATGAAGATGGGGCCACAGGAACAACAGAAACCCATACTAGTTGGTTATGTCCTTATGTAAGCCTCCAAAATAATTTGATCTCTCTTAGTAGCAAATCGATGAGTAGTAGCTACATGGTGCATGGCAAACAGCATAGCTACAAAGAAGGATCTGAATTGTTTTAAAATAATATATTATAAACAGCTACTTTACCTCTAAGAGCAAAGCTACATCCGAGACGGTCCTTGCCATAGGTCCCGTATGATCCAGTAAGAGATTTATAGGTACCATTCCCGTATAAGGTACTAGGCCGTATGTTGGCTTCAATCCCACAATTCCACAAGCAGCAGAGGGGATCCTGATGGACCCCCCTTGATCACCACCCATGGCCATGTCCGCGTATCCACCCGCCACCTGTCATGAATTGGTAGTTACCATCAGATGACATGCAGTATAGTATAATACAATGAGAGTGGTTAAAGTTAGTCAGGAACCAGTCGTCATTTTTAAAAATACGGCTTAAACTTAAGATTAAAGAATTTTATTGTTTCTCGTTCTTTACCATCTACAATGGTGTATGTTCCTATTTGATTCATTTCTGTATTTTTATTCCATCCAGCTCATTTTCAGCGTTTTTCTTTACTATGGAGGTAATATTTTCCCTTCCAGAAAACGACCCCAAAATATCGTGATGTTGTTCTGTTCAGCTATTGAAGAAAATTACTAGGCCCTCTTGGCCCTATGTAATTAATTCACCTGGATTTGTGCCCTTTTTAATCCAGTTCATCAGGGGTTTCAATAACTTTCATCGTAGGGGGCCGCCGATGGTTCAGCAGGCGGCTGTGCCGTAACTAAGGCGACAGCCTAACTGCTCGCGGGCTCAAAAATGGTGGCTAGAGATGTTACAGGCGGCCATAAACAGCCGTTAAGCGGCTTTTATTTAAACCCTTTCACATGCCTTAATGAAAAGAGCATGATCATTAGAGCACATTATTAATCAATCCAATGACACAAATAGGCTCACCAGTGCTGCTGAGCCGGATGAAGACCCGAGAGCCATTCTCGTTTCATTGTGAGGGTTGACAACAGGACCCGTGAATGCGGTGCAGCTAGTAGCAGTAAAACACCACTCCTCACATACGGCTTTCCCTGTGATTATCCCTCCAGCATCTAATATCCGAGTCACCACAGTGGCATCATGATCCGGGACATAATGTTCTAACATCCGGGATCCACTAGTCATTGGCAGTCCAGCCACTGGGATGTTATCTTTGATAGCGATGGTTTTTCCTTGGAGTTTACCGCTTTGAGCGCCTATTACGTCACAACGCCAGGACCTGAAATTCTCGGGAGTAGCTTTTATGAGCTATTGATGAATGACTCGTGAAAACGAAAGATTACTCTCGACCGATTGCCGTTCTGTGAAAGCGCACTTTCACCAACGGAACTCGCCGCTAGCGTGCTGGATTAAAGATTTGATTTTATGATCGAGGAGACCGTTAGTTAGAAACAGAAATTGGGTACCTAATATCATGAAAGAGAAAAAACGTTTATAGAGAATTATTAATCAACACATAGTCTGCATAGTTAAGCTCGTTGGCAAATTTAACAAATTTCCCTTCCCACCTATCCTCCCTTTCTTGTTGACAAAACCAGACTACCCCCCTCCCCTTAAGAAGCACTGCGATTGAACATAGACCAGTGCTCATGGCTTTATCACATAAAATCCTTTCTCAACGCCGATGAAGCAGCTGATCGACAAGAAGGAAAGAATAAAGCAAACAGACATAAAGAAATACGCACCACGCATTGTAAGGGTTTTCAGCTGGCCCTGGCCTGTAACCGGCTTCCCGCGGATATTTCACAGGGAGTCTAGACTCTGGTAAGTCGCATAACCGCTGGTAAGTATGACGGAGAGTGCTGGTCATCGCCTCTGCGGAAGAAAATTTTTGATCTTAGAATTCCGTTTCCAAACAAAACGTCATCTCTCAATTTCTTTCATTGGCTCTCCATTACAGGAGAGTGTGAGTGGGGTTAACCGACTAACGACAAAAGGCGAAAAATACTACCGACCAACAAAACGAGAAAAAAATTATCGGTTTGCAGCTGACGTCATACATTTATGCAAATTAAGCGTCCGCCATGTTGGTGCTCATCTCAGGTGAGAAATTTCATGCAAATATATCGCCATCTCTACCGTGCCCTCTTTCAAATACTTTGTTTTATGGACATTCCCGGTGAAAAAAATCCAGAATCAAAAGAGAATATTCTCCTTAGGATACCTGTGCTTTTGAAAGTCTTCTTCAAGGAGCAGAGATTGTTAACAAGATTGTAGTTGTGGCGAAGGTGAGACATTCGCTTAGGATGAACGATCTTCTTGTAGACAATTGGGTTGTCGCAGAAAGTGAGACACAAATGTACGTCAAGAAAAAGGAACGAATATAGTTTGAGAAACATACGAAAAGTTCCTCAATCATAACGCACCGATCCCAACGCACTGCCTCACGGAAGTGCTTGGCTTAATCCTTAAAGAAAATTCGTTTTAATTCATTGAGGAGAGCTTCCTCCAAAAGCATGGAATCGCGTTGGGTATGAAAATAGCAGTGTCATTTGCCAATATTTTCATGGCGGAAATTGAAAAGAAATTAATCCAACAAAGCGAAACCAAACCAAAAGAATGGATACGTTACATTAATGACGTTTTCTCCCTTCGGGATTGTGAGAGACAAGAGGTAAATCGGTTCATTAAACGGGCTAACTATTTCCACCCAACTATCAAATTCACGGCTGAAATATCAGAGAATCAACCAAATCACTTTTATCGATACCACGGTGTTCAAAGGGGAAAGATTCGCAAAAAATTCCATCTGGGACATCGAAACTCATTAGAGGCAGACCGAGACTTTCCAAATTACGCACTTCGCCTCGTGCCACCCACCAGGCGTAAAATACGGTTCATTAAAGGCAAGTAATAAGATTGCCTAGAACTACCTCTTGGAAAAAAACATTTGAAGTAGGCCGTTTGAAATTCAAACAAAGCCTCGAAGCAAGAGGGTACCCAGAAAACATCATAGAAAGGTGTCTGTCTGGAGGTCAACTTTGCATCTTGACAATCGGCATATAAACATACACAAAAGCCGAAAGGTCACGAACGTTTATTGCCTTTCGTCACAACGTACCACCCGGCAGTTAAAAATTTAAAACAAATATTGATGGAACAGTGGAGTCTGATACACAATCAGCCCTTGCTGAAAATAGATTTTACAAAACCTCCGATCTTTTTTTATGAAAAGAGAAAATCTCTTTAAAACATGCTTGTGAGAGCAAAAAATATTATTCAGAAGGCGGTAATGCGACGCGACCACGAAAGCCACACAGGGAGTCCGTACTGGTCTATCTTTACCTTTATTCTCACATCGTGTCGCTGCGACTTATCGCTTGTATCTACTTTCTTCTCCTCCTTGTTGTCAATTCTTCTTCGAATTATTTTTTATTATTTATTTTAATAACTGATGTTATTGTTTTTTTAGAGGGCACGGTAACGAATCTTGCAATCTGATTGGTTCTTTACCCGGTCAGTATTTTCCTATCTCTGCCCACGGGCCACGGTAACGCTTTCGTGAGTCGTCGAGTACATCCCAACTTTCGTTGTCATTTTTCATAAATATACCTCGTTTTCTGGCTGGGCTGTATTTTTAAGCAAACACGTCGGTCACTACCTCAAGCCGATAAATAACTTATGAGTCCTCTCTTTTCTCTCTATCAAATCACTTTGGTTGACAGAAAATTATTGGTTTCAGAATGAATTTGTATAAACAATAGTGTCATTACGTTGGTTGACAAGCGGCTAAAAACCGTCTGCAATTAATTTTAATCGTTCACAAAAAGTACCCAGAAAGTTGAAACGTGAGGTATTTGGTTACAGTTAAACTGAACGATGGAACTTTCATTCATTTAATATCTGAATTTTCTCGAGCAATTTGTTCATAGTGAAAGAGCGAGCGAAGTTTTAATTTAAGTTCTACAACAAATATACGCTCCTGGTGAGTCTTTCCAATTCCGTTCAATTTGGACATTTGTACCTTAAATTGCACAACAGAAATTGAAGGAATTTTTTGAGAAAAGGCCGCATTACTTTCCCTTGTGTCTCGTTGGAGTGTGCCGTTCGAATTTAGTTTTTGTGAAGGAAAGATCAGAGTTAAACACGCCATTACAGCAAACAAACGAGCAAACTCTCACAACTTCAAAATAAAAAAAATTGAATTTACTCACAATTACTTTCCTCGCCGTTTACTTAATGAACAGAGGTAAATCTTCGTACATGAATGAGTGGTCGATGAGAGTGAATAATACTTTCCGTTAGATCATTAACTGATTTTGAAGAAAACATTGTCGTGACAGTCCTTGCCAAACTAGTTCTGTTGGTTTTCAAATGTTCCTACGCTTTTTTTTTTCTTGCGCGCTCTCTAATTGGCAGGTGTCAGATTGTGACAGATACTTGTAAAAATAATGTTTCAAAGTTTGTTTGGAAGCCTTTTAAATCACCTTTATCGTTACGGAAATGAAAATGTTTCGCTGAGGCATCTCTCTTAAATTTGCATCACCTCTATTTTAACTACCATTTACTCACTCAAAAATTGTTCAGTTTATGGGAGATCTTGCCGTATTTACGGGCATAAATCATTCGGGTTCTTTCGGAAAGAATTTCGTCAAGTTTAAAAACAATAAATATGTTATTTACCGGCTAAGGGTCGGTCCGTATGGTGAAAAACTGTGACCTCGGTCTTGAAAATGCTGCCCTCGGCCTACGGCCTCGGGCAGTATTTTCAAGACCTCGGTCACAGTTTTTCACCATACGGACCTCCCAGCCGGCAAATAACATATATGTATTCGATAAAATCCAATCCCTTTGTCCCGATCACTTCTGCTGCCGCAGCCGAAACTACACAAAGAACCATGTCTGCTTTCTCACTCACACCTTAATACAAGCGCATTTGTAACTATTTGCTTGGGCACCAACAAGGCGGATAGCAACCGTCATCATGACAAAAGTCACGTGGGTGAAAACCAAGAATTATCGACTACCGACAGAAAAAAAAAATTAACCGACTACCGACATGGGCCGACATTATCGATATTTGTTTTCACAAAGATGAGATCAGAAGAGCATTTTGTATTTTTTCTAGTTTACGAAGTATCCACATGAAAGGTAACTATAGTATTTCCTATTACCTTCTTACTTTTTGGCCGGAAGAGCAGAAGCAATGAATATAATGTAATGAATAACGCAACTTGACAGCAATTACTGTTTAGCTTGCAAGTCGTTGTCAGAGAGTTGCATTTATTACAAGTTCCTTAAGGATACAACTTCATCTGCATTGGTTAATCCCAAAACTGCTTCTGAATTCAAACGGGATGACGAGGTCTGTGAATTTTTTCGTCCATCAAATACCTTGGGGGTGAGAGAACAAGAAAGTTCGTCAGAGGGCCAGGCTTCCTCGGAACAGGGAGAGGCGGCGAAAAAGAATTCAAATTATTCGTGGATTTTAACTTGTGTGGACCTTCCTTAAACGCGATAAAAAGATGCCAATCAGGCTACACAATCGAGAGTGGAACGATCAAGCCTCATCTGCTGTCGCTCTTCTCCCTGTGTCAACATCCAAAAGCAGATCTACGTGCAATTGTTGATAATAAGAAAGTACACGTTATCCCAGTGTCCTTGGCGAGCGACGGGACGGCTCTGAAGCCTGGTCTAGAATACGACCCACGGCAAAAACAAGTAATTGGCCTTACGCATAAAGTGGACGAGAAATTCGTAAAAAAGCATCCTCTTCCAGACCCTGAAAAGATAAAGACCAATCTAATCACCAGTGCAGACGTAACAATTGCGACTTCGCTTGATAACGGTGCCACAATGCCCGCGGCGGTTTTTTCCGACCCAAATCCGGAACTGGAGGAGAAATATTTTCCTGCATGAAAGATAGCATTAGAACCGTACATACCTATGAAAATTGCTTGAAAGGTCAGCGTAGTGTTAAATATATTGTTTCAAGTGAAACAATTGTTTAGCAATGAGCAAATGCGAGGAGTGCCCATCATCAAAATCGGTCTGTGCAACGTGCAAGGATAATGGACAAGGTTCTCAAATCTCATCGTTAAGGGCATGTGACGCCTGTTTAGGTAGAAACTTGATGTGTCAAAAGTTAGTCGTTATGGCAGTAGCAACTGATTGCGAGGAGTGTAATAAGAAGGCGCTTGTTTGCTTGAGTGAAACGTCGGCAACGAATGGTCCACAGGGAACTGTGTCACAGAAGACTCAAGTGTCTGTTTCTTTGCTGAAAAAAGGGATGGACAGACTGTATATGAACGTGATCGACGTTGATCCAGAATTTGCGGACGACATACTGCTGGTAACGCTGCTGAAAACACAAGTTGAAAACCTGCATGCTGTCTCACACTTCAAGCATGAGACATTTACGGTTCTCCAGTATGCCCAGGATTTTGGTACAATCATGAAGGAGTCTATAAAGCGTACATCCAGATGGACAGCAAAGTACTATACGCATGACAGGTCGTACTATTCTGTCCCTCAATCGGCCGTGCCTCTTTCAGCTGTTGCAACGATGGCACCTTTGCCAAGTGAAGGAATAACACCAAGTATGGAGAACAGAACTGATGAAAGAATGGTTAAAGAGCTACAGTACACCAACGGAAGGTTAGGAGTGAGACAACAAAAGATAAAGCTGGGGCCTTGCCGCCTGCTGTCTACGCTGTTCAACCCACCGCCAACAAGTCTGAAGAGAGACTTCGATTCCCTGAGGAAATCGAATCAAATCATTCGATCGAATTCCGTACCACATCCAGTTGTCAGTATACAATTTGTGGACGATGGGGATGTTTCTGAGATGTTCGAGGATTACAGAGAGGTACAAATTGATGAATATGAGACAGATTCTGATGATGAAAACCGAAAATGAAGAACATCTAGAGCTTGTCAAGAGAGCGTGTATTACCCGATTCGGCACAGAGCTGTTCGTGCATTTGTGCGTCTCGACTTGTGACAGTAAGTAGTAAATGACATTTGTATTTATGACGCTTGCAACGTTATTATTGCTTCGAGAGGATATTGGGACTGAGAAACTGGGATAAATACGCAAAAACAAAACCAGAGTTAATGAAGTTTAAGGGCAATCAAATGATGCAATCTTTCAAATTACAAGTTTTATACGTTATATGGGGCTCAAAGTCTTGAAACTAGGTGAATTTTATAACAAACATTAATAATTAACATGAATTTTTAATTATTAACTGAGATTTACCGACAACCGACAAAGATCGAAAATTTCAACCGACTACCGACAAAGTGACTGAATTTTAACCGACAACCGACGAGTGGACCCCCCCCCCCCCCCCCCATTCACCCTCTTACTGGAACTGTTACCCCTTAAAATGTACTTGACGAACATTCTCTCCCTTTTGGTGTAGTCCGGATCCGTTGTGCTGGTCAAAAAAAAACAAGTGGAGTTAGGGATGATGTTGGCGCGCCGCGTGGAACTATCAGAGTTCTCACATCCAGAGTTCCGCGCGGCAAGGCGCGCTAATTTTTGTACTGATTTTTTAGACTCGCATGACGGACTTTGCCCATCGCCCAGAATTCAGCGACATATCCGGGACTTTCATTGAGACGCTGGCGCTAAATTTAAATGCTAATTAGAAAATGATTGTCAAACAATAAAGGAAAAGGGCCGAAAATGTCGAGGAAGGCCTACGTTCTCTTCGTTTACGGATAAACTACTTTTCAAATGCTACTTTTACCATATGGCTTTTAAAGAAGAAAGTTCAATTGAATAGTGTATCATTCTCACTTTGTTCTTGCGCTTTCAGAAGAGGTCGCAAATTTGCCTTGAAAATTGACTATGTTAGCATCTTGCTTGTATGAGAAGTCGATCTCAGCGCACTTTCAGGCGTAATTTATCTTCACTCAATTGCTAGATTTCTCTTTTACCATATGGTTATTTTCATTTGACATTCTAGAAAGCGTCATAGAAATTTTCAAGGGATTCCAAACTTTGGAAGTAGTCGCAAAACGCGAATTTCGAAAACGTTTGCTAAGCATCGTAGTGTTCTATCCAAATTTGTCCTTTGGAGACCCCCACGAGAATACAAGTAACCTATTTTAAACTTCCCGCGAGAATATCAAGGTATGTTAAGCTCCGCCTCCGCAAACAATCGCGCACACGCCGCCTAATTAGTATTGAAATTGAGGTGGTAACTAGACAATGCTTAAAAAACTGTAAAAGCTTTTAAGATATGATCGCTGAGATCGCTGCAGAAATATTCAGCAATCGTTACTATCATATGGAAACCACACTCCTATTATTGTCGCAAGATAGACTCTAGCTCTATCTCGACGATCGTCGCACTCACAAGCCGGTTGTCGGAAGCATCGCTCATATTTTTCTCTACCGATTGAAGCGATTTTAACGAAGTAGATTCTTCATGATACTTTTTTTCTAAATTTTTCTTTTTTCTATTTTCTATTTTCATGATACTAATTTTTATAATTCCGATAACATTTTGACCAACGGGAGTCTGTCAGTCCATATAAGAATTCGCTGCAAACGAATTTGCTAAACGCTTTGTTAAGAGCGTGGCTATTGTTAATTATTGCTATTGTTCACTTTATGTCACCTTGGGATTTACTTTACGCATCCAACCGTTTGATTGACAGCAGCTGAAATCTGCAAAGAGACTCATGTATTCCCAAAGCTTTACCTGCTGACCAATCACAACCGACTAGTTCAGGATATGCAAATTATTATGCTGCCCGCTGATTAAATGGGCACTGCAAGTACATGTCGCGAAAGACAATAGCATTCTGGGCGATGCAAAAAGCATAGACAGTTCGTAGACAAAAATTGTAACAACTAAAACTACTGAACACGGAAAATTCCTGCAAAGACAGCTACCGTAAGAGTACGTTTATTCACTAAAGTGCAGTATTTAAAAGATTATTTAGTGATTCATGATATTAATTAAGTCTTTTTGTTTCAGTTTCAGGACGTGAGTTGTCCCTTGGAAATCAGATTCCCTGATTTGTAATGGTAATTGAACTGAGTGGAGTGCAATTTAGGCTGAAATCATACGCGTGATTTCAAAATTGAACGAGCGCGCAGCGCGAGTTCGATTTGAAATCACAATTATGATTTCAGATCAAAATTGCACAACACGAGGTTCAATTACCACTTTATTACATCCATTTTGAAATCGCCCAAATACAGGACTTGGTCAGTTCAAATATTTTATTAATGCAATACTGAGCCGGTTTGAAATTAAATTCATCCACTTTTTGGGAAGAAAAAGTGAGAGTTTTGGAAACAAAAGTTGCAAAATTTACTACATGATACTCCATGTCTTTCATCTTCCTGCGATTTGATCGGTTACTTTAAACAAGCCTTGAAGTCTGATTGGTTGTTTTGTTTTTAGTGTAGCCTACTCATTAGCTGGGGAAAAGATGTGATTTAAAGCAAAAAATGATGCGATTTGTGAATAAATCACACTAATTAGAGCCAATCAGATTACAGGGACCACCATTGATTTCAAAATGGCTGTAATAAAAAACTGAATCGTCGCTTAAAAATTATATAAGAATATGGCAGATTCCTCCCTTAACCTTTGGAAAACCCTCTTTCCTCTTCTCCGCCCCTCCCCTTCCCCCTCTCCCCCCCACCTCCACAAGTAACATCCCCCCTTACTGTTTGTTTAAACGCAGCGCAGGCCGCAGGCAAAGACGAAAAGCTGAGTCACGCAACGCCTTATACTCGCTCAAGACGTTGCACTGCAAAAACGAATAATTTATTGCCCGTTTGGCGAAAATTCAAAACTTCGTATTTCCACCGAGTTTCCTTGAGGAACACAATTAAAACACACGAGCGGAGCTGATGTTTAACCCCTGTGCTAGCACTGTCCTGTCTATAGAGTTCTGTGCGAACTGTGAAATCATTGATAGTGAAAACCAGGCTAAAAAGAAACTACTTACCTAAATAAACGGATATCTCCTCGTCTTTAATAACAAAGCCCATTCGTCGAGATAGTGACCTTATCTCTTCAGCACTGGGCCCCTGTAATGTGGATCCTTCAGTTCGGTTCGCATCCATTGTATGTTAAGGATGCTCTCTGGAATTTCGATCAGAGGAAAGAAAGCGCGATCTTAATAACCCGGTCAGCGCTCTATCATAGGAGTCACGCAAAGACGCCTTGCATGATCACCTCGTGACCGCCTATTGATTTCTCTTGACTAGTCCTAGTTCGCACGGTTTTTGTTTTAAATTATATTATCCACTTGTGATGGTATACATTTAAAACAAAAAAGCATAGGATAGGATAGGATTTGTCTTCATCGCAATATCTAAGCGAACAACGACCCCCAATTTAGTACATGAAAAGATTATCACTTCTGTCGTCATTTGCATTTCACAATTGGCCGCTCGCCCGCCTATGGACATTTTCAGCCTTAGCGTAATGGCGGCGTTAATCTGGTGAAGGAATAACTTATCGAGTGCTGTTTTAGATAACATTGGTCGGTTAAGTATTATAATTAGGTGGCGTCCACAAAAGATGAAATCCACGTACAAGGAAAAAGTGGTTAAACCTCCAAGCACTGCTCAACTTACCAAAATATCTACCGAGCTTGGTTACGACTTAGGACAAGATGAAATTCTAGAATACAAAGGTTAGTACCGTCAAATTAGACAGAAGCAACCATTTTTAATTTCTAACGCACATGAACATCACCCTTGTTTTGTGCTCCACTCTGTAAATAAATATTTTTACCGACTTTTCACACCGGCGTGATTGCGCGATCGGCTATACGTGTCCTCTGTATGTTAATGTTAGACTATGATTGAGGAGTCTCCTTGCGGTTATCACACGATATTCCAGAAACTTCAGTCAGTATGTGAAAGGAACTCACAGTTTTGAAGCGTTCAAATTGGAAATTTTCAAAATAAACCGAATTTCTTGAGTGGTAGAGGTAGACGAATGTTCGTATGGTCTTCTATGAGGTAGGCATAAAATAAGGATTGTGGCTCAAAGACTAAGGACTACGGAATACGGACTACGGACTACTAGCTACGGACTACAGACTACGAAATTACAGTCTGAGTGTAACACACAGGCTAGGTTATGAAAGAGGGAATGCATCCCGTGGACTGAGAACACAGAAATGGGAACAGAATGTGGATAAGGAATTACCAGCATTCGTATTTTAACAGAGGACGTGTACACCGATTGGTGAAGTTTTCTCGTGGACTAACTTACTCGTTTCTGGCGCTATACAGTATTCAGAATTGATATTTCATTAGTTTCTTGATCTAAGCGAGCTGCCATCACAGCGCATTTTCAGAAATATTCCCTCGGAAGATTCTTCAGGAGAGGTTTTGGTTATTGTTTCTTCTAAAGTAACAAACTTTAAAAGCTTGTGGTATCTGGCGAATATTTAATTAATCGTCGGTTGTTAGTCCATTGTCAAATGCAATAGTCTTGATACTGTTTACTCAAACATCTATTATTTTAAGTAAATAAAGGGGGTAAGTTTTTGAAGAAACTGTGGCGCTGCGTCGGTGGGAGAGTATAACAAGGTAATTTAGTGTTAACAACTGAGTTGATGACGTTAATTGGCCATCGTAAAGAGTTAAAAGGCTAGCGTCGTCATATTCCCACCAATAGCGTAGCTCCATTTTCTGCATATAAACCCACATACAACCCACAATTCCTTCAATCGCTCTGATGAGGGGCTATCGCTCGAAACGTCAGCCTTTTAACAGTTTACAGTGGCCAATTTACGTTATCAACTCAGTTGATAACACTAAATTTCCCTATTATTTCAAGTGCCGAGTTTAATGACGTTTGATCGTGATCTGGTAAAAATGTGATCTAGTATGAAAGAGTTATTTTGAAAAGATGACTCTCATTACATTACTTTTCAGCCCAAAATAATTTACAGTCATTCACCAAAGTGGAGGTGAATAGTGGTAAATATCCATCACTTTCACCGACACCGAGACGGATAATTGTTTTAGTATATACCACACCGATGCAAAAAAAATTAGTTTATTTCTTTAAAGATACCAAAAAATGGTCAGAAATTAAACTCATGACCCGTGGTTTTGTCTCATCGGTGAATAATACTAGATAAACTGGCCAATAGTACTAGATGAACTGGCCAATCAGCGCGTGCAATAGCACTATTCACTTGTTTGGTATCTACTAATAGAAAATACTGTATTTTTATTTTATCTGTTCGTAGTCGGTGTTTCATACAGATATGTTAAATTTTAGTGAATGTTACCGACGACCAGCACCAGGCCTTTTGGCTTAGATCTATGGACTGCTAAGCTCCCAGGAGTTCATGTTGGACTGTTCATCGTACTGCTTGACTTTTGACACTCCTTTCGAGGCTCATACACTGTAATTCTATACGATTCAGGAAATAGCTTTGCCGAGTCAGTTCACACAGTCTTGCATTTCTTTGAATCAACATAGTGTTGCTCATAACTCTTTGGGAGGCGGGAAGTTGGCGGAAACAGCAAGAAAGTTGACCGTTTTTCTCTCTCTAAAATTAATTTAACCATCTCACTTGATTTAACAGACGTTATTGATGACTCGCTTCAAGCAACATATCAAAGGCTTAATGAAATACCCGATCCCAAACTACCTGTAAAATACCCCCGCACGCCTGGTTATCGACCGACCGGGCCCAAGGACAACCCTTATAACGCATGGTAAGTTAGACTTAAACAATGTATTGCTTTGCTAATGTAGTGTAGCAGCTGAAACTCCTTGCCTACATCCGAATCACTCTGTGCAAAGGCTTTCGGAGTATATTTGACTTTCTTGTCTCATTCACCTAAGGTACTGGCGCTGTGACATTCCTGGTGCTCCAAATGGAAAACTTCAGGGTAAATTGATCGCCATCAAGGACTGTATCTGTGTCGCGGGTGTTCCAATGATGATGGGCTCCCAGATATTAGAAGGTTATACCCCGGATGTCGACGCCACCGTGGTGACAAGGATACTAGACGCTGGTGGTCGTATCATGGGGAAGGCTGTTTGCGAGAATTTATGCAACAGTGGAGGTAGCTTTAATGCGGCCACCGGTCCTGTAGTTCACCCGCTTGATGAAACAAGAATGACAGGTGGATCCTCTTCAGGGTGTGCTGCTCTGGTATGATTAGTAAATGGTGCATACATTCTAGTCCAGTGTAATGATCAGCATGTCGTTTTCCACAGACATCTCAAGTTCATTTTGCAGAGCTCATGATCACTGACTGCCAACCGTTTTGAGCGCTGAACTGCGGGTCGAGAAGTCTGGGTTCGAGACCCGGCCGGGTCATTGTGTTGTGTTCTTGTGCAAGGAACACCTTACTCTCCCCACGCAGGAGTATAAATGGGTACCAGCTAATTGTCGGAAAGGCTGAAAAAATGCCGGGGTTAAGCTTGAGATGAATTGGCATCCCATCTACGGGAATACACTTGGCTCGACTGTCCTTTTATCTTTTCAGGAACATTAGTCCTTGCAAATATGTAGACCTCTGAGCCCTCTCAGACAAGTATCCCTCTCCTTCTTCTAGATCTTCAGCGTTGTGTTAACAGAGGACATAAATGAACCCACACACTTGCAACATAGAGTAGAACACAAAGCTCCCACGCATTGTGGTCTGTAACCTCATTCGTGATATAATCAGTAATGCCGAAGAAATTTCCAATTTTGCATGAGAAATATGTTATTCACGTTTAATTTATATTCTCGTGAGCTTTCAGGTGGCAGGAGGTCACGTGGACATGGCGGTAGGTGCTGATCAAGGTGGCTCCATTCGTAATCCAGCAGGACGTTGTGGCATTGTGGGGTTGAAGCCTACTCTAGGTCTTGTTCCATATACGGGTATTGTACCCATGGAATTCAGCCTCGATCACGTAGGCTTGATGGCCAAAACTGTGCACGATGTAGCGTTATTACTCGAGGTTGGTATTTTGGGAAATTCTTGATAAAACGCGTTGAAATAATGAGGGGCATGACAAAAAAATACGCGAGGCGGTGCATGTCTTTGATTACGCGCATTTCGCAAATTGCGGGTTTTCTTTATAGCCTTGCTTTTCTCACACAGGTTTTCCCTAACGCTCTTTTTCCTCATGTGCGTTTCAACTGTATTATCTAGGCTTCATTTCTCCAACGCTACAACTGGGGAAGAGGTCGCGTACACTTATTTTTTTTCTTTAAGATATTACATGGGTGAGTTGTGAGTTGACAGAGATTTTCTTTTATCTTTAATTTTTCTTAAGCTTTTGGTTTTCACAACATCTCAAGTTGTGTTTCTTGTTGCTGCAATAATCGTTGTTTACACGAACTAATCTACGTTTTTGCTGAACTGTTTGCTCTCGAAAGCCTTAATTGAAAATGTTATCCGGTATAGCTCTACGTACTTTCGTTGATGTAAAGTATTCTGAATCAGTTTAACTGTAATTTTTTTTATTGAAGATTACAGCTGGCTCAGACGATGGTCTTGATTATCGCCAGCCTCATGAACTGCAGGTGGAAAATTACGTAAATCAGGTGACGAAGCTATCTTGTTTCCAAAGCCGTGATCTGTTTGGTCAGCGTCACAATTTTAAAGAGCTCTTTCTGAAACAAATTCACCTTGTCGTTTGATTGGCTGGTTTGACTGCGGTATGAATAAGTTGTTTCTTTACGAATTTTTCTATCGACGGCTACAATCAGCTGTTAACTTGCTCGTAAGAATTTCCCACTATTCCCGTATGACTTTCAACTGAAACTTTTTCGCCCTTTTGAGGAAAAAAGTCATGCTAAATGTTGATGTAGAATGCCTAATAAACTAGCGCTTCAACGCAGTTCCTCGATAGGTATTTGCCATTTACAGTTCACATTTTGCCGCTTAGAGTTTATTGCTCATCGTTTGCCTATAATTGTTGCCGTGATCTATTTACCTTCTCCCGTTAACCTTTTGCCGTTTTTTGTTTCCATTCACCGTTTACAGTTCATCGTTTATCGTTTATCGTGTGTTATTTATCATTTTCCAATCACCATTTATCATTTTTTGACAGCTTACGAGTGAAATCTCTCATCTTCGACTCGGACTTCTTACGGAAGGCTTTTCTCATCCCCAATCTGAGCCCGATGTTGACCAATGCATCAAAAGGGCCGCTAAACACCTGGCTACAGAATCGGGTGCGACCCTACAAGATGTCTCTGTTCCAATGCATTTGGATGGTAAGTGTAATTTGTACTTTGTGATGATCGAAAGCAATAAATCGGCTACCTTGATAGTATATATTGCGATCACTCCTTTCCAATCTGAGCGTTTTAGGGACCAGCTATATGTTTTATTACCGTTTGAGGAAGGGCTGAGGATTTCGGGGGGAATAACAAGATTTTCGGGGGGGGAATGGACGGAGAGATCAGTCGTCACCTACAGAGTATAAAGGGGGAGGGAGGGGAGCTTAAGAAAATTGACTGCCAATTTACAGTCAATGAGGGGGGATCAGACGAAAAATATTACACAGCCTTTTGGGCGATCAGTCAAAATTTATTGTGACATAAGCAAATCCTCCCACCAGTCCCTTATTCAATACTATGCGGGGCTTAGTAAGTGAGGCTTCTCTTTTGTTTTTTCTCTTAGCAACTGTTATCTATGACGCTTTTACCGAAGGAGGACTCTGGCCTGACAGATTTTTTGAGACAAACGGTAGGTCCTGACCCCACTGAAAATAAAGGCAAAAATATGAATGAAGTAGAAACAGCAGCCAAACGTCTCCAGGAGTTTACAGCGGTGTATGCCTTGGGGAGAAGCCTGTAGAACAAGTGTAATTCTTAGACGTTTTTCAGGCGCTCTCTACCTCACGCGTGACTCCCGCTTCAATTTTGCTTCGCGTTTGCCTGGCCGTCTAAATAAAACCCTAAAAATTACACATGTTCCGCAGGCTACTCAGAGAGAGTTAAGGTACCTGGTTGTTTGGAGTGTGGTGTGAAAGGGATGGGTTTGAGCTCAGGTCCTGTTCTTTTCACTGTGTTCGGGGGCAAGACAGTTAACCCTTATTACAGTCGACTCCCGTTCTTGCGGACACGCTCGGGTGGGTTGTGGGGGGATTTAGTGTCCGTAATAGCGAGAGTTCTTAATAGCGGCATACGAAAGAAAAAAAATGTCTCTCAACAAATGAAATAATATGTAGCTACGCAAACATAAAGTTTCTGACGTAGCCGCACGAACCGCAAAAAGATCGGGCCGCAGGCAGGAAATTCTTATGTTCGCACTCAATTGAAAAATGGTTTCCTTGCTTTCTTTTATCGTAATGTCGCTGTATACTTGTATACAAGTGTCCGCTATAGGGAGAGAAAAACAAGTGAAATATCGCGCTGCGGGCCATGAAAGTGTCCGTATTTCCTAAATAGCGAGAGTCCGTGATAACGGGAATTTATTTCAGTCATTTCTTCATGCGTTTCGCTGGGGCCTGGCTCTTGTCCGCAATGACGGGGCGTCCGTAATAGCGAGGTGTCCGCCGGGCGAGAGTCGACTGTACACAGCACATCTTGCATTATAGAACAAGAACGGTAGCTAAAAGCTAATAGCCTTAGCTGGCCCGTTTACATGGGGGTAAGGGACTCCAGGTTGGTGAGGGACCCCAAGTTGGTGAGGTAACCCACCTAGGTGGGGTAACCTATCTGTCTACATAATCTATAATTTTATGACGATTGCGTTTACACGATAGGTGGGGTAACCGTGTCCCTGGAAGGGTTGCTCAGTCTGCCGGGTAGGGTAACCCTGTCAGCCGGGGTGACAATTTGCCATGTAAACGTTTTAAGATGGGGTAACCTACCCAGCCGGGGTCTCGTTCATGTTAAATTTCCAAGCGCACCAAGAACTTCTCATCCCTCAGAGTCCTCATCCCAGCATTCCCGTGCGGTAAGATTGGGTGTAAACGCGGGCTATTTTTCGGACACGGCTGAAGGGGTTATCTCCATCGCCAATCAAACAGGCCCTAAAACACTTTGAAGACAGCTTGCGATAGACCACTACTACTTAACATGAAAACTGTGAACACTCTTTCAGTTTCTCATTTGCATTTACTCTGAAGGCTATCAGGTTACCAGTCTCCAGAAATGGTTTGCACAAGGACTAAAGACTCGAGCAAATGATATCAGCGCCGACTTCAAGGTCGCCTCTATCAAAGGAAGATACTTGCAAAAAAATTATAACGATGAGTTTTTCTTTAAGGCACGCAATCTAGCGTGGAAGCTAAGAACAGTGTTTGACGAGGCACTGACCAAAGTCGACGTGTTGATCATGCCTACCAATCCGAAGAAAGCCAGACCATTACCTCTTCCAAATATTCCTCTAAGAGGTAACTTTATTAATTAATTGATAAACCATAAAAAATGAGTAACTAAGCAGTGTAAGGTGCAGCCCTTTTTATAAAACAAGTTTTTTCTGCATGAAACAAAGAAAGAAAAAGAAAAATAACATCGGTCTTCTTCGGGAAAAAAAGTCTTTTACGGCCAAGATATTTGTTCCTCTTCTGAGAAATACGTTGTTGCCTTAATAACCCTTGCACCCTTGCAACTAGTATTTAATTTGCTCTTACAGTATCACCCCTGAATCCCACACTAGGGTCACAAGGAGAAAGGAAATGATCACCGCCGAAAAAAGCTCTTGATTGTTAAACAAATTCCCCTTGTCAGCATCTTAGGAAATGTATGGAGAATCTTATGAAAAATATGAATACTGTTAGGGTGAAAAAGGTTTATAAAATTTTAAATTCATGCAGATTTTCGTTTGTTTAGGAGGGTTTCTTTCTTTATTGGCCTACTAATCTCGTTCCCAGATCCTACCGTGAAACTAAAAATTTATACCATTGTTAAACCGGGAAGGCCTGGGTACGAGATTTAGGCAGTACATATCGATCGATAATATGGTAAACTTCATCGGTAAAAATTACATGGGGTCTGGTGTATGAGAAACTGCATAGATTAAGAATAAAGTCGAGGAAGGCTGCTGTTAGTGTTAGATTGACAGCAAATTTATCTTTTGGTTTGCTTCTAAATTTTTGTTATTACTGAACTTTTCTCAATTACCAAATCTTTGAGTTGTATCTTTATTTCCGTCATTTAATCATTCTTAAATTTCTTTTCTCTCCAGAGTATCTGCAATGTTGTAGTGAGAACTACGTAAATACATGCACCTTCAATATGACGGGTCACCCAGCCCTGTCAATCAACGCCGGCTTCAGTGACGGCTTACCAGTTGGTATGATGATTGTGGGAAGAAAGTTTGATGAGGCCACTGTTCTGAATGTCGCCTACGCTTATGAGAGGATCAGAAAAATGTAGACTAAACGTACTTTTGTTTTCTGATCTTAATTTTGCTAAAGTTTTGATAGATAGGCTCAACATGTTGATGTTCCTTTCTGTACAAGGGATAAGGAAAATTTGATACAGTTATGCAAACCAGAGACACAGTCGAGGCAGCTGTCATTCTTATTTGATCACGTGCAAATCTGTGATTCCAGTTTATTTCAAGTTTGTGATGAAATATTGCTTGTCTAACGCGGATAAAAAAAAATTAGCTCCCCTTTTCGTAAGCGCGATAACAAGGCCGCTTCTCTGGAAATGAGCCTGCGCACACCCCTCAAAGTCACTTTTCCGGGGGGGGAGGGATAGAACACCGGACTCGAGAAAACAGCAGAATTCGATCCTACCCTTCCCCCTACCACACATACACACACACGCACACACACACCCCAGTCTCAAACAAAGTTGACGGTACCATTTATTCTCCTGAGTAGAAAGATACACTATGAGAGGTGGAGGTTAATTAAGCCCCATTGAAAGTTCGCCCCTTTCTAGTTCTCCTCCACTTAGTAGCGATGACGGGGACGATCTTGTCATCGTGGGGGGCCGACGAGTTGGGGGCGAACTTGTAGACAGAGAGGCAAAAGTTAGGTGTCTTTTAACCCGTTCCAGGTCCCACCTATTACCGGCTCTATCTCGGGCGTTGTGGTGCTGTAAGAATAGGGGCCCTGGGAATGCGGTTGAGTGATTTCCTCATCATGATAGCACACAATGTAACCCTACCCAGCTCGAATCCAGATATTCTGGTCTGAAGGCCACTGCAAAGTTACATTGAAAGTATGTTGACAAAAAGAAGAGTAATGAGATATCAAATATATAATTTCATCCCTTTTATTTACTCAAGACCTTTAAGCCAGTTAATATTTTTTCCCTAAGAGACATTAGGCCACTTTTAAAGTGAAAGTCATTCCTCCTCCTCACTCTCGGATGTAGATGTTCCCATGAGGATTAGCGACATTGGTGAGCTGATTCAGGTTGTTGGTTCCGCATGGATCATGAGTTGGCCAATTAGTGCCAGTGTTTCCATCGAAATAGTAATATTCTTTAAGATTAGTATTACTTGAGGAACGAATGAGATCAGGGCCCACAGTCTTGCCGTTAGGGTTTCCAGCAGTAAACTCGATGAGACGGTCGGGAACCAGGCCTTCACACCTTGATGCGACGTTCTTAATATTGCGACACTGTAGATATCCTTCGCGCATATCCACCAGACTTCCGCTGCTTTCTGTACATGTACAAACGATCCAGTCATTGATGTTAGACTTTATCATGAACTCACGGCCAAGTGTCTTCCACAGGCTGAACTCCATGGCGTTGTAGTCTGTTTCACTGACGGGGGCGGCGGTGGACACGGGCACGTTAGCACCTGGAGCGTACCAGTTAGGACGTGGCGTGACGGCGTTAGATGCTGCCCTAAAGTTCCTGCAAAATGAAATGAGAAGTGTTTAAGAGTTAAATTTCCGTGCCAATAAGATAATTGCTTGTCACCTCAATCGTCAGATCTCCGAGGAAGAGAGTGTTCCTAAGCTCGTTCTGTAGCCGTGGCACCTTGTTGATTTGTAGTTATTCCGTATATTATCTAAAATGCTACGGTCCCGAAATGCCTCCTCCCAGATGAAAAACAAACAAACAAACAAACAAACAAAAACAAACAAGGGGCGTGGAGGGCTGGTATAAATTCACGTTTCCATTTTTTTTTTTACAAATATGTTTCGCCGAAAATAGGGCTACAACGATCAAACAGAGATGTTAAGTCGATTGAAAAAAGTTCTAAACGTAAATGTCATTCGGTAAAAAGTCCCCAATAAGTGATGACTAGAGTGGCTCTGTGGTGAGCTCCGCTTATCAACAAAGATCTTCAGTTCTTATTTCACTTCCAACATGCTTGGTTAAGATGCCAGTGCAATGATGAGGAGTGGATCTCAACCCTTGATGCACAAGTTACCTATTATCTCAGCTTATACATTTTCCTACGGTTCTCTCGCCCCTGAGCGTCCAGTCAGGACCTAATTTGCTAAGTAAATTGAAGTTTAGGCGAATTCGTATTTGGACAAACTCCATGTCTCAGTTACCTATAGTTCGTAAATGTATAGCTGTATACTAGTGTCCAACCTCCATCGTCTGTTTCCTGATCGCAATAGGCCTGGAAAGCATTTGCACCATCAGGTTTAATCCAATATATTCCAGATTCTGTGTTCTTCTGTTTCTTTTTAAGATCTTGACAGGACTTAGCAGCGTTTTTCTTGTTCAGGCCTGTGGTATAAACGTGTCAATTATTATGATCTGAATATATTATGTTTCTTTAAAGCGAGTTCACTGAAAAGGAGCTCCTGGAGCTCAGAATCCGAGTGGAAAGCATTGGATCATTATCCAAAACGTAGGAATTTTCATCAAGGGATTTGCTGTCTTTACATCCCACTTTTGATTAAAAAAGAGATATTCTCTCCGTATAATGAGTTACAGTTATCCCTTGGCTTCTCGCCCCTAATTCAACTCGCAAATCATGATTATCCACGCGTATTGCAATTATGTTAAACCATCGAGTAAGGTGTAGTGTATGTATATTGTGAATATAGAGGTGTAGGCAAATATTTCAGGCACACTTACCATATAATAACTTTTTTTCGTCGCATGGTTTCTCAGTAGGCTTCAGAACTATTATTTTTATGAATAAAAAAAGTTGTAAGTGAAATGGGATAGTTTCTCCAACTTTCTTAATACCTGGCTAATGAAAAGTTAATGACTTTAAATTAAAAACAACAAGATCTTCTAAAATCACCAACTCACCAAAAATTTAATAACTAAAACGGTACTGATGCTTCGCCTGGCTAATATCAAGTACACTTTTTGTTTTATCATTTCTCTTAATTTGTGTATGTACAGACAGACCTGTATTAGTATTAATCATAACCATAACAATTTCCTCAAATGTGATTGGTGCATTAGCTGCTTTATTTTTCATTAATCATTCGGTATAGTTGTAATCGGACAGTTGGCTGTAATCTGACACATGTAATCTCACAATTGGCTGTAATCGAACACATATAATCGGGCAGTTGAAGCAGCCAATCATACTGAGTCCGTTCAGCTAAATCCACCAGTCACAGTATTGATCACAATAACCATAGCAACAATCACCTACCCTGAAAAAAAAACTGGGGAATTTCCAAAATGGAGAAATTTTTCACTTTAAAGATTGTCTCTACCGCAGATGTTTGTCATAAATGTATTTGTTTTTTTCGTAAATAGTAACGGTTATGGTTAATGGTAACAAGACTTTGTGTCGTTCAACTCATGATAAACAAATCGGACTTCCGCCTCGCGCTCATCCTATGTTGTAAACTCGTATGGTTACAGGCCGAATTGGACTCCACTCGGTCCTATTACCATTATGAATCAAAACTATAATAAGATTCTCGAACGTGATCGGTTATTACCGCCCCGATTTGAGCACTAATAGGACAGTGTAGGCGTCAAACTTATAACTGGACAGTGTAATGGGACAGTTGGCACGTCAGGCCTAATACGTGGACAGTACGTGTCATGAGCACGCACTGTTGTCGCACATTTCGCCGAGTTGTTGTTGTTGTTTTTTTTTATTTTAAGAAGACGTATGACCAATAACTAATTTCTTTCTCGGATTTTGTCATACTTTTGATTAAAAGAATATCAACAGTTGATATTCTTTTGTTTGGATTAATTGGTAATCAGAATCTGAGTGGAGTCCAATTCTCGTGATCAACAAATCAGATTCCCGCTTTGCGGTCGTCCGATTTTGTTAGTCACTAATATGATTGCAGACCGAATCCGGGTCCCTTCAGTCCTATTATCATTATCAATACTGTTTGCTGTCGCCTTAAATTTCTTGGACTAAAATGCAAAATAAAGACTTCTGTGATCATCTGTTGTTGTTGTTGTTGTTGTTGTCTTAAAACTTCATTTCGAACAATAAAATAAAGTATGTAGCCCGTATACAGAGAAGTTCAATAAGCAACAACAAGAACAACTTAGCTAAACGCAAGGGTTTTCACCTTTTGATTTAAAAATCTCCCAAGGAAAATTCATCGCTAGCTATACCTTTATTTCCACAATATCTTGCTCTTTTGATGCCTGGTCGAGGCAACTCATATATCCAAAATCCTTGACATTTCATAATCTTGATCGTTTGCATCTTATAACAGCCGCCATTTTGTGCAAAGCATACTGTTCCTTTAACAAATTCTCCTGAGCTCAGACCGTCAGGATGGGACGTGCGCAGGAAGCCTGGGTATGATGCACCGCACGATGGCGGCTCCAAAAATTTTCCTGTGGTCTTTCTGTAAAAGAAAATCAATCAAAATATTTAAATTAACAAAAAAATCACAACCTTTTCAGTTCTAGCAAAGTTGTGTGGTTTTTGCATGCCGCATTAGTAATTACCTTCCACAGAACCAAACGTCGATTTCAATTTAAATCATTTTTGGACTCATCTTGGACAAGATGTCTGGAAGTCATCGTTTTAATTAAAAACATTCATTCTTACTTACTGTAATCTTTTGAGGGCAGAAACCAAATTTACAAGTGATTACATTAACGGGTCATATACTTACATGTCGGCCATTTTTTCTCCTGCGTCACCCGTAAATCGATACCATTCCTTTTTCCAGTCGTTGTTCCTGTCTGACATCCCCGTGTCAATGCCGTAACCTGCAGCTCGATTTGCTTCACCCAGCTTCTTATAATTATCACATGGACCGTAAGCACTGTCTGAAAAAAAGTTAACCGTTACGGTTATTCCACACACTTGCCTAATTCAGAAAGGGTTGTGCATTGGCGTAACAGAAAGAGAGAATGCAAAGATTTCTTATATTCGAATAAAGCGTACAACTACATGACGGCTTGACTTGGATAAAAATGAATAAAAAAAATTAATGTATCCCGCGCAAAACGAAAAATATAGGGAATAAGAACTTCGATAGGGTGACAAGTAAACAAACGATCGATTGCCGAACGAGTAATTCCGATAATTCTTTCAATTGCTATCTACCATACCCAAAAGTACAAGAGGTATTACTTACTTGGCTCTGGAATGTAACATAGTAAAAACAGCAAATTAAGAGCAATTACTGTAAGCATCATGGATCCCTGAAATGTTAAAGTATGTAAGAAAGTGCCTTAGCTGGAATGTTTATCTGATTTTTTTTATTGGTATTGTTGTCATTGTAAAGTTAGAATGTATTTAATATCAATAGGAGCAAAATTTTGGAATAAAGACATATGAAGTCATGGGCTTAAAAAAGAAAAATGGCATAAGATTAATAAAGAGAATTTAATTTCTCATGGTTCAAAAAGCGTTCTTCTTTGAAACCCGAAATTATGAAACCGGGCTCTCTTCTGTAGATTTCCCACAGCTTTCCTTTCCTTTACTTGCTAAAATGCAGTTTAAACATAGAAATCATATAAATGTCAACTGAATGATATTATCATAGAATTGTTTTTTTGTTATCTAAATGAAAAACACAATTTGCAATGACGTTCGTGAGTGTGGACCTCCGCCGCGCGCACACAGATACATTTAATTTCTAGGGCTAATTACTTCATACCTGTTTTCATTGGTTCATGAACACTGTTGCCCATTTTTACAAAAAAATTGAAAATGAAAGAGAAGACATATTTTTGTTAGGTTTGATTAAAATAAAAAAAAAATGCGAGGCAGTGTTTAGATAAAAAGTAAATGGACCTGCATTAATCAAAAATAAATAATACCTTGTTCACTGACTTTGAACATATTTTATTTTTGAGATATTTGCGGAAGGAATATTTCACTTAATGGGTAGAAATAATCATCAAGCATGCAGTTGTTAATTTCATGAAACAGTGCCAGTACCAATTATATCGTTAACTTCAGTTTCCATGGCATTCTACAAGTTTCGGTATGAATGCGTCATTTTCCTCATCAGAAAAACAAGTTAAGAATAGCAGGATAGAAATGCTAAGGCGCGTTTTCATGCTGTAAAAAATGAAAACTGATCTTTGCGAAGGTAGTAGTTTAGTAAAGGGAAACATCACGGCTTTACTACTTTTATGTCTAACAGCACCTTACTGTAGGCTTTTCACGTGGTTAGTTAAAGCAAAACCTTTTTTTTACTATATACTGCGTTGAAGGGGAATCGGTTAGGTCACTACAGATAGGACTGGGGGAACACAAATTTCGATCCCGTTTCACAGCTTTGTAGACAGTTTAAGCTTTTTCTTTACCGGTAAAACCCAAGTTTCATTTAATATTCGGCTTGTACTTACCTACCCTTCCACCAATCAGCGCTTGTCTTTGTACTGATATGAAGCTAGGGAATTCTCTTGGTTTCAACCTCTTTCATCATGGAAAGAAATCGCCGATCAAATATTTAACAAGGTTGCGATAAAGCCAGTCTAGGAACACATTCTTATATACAAATGCCACCACCATTCGATCATTTACCCATCTTACGTGGCATTAATCCAAACGTGGGCTCCAACAGCATACGCTGACTGACCTATCAGTTGCCACGTCAGTTCTGGGTATCTCGCACTGCAGTAATTGGAGCTGTAATTTTTCTTAGCATCTCTCGCATATTTTTGATCGTCTCGTGAGGCAAAAGAGTTTCACGCTTGCTCAGGGGTTTGTTGATCAATGATTTGGGAGTATAGCTTTAATTTTCAGCAACGGTATCGATCAAGTATACAAGTATGGCAACTTAACACTGAATATCCATCGCAGTATCAAGTTTATCTTCAGTAACGGCAAGAGCCAAATTTGATTAGCAATTAATGGTTAGGATACCGGAGATACATCATGGCCCTTAATGTACGAAAATCTCGCTGTAACGAAAAACATTTTTTACGCAAAAAAAAAAAAACAACAAATGATTAAGAACAGGAAATAATGACTTTTCCTAAGGAGATCTTCCTTTTCCTGACGTTCCCCTCATCAGGCGATATTATGTCACAAGTTAAGGAGGCACTGAAGCAGGTTTTTCTTTATTTCAGTCTCCCCTTGCCTTAATTTTCTCTAACGCAGTTTTTTTTTCAGTCGCGGGGCAGGCAAATTTACATGCTGTTAAATGCGATTTTGATGAATGGTAAATTAATTTTTCTTATACAATTCATCAATGATCGTGGGTCAGAAATAAAACAATACATAACTACATAAAACACATCACAGCTAAACTCACCCCTGTTTATCCTGTCACTGATCAGTTTTATCCAGCCACGTTCAAGGGATGAATCGATATGAGTGCTGACGATTCCCTTCTGTCCTATATTATATTGCTCTTTCATATTATCTGTTTACCACAATGTTAAAAGCTTCCTGGGGTGCAACACTAAAAATTCATTATCTTAAATTGATGGGTTTTAACTGGCACTTCGACAATAAATGTTTTGATAAAAATATATACATTTTTGAGCAGTGGTAGTACAATAATTTTTCTTCACACATGAATTGTAGGGACAATCATTGCGGTAGAAAACTTTGGAAAAACTCAGGCTAAGAACAACCATGCTTCTAAGATGTTAGAGAGGTACTCTGCTGTTTAGAATGAAAGGCCATGTCAATCCTTTTTAAATATAATTACGTGAGCTGCCTCTTGCTTGTAAACAAATTATCTTTCGTTTACTTTTTCTCTGAAAAGACTTTCTTTGAAAATAAGACCTAATAAAGCTTTTCATCTCTAGCTTCATATATCTATAAAGCAGCCGGTCTATTTTCAATTAAAAGTTTAAACAGTGTAAAATGTAAATTTGAACTGCAGAGGTACAGAGGTAATGAATATCTTAGTGTTCAAATAATTGCACTAAAAATGACCATGTTCTCCTTATTTCTTTAAGGAGGGTCTCTATGGATGATGGCTTTTACCAAGAGAAAATACAAGGACCATTTTCCCTGCTTTAACGGCTAGCGGTTAAAATTTTGGCAATTTCACGGCTAAAAGTAATTTCTTTCCCTTAACCAATTTAATTCAATCATTTTAAAAAGTTAACAATTCATTTTTAGTGTTCTTAAACGCACTTATACCGGTCGTTTACTTCGTACTTCTCAGGCCAATTCTGAGATGAAAAATAAAAAAATAGATTATAATTAAATAAAACTTTAAGATTTTTCATGGACATGCATGGCGTACTACTTCAGTAACCCTCAGGGACTTGATTGAGCCAAACGTCTTTGTTTTCGTTACTAGGATAGGATGTTTAACCGTAGTAACTGCACTTGCCACAAGACAAAACAGTCCAAGAAACTTTGAAAATGACACATCTTATAAAGGAAAACATTTTACGGTCAACTTTTACACGACATACGATTACAATTGATTAATTTTCACGTCAAATGGCTAAAATTTTTGGCCAACAGTTAACTCCATTGAGAGCCTCCTTACCTTAGTCTGCTCTTTATCGAGCCACCTTACTATCAATGGTATGCCTGTGGCAGTGTAACATGGCGTAACCATTGGACCGATACTGTGACACGCTGGTAAGCTTCAGCTGTGTTATTTGCCGTTCAAATCTCCACCGTACTTGAACCTTCCGTTGGCGTCGAATCTAATCGAGTTTCCCTAATCAAAACTGGTTGTAAAGAGGGGAAGTAAAGTGGCTTTAAAAGTTAGGAAAGACGAAGGAGCCGCTGAAGTACGCAAGGCTGCTGTTAAGAAGCACTCCGATCACGATCAATTTTTCCATGCAGAGGAGACCATCTACCATCTATAGACCACAAAATTTTTTTTTTTAAATTTTTAGGAGACCATTTACCATCTATAGACTACCTCCATCTAAGGCAAATCAACTAAATAGTGCTCTATTCTTTGAAGAATTCTGCATTCTCGCAGAACAGTTAGTTGTGTCCGCTGGTAACCTACTCATAGTGGGTGACTTCAACTATCACGTAGATAATATCAGCAATCTGGATACTGTCAAATTTAATAACATCTTAGAATCGTTCGATCTAGTCCAACATGTAAATGGACCCACCCATAAGAAGGGCCACACCTTAGACCTGATTATAACTAGAGCCGAGGACGAACTGGTAAATAGCACTGAAATACGGGATCCCATGCTGTCCGATCACTCTGCTGTACACTGCAAGCTTCGCCTAAAGAAACCACCCCTGGAACAAAAGGAAATTAGTTATCGTAAACTGCGCTCGGTAAATACGAGCAGTTTTAATGATGACCTAAAGCAGTCCAACCTTCTGTCAACTAGCACCCTTGATCTTACGGGTCTCATTGAAAAATACGAAAACACACTGACGGAAACACTTGAAAGGCATGCCCCTTTAAAACGACGCGTGATAACTCTCCGCCCATCAGCACCATGGTACCACGAAGGTATTAGTGATGCTAAGAGAAAGCGCCGGAAGCTGGAGCGCCGTTGGCGATCGTCAAGACTGTGCGTCGACAGACAGATATATGTCGACCAGTGCCGGGTTGTGAATAAAATGCTTAAGGATGCAAAGGCTTCGTACTACTCATCTATTATTTCAGAGAATGCATCAGATCCAAAAGTTCTTTTCAACGCAGTCGACAAGCTATTACACCGCAAAGTAGAGAGACGCTATCCGACCGCACCCTCGACGATTGAGCTTACGAACAATTTTGCCGACTTTTTCGACAAGAAGATAGCGACAATAAGAACAGAACTATCCAATGAAGCGACTTCTAATACCCAGTCCTGCGAAGCAAACAAACAGCCTTGTCATGCCGAATTCAAAGAGTTTAGAGTGATGTCAGAGAGAGAGATTGAAGGTTTTGTAGACACTATCAGTAAAAAATCTTGTGATCTTGATCCTATACCGGCATCTGTTCTAAAGGAATGTAAATCAGCCCTTCTACCTGTCTTAACCAACATCGTGAACATGTCGCTCAAATCAGCATCAATGCCCGCTACACTGAAAGAAGCAGTGATCAAACCGAAGTTGAAGAAGAACAACCTGGACTCCGAGGATTATTCAAATTTTAGACCTATCTCAAATCTGAAGGTTATATCAAAGATAATTGAAAAGGCAGTTTCTTGTCAATTGAGTGATAACCTACGTGATAATGATCTAGAGGAATCTTTTCAGTCTGCGTATAAGCGTTTTCACAGCACAGAGACTGCACTCTTGAGGGTGCAAAATGACATTCTCTTCGAAATAGACAATCAAAAATGTGTTGTCATGTTACTGTTAGACATGTCTGCGGCGTTTGATACAGTCGACCATGGTCTACTATTGGAAAGAATGGCAAAACGCTATGGAGTAAAAGGAAATGTGCTAAAATGGTTTCGATCATATCTCCAAGACCGAAAACAGTTTGTGATAATTGATGGAAACAAGTCAAAGATGAAAGAACTTCGGTACGGTGTCCCCCAGGGATCAGTACTAGGTCCGGTTCTATACTTATTATACACTTCATCCATTGGGGACATCATTAGACGGCACAGACTTAATTACCATCTCTACGCCGACGACACCCAGCTCTATCTCTCTTTCAAGCCCACCCCCGCCGAACTACCCAGCTCTATAGCAAAAATAGAGGCGTGTGTTTCTGAGATAGACTTGTGGATGGTGTGCAATAAACTGAAACTAAACAGAGGAAAGACGGAGCTATTGATCTTGAGTGCACGACACCGTCCACCCCCATCAATAGAGTATGTTGATGTGTCTGGTGAGCGGATCGAGCCATCTCCCTCTGCAAGGAACATTGGAGTTATCTTTGATGAGCACATGTCACTAGATAAGCATGTTACCAGTACCTGCAAAGCCTGTTTCTTCCATCTTAGAAACATTAGCAAGATAAGAGACTGCTTATCTCTAGCAGATACTGAAAAACTAGTTCATGCGTTCATTACATCTAAGCTAGATAACACCAACTCGCTACTATATGGATTACCCAAATTCCTGATAGATCGTCTACAAAATGTCCAGAATGCTGCAGCTCGTGTTGTAACTCGTACAAGAAAGTATGACCACATCAAACCTGTTTTAAAGCAGCTTCACTGGCTCCCAGTTAGCCAGCGCATAGATTACAAGATATTACTTTTGACTTTCAAAGCGCCCAACGGAAAAGCCCCTAGTTACATCACTGAACTGCTGAAGCCTTATGTACCAACCAGAAATCTGAGGTCCTCCTTCAAAAACTTACTTAAAGTACCACCTGTCAAGCTAGTAAGTTATGGTCACAGGTGTTTCTCTTTTGTAGCACCGACTCTATGGAACTCTCTTCCGAACAACATAAAAGAGAGCAGCTCGCTATCAGACTTTAAGACCTGTATAAAGACATACCTTTTTAACAAATTTTATAATTAACCTTCTTAACAAATTTTATAATTAGCTTAGCGAGTTAATTAGCTATTTTATAGTTAGCTAGGTCGCTAGTTAGTTGGTTAGTTAATTAGTTAGTCAGCTAGTTAGTTAGTTAGTTAGTTAGTTAGTGAATTAGTTCTATTATAAGTTTCACAGTTTTTACTCTCATCATTACAGATTTTTTATTAGCTAGTTTTTTACTCATATTTAAGTAATGTTTACGTTTTTATAAATTTTATCAAGGTCTTTTATAAATGAATTGTAAAGCGCTATTGAATAGCAATAGAAATAGCGCTATATAAATACTGTATTATTATTATTATTATTATTGTAATGATTAATGTGTAATAGTTAACCATGATTGTGTAACTTCCGTTGGGTTATGAGATGCAAATAGCTCAGCAGATCAATTTTCTTAATCGAGCGACGAGATAACACGTGTTAATATAGTAACGTTGATTACTCGAAAGAAACCGAAAGAAAAGAGTTAAGATTGGAGAAAGAGGTATGATTTGTAGTTGTAATTTGTATTAATCTATTTAGTTATAGTGTTTCTCTTATATTATTGCTCGTGATTAGTGTTATTTTGTGAATTTCTAGTACCGTGATACGCTCCCTTTTGCGTTGTTATTGTACAATCGATGTTCTGTACGAATTATAGTAATAGGCTTTTCGTTGTAATTATCCTTTCAGTTTTCACGTAATCAAGTAAATCAAGAAATTAAAGAGCTTTGATCGATACGAGTGGCTTACTTGGTTTCAGTATAAAGTCTTATCTAAATATCGCGTTCGGAGCAACGATGGAATGTCTCTAGATCCCTCCGTCCGCTACAATTATTATTATTATTATTCTATTATACCCAGATCAGAAGGTGGTAGACAAAATATCAGGTTGTCAAGATAACTTTACAGTTGCTAGATACAAGCAAGAACTAGCAAAGCCGTACTCTAAGGTTGATCTGTTCATTTGTAAAGAGGCAGACTTCAAGGCAGACAGTGAGATGAATGATGTCTCGGACTTCGTAGAGGAGAAGCCTTTAATCGACCTACCCTCAGACGATGACAGCATATTTGCTAGATCAGTGCTTGACATTGCACACCCTTCACATGCAGGTGGGACTTTCACGTTTCTCCCTCTGAAACCGGTTCATCGATCACCGAGCAGCAAGTTCCATCCAGTGCTGCTAATACTGCCACAAAACTAGATGAACGCATGGTCACCAATAATACCTGGAAAACAGTGTCCATCCTGCCATGGCCTCTTCTTTGGTGATGAAATTGCAGTACATGCGCTGAAAATTCTCGGAGGTTTTCATTTTTGGGGTTTATGGAAACTTCTCCTCTGATTCTCCAGCCGTTGAAATTCCAGATATACCAGATGAGGAAATATCAAGTATGCCTGAACCCTACAAGGCTGTCTCGCCCCTTTCTGACCTACTAAGGCCTTTAATACATGGACTTCATGAAGCGAAGGCTGCTATGCAGTATTTCAAACCTATTTGCTGCTTTTGCGGTATTTACAGGGTTGCATTCGTTTAAACCCTGTTTAAGCTGACGCTAGATAAACGTTCATGATGGACTATTAGTAATTAAGCAGATAAAGATATAAATTTCAGCTTCTCTTGATTAATTCATATGTCGAAGATTGCATACCACCATCACTTTGGAATTGATCTGTATTCAGGAGTGAGACAAAAACCTTTGATTTCGAAGAATGTCTTGGATACAGTTTACAATTTGATTAGAATTTGTTTTGCTAAAGACAGGGTGCTCCTATTTTTTTCTTTATTTATCTTACACTAAGAAGTGTTCTTCAAATATTTACGAACGGCTATTTATAAATAACCAATTTTCATTGGTCCGTTTTGACGCAACTTAGTTTATGTTTGTGATTGACGAAATAATTTGTTGTTGTTCCTGTTATCATGTCCTATTTTTTTCGGTCACTAAAATGTATTATGATTCTCATTGGCAATTCACTCTGATCGTCTTTATCTGTCTAAAATAAGCTTAAGTTTTGGTATATGACTTTCAGATTTTGTAAGCATTTTCCTAAATGATTTCCCTGAGTTACATCAACCAGTACACAAATTCATTGTATGAAATTGAATAATTTATTTTTTACATGATTAAGTTTAAGATTCCTTGTGAGAGAGATGCCCCTTCTGTTGTTTCATTTATGTGATGCATAAAACTAAATTCACACTTTTTGAGCCTGAGTGAAACCTTAATTATGCTTGAAATATTTTATGGGAGAAGATGCTCGTTTACCAGCAGAGTCTGCGAAGATTGTGATCGAAGAAGACTGTTTGAGCATCGATGAAGACGTGCATTCTTCACCAGCCAGGCTCATTAACGGAAGAAGCCTGCAAAAAGAATAAGTAATGATGATGTTCTGATGAATGCCTGTGTACTCGGACGGAAACTTTGATTCTTAAAAAACAGAAATTGAAATTGCAAATTCATCTTTTGGAGCAACAGGTGAAAGCCAACAAAACCTTTGCAACTTCATTAAATGCAAATTTTGTTGTTGCCGAAACTGATTCATTTTAAATGAGGAATAGTGTAAGAAGTCCTCCAAGAGAAATATTTTGGGCAAATGTTGTTCTTGTATAATTTATTATAAAACATACTCAATGTATTCTGTTCTCAAAATGTATTTTGACGTAATAAAACAGATTCTTGAGTCAATATTATAATATCGCACATCATAAACGAATGTATTACTCAGAACACTTTTCCCACAGCATGGAAAGAATCCAGAATATCTCCTGTTCCTAAAGTAGACAACCCAAAGGAGTGTGATGACTACAGACCAATAACCATCATTCCTGTGCTTCCCAAGGTGTATGAACGTTCTACCACCTCAACATTGATGCACTTCAGAGATGACATCATCCAAGCGATGAAGAAGGGCTAGCTGACCATGGCTATATGTGCAGATTTCTTAAAGGCCTTTGGCACGGTCAATCTTCTCAAGATCTTATAAAAATTGTATAACATGAAGTTCTCTAACCACTTCCTACAGTGGGTTTTGAGTTACATTAATGGTAGACGACAGATCCTACAAGTCGATGACAAAACATCTGAACTCATTGATACCAAATTTGGAGTACCACTAGGATCCATTAAAAGAAGAAAAGAAGAAATTAAAATATATAAAATTATGCAAATTAGCCATGTGTTTTACCAGATGATACAGTATTTGATAATAGGAGTACTTTGGCAGAATATTTTGTTGTTTTAGCTTTGTTGGAATGTTATATTTTGTTATACAGCTAACACATGTACAGGTCTCATCACAAAATCTTAAATATTTTTCTGATTTAATGTCAGGAAGATTATACCTGATTTTACATATTTGTGTTAGTCTGTTCTTCATCAGTCTTTTTTCTTATGTGACCCATCCTAGTTCTCTAATCATATCTGTTACACTGGCTGTGCGGTTGTAGTTCTAAAGACAAAAATAAGCTGTTTTTCTCGTTTAAAAAATAGGTTAAGTGAATGATTGTACCTCCTATTTTCAAGTGACTATATGTTAGGTTAAGACAATATTTGTTTATATAGCCACTTTTCTCAGAAGTTTTTGTTTATGATTGTTATTAGATCTATAATGGTGTGGAATGAAGAGAAAGATGTCAAACTCTTGAGAGCTGTGGCAGCCGAGGGTGTTTTTATCAATAGTAGGGCAGGATCCAGGGAGAAAGGAGAATTATGGCAGGTTGCTGCCTCTTCCCTTGTGGTAGAACGTATGCCTGTCATTTCACGGTCGGTGAGAGACCGCTTCAATATTCTGGCAAAGAAATGGCGAATAAAAGTTAGACAAGAGGAGAGAGAGAGTGGTGGTGGAGATAAAGAAATGAGTGAAGCTGAAAAGCTGGTGGAATTAGAGATGGAATCTGAGAAGACAAAAGAGCAGAATGACGAGGCCAAGAAACTGGTAGAGGGGGAGAAAAAGAAGGCAATAGAGATGAGGGAGAGAGCAATGGAGAGGTTCAGACAAACCAAAAAGAGACAAGAAGAAACAGGAAAGGATGAAGGGAAAAAGGAGAAAAAAAGAAGAAGATCAGGAGAGGCAATAGAGTGGTTGAGAGAAAAGGGAGAGAATATGCGAGAGATGAAGGAGCAAGAACTTCAAGAAAGAAGGGAAGAACGAGAAGCCCAAAAAGCTCAAACTGAACAGTTTATGTCTCAAATGCAAGCTCAAAATGAGCAAATGAAATTATTTCAATAACAACTGCTGCAACAAATGCAGCAACAGCAACCACAGCACAGCTAACAACAACAACAATTTGCCATGTTGCAGCATCAAATGATGCAAGTTTTGACGCATCAAAAACGTGCATTTCAGCAACAGTTTAAGAGAGATTAAGGGTTTGGGTTTGATATACATCAGCATTGAATGCAATGTCATTATCTGAGTTTTGTATGTTTTTTATTTTTTTTATATAAAACAACATTTTTAATAAAATAGAGTATATTTTGTATTGTAAAGGCCAATTATCTTGATTATCTTTATTTATTAAATAAAATTTTTGGGCAGCAGCCCATTTTACGAATAAAACAGAAAATTACAACCTTGATCAAAGCACTGTGTACAATCATAAAACAAATGTTGTGTTTACCAGATAAAGTAATTGGTACACATTAACCAGGGGCCAGGGGTAATACACTTTTGAGCTATGAAAATTTCCATTATTTTTCAAGGAATTCCGTGACCTAAGTTAGCAAGTGTACTAATTGATTAAATCCATGACGGCACAAAAATTTGCATAAATGTCACAAAAGTATTAAGCGTAAACAGAAATGTCCACACATGTAGGTTGTGCTGATGTTTATTTCTACTGAAGAAAATATTTTTCTCACTCATCAGCTTATTTTACAAATTTGGATCTACAATACTTTGCACTCATAGAAAGCCCAAAAAAAAAGGTAAACAATGTACAAGTGATTGCTAATACAATTTTTCTTTAAATTTTTAACCCTCCAACATCAATAACTGTAACTCTTCTATTGGCCAAAATACAAAATGAAACGAATTCAAATTATTGGAAGTAGTCCTGTAAAGAAGGTGGTTGAACTTCAAACTTTTCTAACACAATGTTACCATACAGACAGGTCAACGCATTTTCCAAAAAGGCACAAACAATGTAAAATTTCCCCACTGAACTCATGTTAATTTGTAATTGGCTTTTAAAATAGATAAACTTAAAATAGTTTGTAATATTACCAAAAAGCCACTCAACTGCAACTCTTACTTCACTCATGGTCGCATTGTAAAAAACCATTTGTGGAGTGAGTTGAATGTTTTTAAAAGGGGCCTGAAGGTTAACACCCAAAGGGTATGCAGGATCACCATAAAGACAAAAAGGATGCCCATTATGAAACGCCACCTTCCGAAGCTCATTGAGAGTGCCTGTTTGTTGGAGCATTGTGCTGTCGTGTCTTTTACCTTCAAAGGGGCCATGAAGGTTTGCAATTAATCCGTTTGGGATGACAACACTCTGAAATTTTATGGAATGTATTCTTTTGTGGCCATTGTACATAACCCTTTGGTTTTCTTGTGGCCTCGCTGTGTAACTACAAGGGTATGCCAACCTCTTCAATAAAATGCACAGGCCCTCCATCCCACCACACACTGTTCTTTGCACGCATGTAATTTTCTCAGGAATTTCTAAACATTTACATAATTCAGGCAGATGTTTCTTCGCAAATCTAAGCTCGGTCTTGCACTCCACATCGCTCCACTCGTCTACACTGAATCTGGGGAATTTCCAGTATGGGAAAATAGGTTTTGACGAATAGGCGTCATATAGAAGAACAAATTCGTCATCGTCGATAATATCATAGAAGCTGGCTTTTAACTTCAACCACCACTCGCCATGATCTATGATATGGGAAGCCACGAAGGAGTTGCAATACAGAGATCATGAAAGCCGTTCTCACGAAAACAACTCGCACGAAAAGATGACGACAATTACACAAATTTCACAAAAACACATTTAATAGGCTAAATTCTACAGAAATTAATATAAAACTACCCTCCCAAATTTTGTTTAAGTCAAAGTAGAATTTTAAAATTCACCTCATTTGGTATTCAAACAAAGTCCTAGCGAGTAACTCGTGCCGTAGTCGTCCCCGTAGGCGTTTGACAAGTGGTATACAGTAACATTAATTTCGTTGCCCTGTTTTGTAGCTGATTAACTAGCAATTTACGTCGAGAATTTTACCGAAAGTCAACTGATATTCAAGATAGAACAAGAATTTGCTGCACGTTTCCCTTGCTAAATCACTTTTCAACACAACGCGACGGCGTTCTCGACCCAGTTTCTTCTTGGCATTTTTTCTGCGTGCGCCGTTCTCAAATGACGTTCCCGTCCTCTTGCTAAACCACTCTAATATGTACCTTAGAAGACCGGTCAGGTAACTCAAACTTATTATTGAATGGGAAAAAGACCAAGCAAATGGTAAACGAACATATGCAAGGGGTAAACGAACATATGCAAAAACCATCTACAGACTACCACGGAACATATCAGATCAAGATGCCCTAGAGAGTACTGAATGGGAGCCATTATCAAACCAATATAAGAAGAAGCTCTTCATCTTAATGTACAAAGTAAATGGTAATATTACCCCAGATAAAATAGCAAACCTCTTTAGTGTTGCCAATCCACACTATAACCTCAGAAATAGTAATCACTTCGTTCTACCCAGATACAACTTGGACATTGGCAGAAATTCCTTAAGATACAGAGGCCCACTAGCTTAACAACATACCCCTACTTCTCTCAAACATTCCTACTCCCTCAAGAACTTTAAGAGCCTTCTAAAGGAACATCGGCATAAGAATTTTATTAATAATCTTAATTTTCTTAAAGAAACATGTATGGTATCCAACAAGAATCAAGATTTTAAATATTTTTAGTATTGTAATTTTAATCCCATAAGAATCAAGATTGTAAATATCTTCAGCATTGTTATTTTGAACAAATTTTATAATAGAACACCTAGGTAGCTTTAGCTGAATAATCCGTTGTTTAGTCCTTGACCTTTAATTTAAGTATCAAAATTTTAAATATTTTTAGTATGTAATTTTGATCCGATTTAATAATAGTACACTAAGATAGTTTTAGCTAAATTCCGTAGACAGTAGGTCCACATCAGCCTCTGGCTGCCTTTAATTTAACCTACTATACCAAATAAAGTATGTATGTATGCGTGTATGTATCACCACAGATCAGAGGTCAAGACAACACAAGTTGGATAACCAAACGCTTAGGATTAAAGTCAATGGTGAAGTTCTTGAAAGAGTACAATTCTTCAAATTTCTCAGTATGTGGGTACAAGAAAACTTAAAGTGGACAGATCACATAATAAAAACCGTGTCTTCATGTTTTGCAGCCTTATCGATTATCAAGAAAATAAAAAATCTGGCACCCACAGCACTAAAAAAAGTGGTAAGCTGACTCGTTGATACTATCAAAGCTCAATTACAATGACATAGTGATGTATCCCTTACCTCACAGAGATGATCACACACTAACGCGAGTGCTGTTAAATTTATGGAACTATTACAAACTTTTGACCATACTCAACACGTAAAGTAACCGACACATAAAGGAAATCATATTTTAGATTTGATCATCACCAGATCTGAAGACAGCATAGTACACCATATTTCGGTAATTGATCCCGTTCCATCTGATCATTATACTGTATGCTGTAAAGTACTCTTACCCAAACCTTCCCCAGAAAAGAAAGAAACTGCCTACAGGAACCTTAAGTGTATTGACTTTGCTAGGTTTCGTAAAGACATCAGGAACTTGAATCTACTAGATAATGACATTACATCAAAAGCCGACTTGGTTGAACCGTACAACGCGAAATTAGCCTCGCTATTTGATGATCATGGTCGTTATAAAAATAAGGTTGTAACCTTACGTCCAAAGTTTCCCTGGTTTACCCCCGAGATCAGGGAACAGAAAATGAAACGGTGAAGACTAGAACGCCGTTGGCAGAAAACAAGACTAACTGTAGACAGGGAAATTTACACGCAACAATACAGTTGTTAACAGGCTCATTCGTACGTCCAAAGCAAGCTATTATACAGATCGTATTAGTGAACTTAAATCCAAGCCAAGTGATTTGTTTGGTACCTAGGAAACCTTACTGAAGGGTAGGGCTGAAAAGCTCTACCCACCATGTAATTCCACTGAAGATCTTGCGAATCTATTCGCTGATTACTTTGAACGGAAGAAGATAGTTACAATAAGAGCAGACCTTGATCTCAGGAGACCAATACTACAAGATCCTTTCTCAGATGCGTGTTTTGAACACAGCAAAGTTTTATTTCGTCAGTTCACACCTGTCTCTGAGATGCAGCTGGAGAAGTTAGTTATTAAGTTTAGTCGTTAGTCATGTGACCTTAACCCTATTCCTGCAACAGTTCTAAAGGAGTGTCTCCACGATTTAATACCAGTAATAACTAAACTAGTCAACATATCCCTTGGGTAGTGTCCTTGGACCTATCTTATTTTTGCTCTACAACTCACCCTTGGGTGATATTATGAGATACCATAAAGTTAATTTCCACTTGTATGCCGATGATACGCAATTATACCTCACCTTCAAATAATCCACTGCTGACCTAGCCAAATTAGCGATAGAAGACTGTGTGTGAGATATCGATGCTTGGATGACAGTAAACATGCATAAGATGAACAGGGACAAAACAGAACTAGTTATCTTAAATGCCAGCCGTCGCCCACCTCCGTCCCTGACGTCAATTTCAGTTTGTGATGAGTTGATTAGCAAGACATCGACAGCTAGAAATATTGGTGTTCTGTATGATACAGTCATGTCAGTGAAACATCATCTCACAGCTGTATGTAAGGCAAGGTTCTTCAACCTTCAAAATATCAGTCGTATAACGAAATATATCAGTCGCCATACAGCAGAAATACTTGTGCACGCTTTCATTAATTCCAGACTGGCCTTCTGTAACTCACTTTTGTATGGACTGCCGAAAAAACTATCAAGCAGCTTCAGCATGTTCAAAATTCAGCTGCCAGAATGGTTGCGCTTACACCCAAACATGAACATATATCACCGGTATTACAGGAACTGCATTGGCTTCCTGCAGAAGAGCGCATAATTTTTAAAATTCTTTTCATGACTTTTAAATGTCAAAATGGCATAGCACCTTCATATTTGTCTGACCTAGTTATGGGG